AGCACTTGACCGCAGGAAACCAATGAGAGCACTAGCTTGAGGGAATCTGACACACGTCACAGAATAAATGTATATCAATTTATATTCCTTGCAAACTTCTTGTTGCATTCTTCTCAAACATTTGATTTTTTCTTTTTTTTGATTTCTCTATTAATCTATGTGATGTCATTGATTTCTTCCTTTTCTTGGATTCCTTGGTTTCGGCTGATGAATTATTGTTCGTAGAACTGTTCAGTTTTTTAACGCTCAGCAGATTCCTTCAATGTTTTAATATGATATTGTTGCGTAATTCTTTAAAGTTCCGCAGCTCATCTTGTGACAGTATGATGATTTGTTGCTCCGATGATTTTGTTTGTTGAATTTCATCCGAAGGTAGTTGTTGTGATTGTTGTGGTAAAGTAGTATGATTATTATTAATTATTTGTGATGATTGCTATGATAACACAACCGAGGTGAGACGTTAATTTTGTTGTGGCCCGCTTATTTTTTCGTTAATTTGACAAACAATTCGCAGGGAATGTGCTTGGGACCAACGGAAGAGTGAGCAACACCATCGTGAATGGTTGTACACAAATCCTCTGATAGATCTATCTCGAATTTCCCTTGGTTGTAAGATATCACTTGAGAACGGGCCGCGAATGGTTGCACACAAACCCTCTCATCCGCGTCGTGCTGCCATTCTTGTTTTAGCGTGACTCACGAAATACAAAAATAGGCGTGGGAACTTTATATTTTATTTTTAAATTTGCTGCTTTTTGATTGGATGCAGGAAAGAGATATTACCAATTATCATCTTGAAGAACAGTTATCTCATTCTCCGTGGATTTCTTTGAAACGATTTCATTATCATCAGAATGGTATGAAAAAGAGTTGGGATTTGGCCATCACGCCCGATTCTGTGGCTGCTTTGTTGTATCATCCCGAGAAGGAGTGTTTCTTGTTGGTGAAACAATTGAGGCCAGCTGTGTTTGTTCGGCAATTGATTGAGTTGAATCAATCGGAACATGTGATTTCCTCTGAAATTTCTTCTTCATCCACTACGCCATCATCATTATCGGAAACAACCATTTCTCCAATTTCTGCAACCTCAACATCTATAACAACCACAACAGAACTAATACCTCCAAAAGCAAAATTATCTTTGGAATTATGTGCTGGTTTATTAGATAAGCATGGAAAGTCGCCGATAGAAACCATGCAAGCTGAAATTTTGGAAGAATGTGGATATCATGTGCCACTTGGAATGATTGAACCCATTACCAGTTATTACTCGGGAGCAGCAAAAAGTTATTCCATTCAACATTTGTACTATGTCGAAATGAGACAAGTATTGGATCAGAAGGATGAGGAGCAGCAGCAATCTTGCATATTCGACCCGTTGAATGGTGAGTTTTGTAAAAAAGTCTCAAATGGTGGAGGGTTAGAGGAAGAGGGTGAAATGATTGAAGTTGTGGAATTACCTCTCTCACAGGCCAAGGAATTGATGAAAGACGAGAGTGTGGTGAGATCGCCGAGTTTATTACATGCATTGAGTTGGTGGTTTTTAGAAAAAGCAACTCCTGAACAAGTGGAAAAGCATTATCGTAGATCTGTAGTGTCGTCATCTTTGAGTTCAATGAATTAATTTTGCATTTAACCATATTGATCCCTAATTTTGACCACCATCCATGACGCCAGTCCAATGTGACATCTTTCATTTTGTAAAGAATTAGAGCAATCAACCAAAACAAAAAAATATGGCTAGCAACACGGTCATTGGCACTGCAACTTTGTTTCTCTCTCGGAAGGGAGAGTCATTGCAGAGTCTCTATGAACGATACAAAATACGATGTGGATATCATTTCGATCTCTCAAATATTCCACTCATAGTTCTCAATTATGACAATGTTCAATCTCCGAAAGAGGAACCAATTGTGAGTGAGTGTAGAGGCTTGGTTCTCGAATTGGATACATGGAAAGTGGTTGCTAGAGGAATGACTCGATTTTTCAATCAACATCAACAATTAAATAATGGCTCACGTCAAGATTTGCAGCAGCAGCCTCCACAGCAACTTGATGCTTCTTCGGAATCACTAGCTCCAAATCAGGCGAATAATCCTGTTGCATTTAATTATTCCAATTTTTCGTTGGAAGTGAAAGAAGATGGTACATATATTCAATTGTTTCATTATCGTGGAGAATGGATGGGTATGTGTTTTCATGTTATTTATATCATTTCATGTCACACAAGAACATTCTAAATGTGTAAAATGGAAATTCAGTGGCCACACGCCACAATTTTTGTGAGGACTTTTGTGGAGGAGGCACTGACACGAATAGAATGACTTATCGAGAATTATTTGTTGCAGCATGTGGAGGATTGGAATTGAATGACGTTTGTAAAGATTTAGACACCTCCTATACCTATTGCATTGAACTTTGTTCCCCTCTCAATCAAGTCATTCAAACCTATGATCAAAAAGTGATTTATTTATTGACCGTTGTAAATACACAAACAGGAGAGGAGCTTGCCATCGATCAAGTAGATGCTATTTGCCTAAAATTAAGAAAACGAAAAGAATTAAAAAGTTGGAAACGCCCACGGAGATTTGACCATTTTTCAAGTAAGGAACAAGCATTTGAATTTTTGAAAAATTACTTTACGAATGAAGAGGCAGGTCAGAACTCGATGAGTATAGAACAACGATTGAGAGTGGAGGGCTTTGTCATGAGAGATCAAAACAACCAGAGACTCAAGCTAAAAAATCCATATTATTTAATGATTCACAAAATGAAATATCGAGGGTGGATACAAGCTGACCCCAAATTATTGGTTCCTTTTGTTTTGTTTTTCGAGGATTACAAATCGAGTGAGAACACTGGCAAGGATCATGGAACCGGTAAGAAACAGGTGTGTGACGACTCTGCAACATGCAGTTCCTCCTTTCATCTCTCCAATTCAAACACATCCACAAGTCTCATCAACATTATGAAAAATTTCTATGAATGTGATTTTGAAATGGAACAATTACAAAAACGTTACAATTATTGTGCCACCATATTGGAGAAGGAATTTAAACAATTAGTGAGTGTGTGGAAGGAAATTAGTGCTGAAAAAGATGTAATGTCACACAATATTCTTGAACAACTTCCACAATCTCTCAAAAGTCGAACAAAATTATTTCCATTATGTGAAACGATGTTACAACAATTTGCAAGTAGTGAAAATCAAGACACGAAACACCTCTTATCCATTCATGCACTCGAACAAGTGATGAAAAATAATTGTGATCTAATTCTTTCACAACTCTTCTCGTCACAACAACAAGTAGCATCCTTTCGATCTGCCGTGCTAGAGTACGACAAGAGTCACCCTCCTCATTATTGCATACCCAATAAGAAGAAGTTTAAAATACCCAATTCTGGACTCGCTTCGAAAAAACCCTACCTAGAAAAGCAAACCAATCAATACAAAGTACAGTGCTTTTGTGGAAAGCCCATGGTGTTGAAAAGACTCAAAAGAGATTTTGTGCAATATAGAACTTGTCACTGTGGTGCTGCTTTTGATACCATGACGTATAAGGTTGGAACTTTATTATGGGTGTGTTCTTCGTATCCAGAATGTCTCTTGAATCACATGGCACATCAAATGGATGAAATGTTTTCCGATGAAAAGATTCAATATTTTAAAGGACAGCCACTAGGTATTCCTAGCAGCGAATTGTGCAAAACGATGAGATTGCAAATTCATGAAATTATGTCCATCTTGATGAAGAAGAATAATTGGAAAAAAAGTTATTGCTATGCATTGATGGCCTCTTGGTTAAATGTTGACAAGAGTCAAGCTCATGTTGCATTGTTTTCTATTGAGACATGTTTGTTCATTATTCAGAAATTTTTGGATGAATATTCTGGAATTTATTGAGGTAAATTCGCATGAAAATACACAAAGGTAAATAACAAACTGAAACGTATGTCACACTAAGTTTCAACATCATTAAAAACATTCAAGGAGAATGTTTGTTTTTCATATTTATTATTTGTTTGCATGGAAGTCATGAGGAGTTGTGACACACATTTCACATTTGCAATGAATTTAAGGGAAAGAGTTATATACATGCTCTTAATATATCACTAAATATTTACAGCAAAAATTGGCCAAAGATGGAACATTTCAGTACATTCCATTATTCATTTGTGTTTTCGCTTCTGCCACTTGATCTGTCTTTTCTCCAGGATCTTCAAACCAATCCTCAAAATATTCCAATAAAGAATCCACAAGCGATGCAAACAAGCCTGGTTCCTGAGGTGGTTGTGATTTTAATGTTCGAGTCGTAGCATTTGTTGATGATTGATTAAGTGTTTTCATACTCGTTACAGTAGTAGTTGTTGTTGTTGCAGGTTGAGATCGGATTGATGATGTCTGGATAGTACTATCTCCTTGTTCTGTTTCAATGGTAATGCACAATGAATCCTCGGAAGAGCTGTTTTGATGGTTGCTGAAATTATTCCGATGCTGTTGATGATGAAAAAAAGGAGCAAATGTATGATGAGGAGGAGTATTTGTGGACATTGTATGGGACAGTAAACTCTCTTGAGATTGAGAGGATTGCACTCCTATTGAAGAGATGGATGATTCCGATCGTACCAGAGTTGATGGTTGTTGTTGTTGTTGCATGATGTGATTTCAATTTTTTTAATTGTTGAATTTTAAAATTGCGTCTGCGGAGAGATTTCATGAACAGCGGATGAAAAGGAGTTATTGAAAAACAAGTGCGTCGTTTATTATTCAATACTTTAGAATTGGATCTTGTATTGGAATTTCAGATAGGAATTGTTTCTTTACAAAATTAAAAAGTCACACGCGTTAAAAATAATGAACAACAACAACAACAACTTACTCTCGGAGAGCACACCATACTCCATCAATGATAACAATGATTTTTTGGTGTTTTAAAGTGCTCCGATCACATACTCATCTCTCACACGAGAGACGGAATTATCATCTTGACAGAATGATAATCACATAGTTATTATTATATAGATCTATGGCCCGAATGATGAATCATTTTAGTTGTCTCTTCAACTTACCAATGTAATAAATGATGGTAATTCTTGATCAAAATATTTCTTGCTCCATTACCGTCACGAGGGATGTGGAAGTGACAATGATTGCAATGAAACCATTTGCTTCCATAAAGGTCTTCCTTGATCACTGAACAATTTCCACACGTTTTCGATGTATATTGTTCTGTGACAACATGTACCTTGCATCCACGCATTTCTGCCTTTTGCAAGAGTTTCATTCGAAAATCATAGTGTCTAAATCGCAACATTTGGCGAACAGTTTTTCTAGTAATTTTTCTTCCAACCCATTCGGAAGTGTTGGTGGTGGTTTCACTTGTGGTGGTGTCCCTTGATTCCCATCCTTCGAATGGTGAAGACGATGCAACAAGAGGTTCTGTTCGCACATCCATATTCTCCGTTTGGTCATTAGTATAACCTTCTTGTCCTTGACACGTGGTATCTTCTTTTCCTTGACGCTTCCTTTGTTTTTGTTTTCTAGCAATCATGGCCTTGACATTAAATTCAGGTATTATAATTTCAGAATAGTGGAAAGTTAAATAGTCAATAATTTTGTTATGCATATCATTCACCTTATTTCTAATTTTGCTTTCCAGCCTTCTAATCTTCTTTTTTAAGGCTTTTCTTAAACCCTTATAAAATTTTCGTTCCTGCCGAGAATTGTATTTTAGAAATTTGTTCTTGGCAATTTCCGACCTGAGCTGATCTTGCTTTAGAGAGAGGGAAAAGAGTATGGTGTTTTCTCCTTGAGCGGCAAACTCCAATGCGTCTCCATTACTATCATAACCATACATGAAGCATCGTACACCTGGATCCAATGCAATGTATTCCTTTCTGAGTTCATCTTGAGAAGGTTGTGGGCAGTCCTTGAGAAATATCTTGTCATATTCAATTCCACTGTTCGAATTGGACTCGTAAAAGCTTTTATCAAACCGTTGGTATTCTTGTCGAGTTAAAGCTTTGTGATAACGGACTGGAAGGCAAACAAAATATCGTCCTCTTTCTCGTACAAAGGTTGTCTCGTGTGAAAATTTTTTGTTGTCTTGATGTTTGGGTAGGCGATGGGTAGACGGATCATGGAAAAATTAGAATTCAGAAAAGTTCCAATCACATTCATGTAAGGGATTCAAATCACCTGCATGTAAGTAAAATCGAAATACATATATATACATACCAATCTCTTCCTTTAACCACTTTCGTGCTCTTGTAGGATAATAAAATTTCAAAAGATGATCCGTAGATTTCTTGGAAGGACATGCACTTTCATTCCCTTTAAAAAAGGTAGGTTTTAACAACACTCCTTCCTGTGATAATGAAATGTTTGTCACCTTGAACGACTGATATGGATGTTGATTGCTTCGTCCTTTCATTTCGAATTCACATGGTTGTCGAGCAAAATGCTTGGGATTAAATCTTTCGTTCAATTCTTCATCAGTAATCATCTCCTTCTTTCCTTTTTGAACCTCTTTAAGAAATTTGTTTTTGGCCTTTCGAGCAGCCTCTTTGGATTCCTTTTCTGCTGCTTGCTTGTTTTTATATCTAGTAATTTTCTCAGCCTTGACAAAGTCTTTCACAGCGTTCAATTTAATATCTGCTGGACAATGTTTCAACTCTTGATCCCATAGCCACCTAGTTTGTTTGAATCTCAGGTTGGTTTGGGGATTCTTCAAAATTTTAAAGTAATCGTCTTCTGTGGTGGTAAGGAATGTTTTTCCCTTGTTTTGCTCTAACATGAAATGAAAGAGACATGCTTCATTATAAGCATGGTTAGAATTGAAGAAAAATCTTTCAAAGACCTTCTTTTGTTCTGAGGTGAGTTTCAATCTCACTTTCTTTGTTCTCACAAAATAATTGTCTTCGTTTGAGATTGAGAAGGAGGTGAATAATTGTTTGAGCAATTTCTCGATAGCATCATCAGCTTTTTCCTTTGATTCCGCAGTAGTGGAGGAATTGACTCCATTCTCAGCAGTCGTAGATGAACTTACTTCATTCTCAGCAGTAGTGGATGAATTGACTCCATTCTCAGCAGTCGTAGATGAAGTCACTCCATTCTCAGCAATCGTAGATGAATTCACTTCATTCTCAGCAGTCGTGGATGAATTCACTCCGTTCTCTTGAAGCATTGTTAAAGACTCCTCCAACGCAGATACTTCTTTGAATTCCTGAACAAGCTTCTTCTTTTCTGACCCAAACTTGCGTCCGTTGAACGAGCAGACTGTCCTTTTAAACTTGGAATTTCCACACTTACATGGCGTCTTTTTCCAAGTTTCTGATTTGCTCCACACTTTTTCTACCAATTCCTTCTTGCTCGGAGGTGGTGGTTCTGTGGATGGACATCGTTGGCGAACGGAAAGGATAAACCAACTTTGGGTCAGTATTTTCGTACCATTCTTGGCAAAACATGACACGGGACAAATCTTGTTCAAACGATCAACCGTATCATCATGCCAAAACGGTTTTCTTAACTCCTTTGAATCAGTCGAAACAGTGGAATTGGGAACCATCCTTCTCTTATTCAATCTCTTCTTCGATGGTTGTTGTTTGTGATAGAGTTGCCTTTTTCTTAACCGTCGAACCTTATTTTTCAGCGACTGAAAAGTTCGGTGTTTAAAGTAATCTCGGTAAATTTGTTCCAAATTCATTCCCTTCCGCAAGGATGTCACAATTAAATCCTCTTCCGACTGTGAATAAGGTTCTCCTGGAGTCGTTGGTACATTGGACTTGTTCGATGATGGTTGTGCTTGTCTTAACGGTAAGGGTTTGGATGGACTTAATTGACCAAGTTTCATAATCATTTTGTGGTAATGATCAGAATTGGTCCATGTTTCTGGAAAAGTTATCGATACAGTAGAGGTAAGGGTGCTAATATCAGTGATTTCTGAAAAGGTTAAATCATCGACACTCCATTGAATGATAAAATTTGTTGCATCTGAAACATCATATGCTCCTTCCAATCTGGCACGATTAATCTTTCTTTTCAATTTCTTGTACTTTTTCTTCAATGAGTTGATGGATCTATCAAAAAAGAAAGTACTAATCTTACTCCATTCCATATTGAATTGTTTTAAAAATAACAACATGTAACGTTCTTGGGTTGCGTATGCTTTTCCTTGATCGAGAGAGAGAGGTTCAATACTAATTCGAGGGCCCTTTCAAACCTTCAGCCGCAGCAAACAGCCATTCAGCCAGGATAGTCCTCGCTGCCGAAATTATTTTCAGATGCAATCAACAGAATCCTTTGGCATCCGGTTGAAACAGGATTTTTGCGGCTGAGATAGGATTTCGATCAGGTGATCAGTTTATTTTGCTGACTAAAAAACCGTTCTCCACAATGACGGTTCTTAAAATATTTCATAAAATCTTTAAAAACGTCCATCCAGGCAAAGGTTTTTGTTCTTCTTATTCCTTTTTGTCCACTGTTTGATTTGCTTAATTTGGCAGATGTAGACATGATTGTTTTCATCTAATTGGAGAACATAATCACCAATGCTTAAATATTCGGAATTGAGAGTCTAATTTGCTTCTGGTTTTTCAATTTGTTGTTTGTGATAGGTAATTCCTCCAATGGTGATATGTGCGTTGGATTGTTTGTTTTTGAAATTTTGCAGCAAGTTGTGTGGTTGATGTGTTCTGTTCCATTGCTGCTCCAATTTATCGAATTCCACAATGTCATTATTCGAATATTGTTTCAATTTGAATTCTTTTGTAAGTAAAACTTCAATACCAGGTATATTCAAATTAAACAATAGGGTATGAATGGTTGGATTCATATTCAGTATCTGAAAGCATGGCAAAAGTGCAACATGCTCTTTCAAATTCACCAATAACAATATAATTAATATGTTCTGGTGATGGGAAGCAACAATAATACTCATATGGTAATCTTGTGGATTGATCTTTCTCTTTGTTGAATTGTAAGCCAACAATTAAGGCACTTAAAAAATTATTGAGAGCATTCAAGAAATTTTCAGCGTTCAGATTGGTATTGGAGCCACAATATTGTCGAGCCACTCCATAAAAATTCTCGATCATATATTCTTGCAGTTGAAAAGGCAAAAATACTCTGTTGTTGGGTGATGATTGAACTCTATACATTGTCAAACAAACCGATCATTAATAACAACAATAATGGATAAATTGACAATTTATCTACCTTGAAGTCGAAGTATAAATTGACTCATTATCAATTTCGATGTCAGTATTGTTATGATTTGTTTCTTTTTCTTTGAGGAAGATGCGAACGATTCCACAAAGCTCTTTTGTTATGAACATTTGTTTGACATCATCTTCAATCATAATTTTGTTTTTACGTGAAATCTTTGGTTTGGATTATCATTTTCGGGTTGCATTCGGAAAGAAATCACTGCTTCACATGAAGTGCAAATGACATGATCTCTTCATCATCAAATAAATTTAGAACAGCAATGCTTCTGATAGCATTTTCTTCAAAAATACGAATTACTGAATTGATGTCTGATGGTGTGAATTTTATATCGGTAAGATAGTCATAGAGAAGATGAAGATCAGAATTCGTTTCGTGGGTGTAAGTTGATGTGGATTGGTTGTCTAGCTCCACATTTGAATTCATTTCGTTCAAGGATAACATGCCAAAGCTTGTTCGGAATTGTTGTTGTTGCTGTTGTTTTGCATTTTTATTGTTAAAAATTTTATTCGTTGTAAAGCCAAAAACAACCGCCAAAATCCGTAAACATCCGGATTCTGGAGGATTCTGGATTTCCACAAAGTTTGGGAAGTCAGCAGGAGCTGGCAGCCGTCCTTTTCGGCTGTTTGCTGCGGCTGCGGGTTTGAAAGGGCCCTCACTAATTCCACGCTCCAAATAAGCAGTCCTTAATAAGTCTCCAAATTTATCAACAGTAGATACGTCTTTCAATACTTCCAATCTCTGCCAATGAAAAGCAATCTTCTTCTTTTTCTTTGCTCTTTCTTCCTCACACTTATAATGATCACTTAAAGTGTGTTCATATGGCGAAAATTTAATTTGCGCCATTGGTATGTATGGAGGGATAGAGAAACCACCAAAACCACCAACGCCTTTCAATTTACGCCATTTATCAATACGTTCCATCATGGAACGTTTTTGATAAGGATGTTTGCATATCATTTGTGGTTGCTCTTTTATCACCAAGACTCTCTTTGAATTTTGAAAGGTTTTTTCAATTTCTCTGGTAGGATTGGGTGATTTGATGGGGTTGATATTGGTAACCGATGACTTGTCAACATGTTCCAACTTGGGTGATTCTTGGTCCTTTGTTGATGTTTGTTCTGAAGTACTTGGAGGAAATGGTGAAATGATTGGATATAATTGAGGAGAGAAGGGATTTAAAGGAATCCATGGTGGAGGGAATCCAGGTTGAAAAGAGAGATTTGGGGAAAAAATGGCGGGATTTGGAGGGAAAATTGGTTGAGAGGATGGATTTTGTTGAGTGAAAAGATTGGGATTTGGTGGGAATATAGGTTGAAGGAATGGATGATGGGAGGAGGTGAAACGAGGGTTGTTTGAATTATTCTCCTCACGACTCTGGTTGTTCATGATGAATTATTTTTTTTAAAATATCCTTAATAATAATAAATATTTTCTATCGTATGGGTTGTGTGGTGATAATAATGAACAACAGCAAGCCTTCCGAACCAATGATGCCCTTTTGAGAGATTCAATACGAACCAATGATGCCATTTCCTAGGACTCATCAGACTCTTCATCAGAAGAAGTATCACTGAGGATTTTTAATCTCAGACCCACACACCCAGCAAAAATGAACCTGGGATTGGGTGAGTTGGGCGTGAGGACGGCGTTTAATCTCAAACACAACACAGGTCCAAAACCTGTTCGTCAACCTTTCATAAAAAATATCACGATGTGATCATCTTTGTTTAATTCAAATTTAAACAAAGAGTTTATCACTGTTTTTAACTTGATATTCATTAATTCAAAAATTTTTTGGGTGTGAAATGAGCGGGTGGGTGTGAGGTACGGCGTTTAATCTCAACTCACCCAACCTGTGTGGGTGTGAGATTAAAAATCCCCACTGTAATCATCACCCACCCGCTCGTAATCGTGATCCGTTCCATACTTCTGCCCCTCACGGCTTGTTATTGAGTAGTCCCTTATTTTCAAGTTTCATCGGTTGTTGTTGTTGTTGCTGCTATTTATCAGTCCCTTATTATCATGTTTCATCCAAATATTGTTGTTCTCACGAGTTGCAAATGTTCTGCATGTACTATTTGTATTTTGCCAAAAATCGTTATGCAATTCCGGGCGGATCTGCCTAAAGCTTTACAAGGCATACACCCTCTCGGTTGGAATTGAGGCAAGAGTTGTTGTGCAATAAAGTACATAAACAAAAGCACTCAAATGATGCATCAAGAAACGTTGACCCTCGCCAACTCGCCAACAAACTCGCTGGAGTATTTTGGCTCGGGTTAAACCACTGTGTGTCACTCTTAATTTCGTAAAGAACTGGTTTAAAGGTTTACAAAAAAATGAGTTCATTCGTTTGGCGGTCGCTCACAGTGGTAGGAGTGTTAGCCTTGCTTCATTCATTGCTCTCGGCAGCTCAAAGTATGTTTTTTTTTTAATACTACTAGTAATCATCATTGATGGTTCCGAAATTGAAACTCATGCGATTTAAATATATTCATGTAAATTCAAACTCATCATCGGAATTATTATATTTGCAAATTAATTTCATCACATCAACAATAATCTTGAAATAGTACAATCGGCTCAAGAAGGATCGTTACCTTTTGATATTATTGTGGAATGTTTGTTTGGAGCATTATTGAGTAGCTTTGCTTTTGTGAAATTGAATACTATTGTTCAATACGATAGCGATGGAATTACAGTATCGAAATCAAGTCCTCAACCAGGATTAATTGTGGATGGATGGAAAAATATTGACGCTTCCAAGGCAATTGCTTCTTCTAAAATGTATGTTTTAAAGTTCGGATGTTAAGCAAACATGATAATGTTATGTATTTTATGGATTCACACGTGATTTTAATGAAAATTTTAAAACATAATTTACCTCCTAATACACAATTGCTAGTACTGTGGAAAGTATTAACAATAGATCAAATTTCGCACATTTTAATCATAGAGCCAAGTTTTTATATAACGACTCAGCATCTGCCAGTAAATAATTGCACTGTCACTGACAACATTGATCATCAGATATTAGCTGACAAATCACATATTAAATATGATAATAATTTAATTAATAACGCGAGTACTTTTTTTTGGATTAAGCTTTGGATTTTCTGTATCGCAATGGAATTTTGATTGATAAATTGGAAACTCAACTAATATGAGAATATTCATGTTGGAAAGAGTATATAATCAATGCCTTACTCTCAAAATAAGTTTTCCAGTATAATCTTCCGCATAGAGAAGACTGAACACTCTGGCAACATCCTCTTTCTGACCCAAGTTGCACTCAACCACATGCTCCTCCAGACCATTCAATTTCTTTTCCTGGATCCATCTTACCAAAGTCTGTGACGCTTCCTTAAACTTTGATTTGAACTTGTCCAACACAAAACCTTCCATTCGAGCACTTTTCAAAATCAAATTCACATAATTGAAAGGTCCTTCAATTTTTGAGGCATTATGTTGTGAAATGGCTCCACACAAAACCACACGAGCATTGTGATTAATATGTTCCAAACACACATCCAACATGAAACCTCCCACAGTATCAATCAAGACATCAATTCCATTGGGACACTGAGTTCGAATGGCCTCACTCAATGACTCTCGATCGATTTGCTCCGATATACGTTTATACACATCGGTCAAGTATAAGGCTGAGGATGGTGAAGGAGGAACATTCACCGACGACGATTGAGTTGATTCAAAGGTTGGCTCAAAACACGAACCTCCTGCACAAAACGTTCCAGAAGGTGTCACATCAAAAGGTACGGGTTTCTTCAAGTGTTGAGAATAATCCAAACATTCGTCATATTTGAAATTTTGTTTCATGACTCGAACTTTTTTCTCTGAGGAACAAAGACCCAAAATTTGCACTTGTGGCACATAGGAAGGTTGTGTTGTTGTTGCCGTTGTTGTATTAGCAGCACTTCCACTTGTGACCATTGAAGAAGAAGGTTTTGTAATCATCATGGAGGGTGGTGGCAGCGATGAAAATAAGGCAGGAGAAGACGGATGATGAAAAAGTCGATGTCTCATCTCGTTGTAATCCTCTTTCTCCTCTGTGAATGGCGATTGATAGAAGGATCGTGACATGGCACCACCTCCTCGAGGACTCTGATCAGATCCAACCAACGCATGGACACACCAATTTAAGGTTGGGCTTTTAGCCTTACTGCACATTCGAGGAAATGGTTGAGAAGTATCGACTTGTAAACCTTCACTGTGAGTTCGTGTCGTCGATGGAATTGTGGTACTAGTGCCGAGTGAAGCTTCAGATTTTGTGTTTGATTTGTTGTTGACAAGGAGTGACGACGGTTTTTCAAGATTGGTCAACAATTCTTGTTGACGCTGTTTCTTGACATGTTGATCCGTTAGATAGGCCCTTACAATTTGTGGAATTAAGGCACCGACACATCCAGAGCCACCCGTGACCATGACAGTATCTCCTTCAGAAATTTGAGAAATTTCAGTGACTGCAAAATAGGCGCACAAACCAGCTTTGGAAAGTGTGAGGAATGAAGCCAAACTCGAATTCATGGTAATATCTCGTACCAAATTGTCATCGAGATCTTTACCTCCACTAGAGTACAAGTATTTTTGAATTCCTAAATTTCCATAGACATTTCTATAATGAATTGGAAAAGAATGAACAAAAAGAATGAAAAATTTTGATTACAACAATGAATGGAACAGTGAGAATGAAAAAAAAGAATGAAAAAATTTGGTTACAACAACAACTTACCTTCCCTTTGTGAAGAGACGATTTCTTGATTCAATCACTTCTCCAACAGCATAACCTTTGAGTACGCCATGATGGAGTTGACACTTTTTGTTTTCTTCTTTTGAATGTTTTTCATGAACATGTTCCATTAAGGTAGTACTCGATGGTAAAGCTGTTTGCTGATGTTGTGGTTGTTGTTGATATTGTTGATGACATGGTTGATGAGGTAGTGGTGGTGGTGGTGGATGCATGGATTTTGAAGGACCACAAAACGGAGGAGGACAATATCGATCACTCTCTTGACATACCAATGTTCGAAATGATGCATCCATGGCAATATACAAGATTTTAATGATAATATCACCTTCTTCGAGAGGAGGTAGAGTGACCTGTCGAGTGATGATATTTTCCAAAAGATCGTCCTTACTTTTGGGTTTTGATTTGAGATGAATTTGAGTGGAAATGTATTTGGAAGTGTTGTCATGATGTTGTGGTGATTGTTGTGAATGCATGGAGGGTGAGGTTGAAGGAGGAGGCATGAGATTTCGATCGTCCATGGATGCTTGTTCTAAATGAGGATCTTGTTGTTGTTGTTGTCTGAGATTTATATGTTCTGTTAAGGTACTACTTGGTTGGGTCGAAGGTATTTGAGACTCTTGATAGGTTGAAGCAGAAGTAGGAGAGGCGGTTTCATGGGAAGGATCGTGCATACCTTTGTGAATTTGTGTATTGATGGGAGGAGGGAGTAATGGATCCTCTGACGATGTTGGTTGAGGAGGACTGTTCACAATACTCTTTCCTTCCAAACTAGTTTCCTCTTCAGGATGTGAAGGATTGGTTGTTGTATTAGTGGACAACGACGCTGGATTGCTCATGACGATAAGGTTGTATTTGTTGTTCAATTGTACGGCAATTGTTTTAAAACGTTACACGAGAGTGTTTAAAACTTGCTGACACAAATTAATGAATGCGTAAAATGGACAAGTACTAAATAAGGAGATAATAGTTCATTGAGGTGTTATGATCTTTGATCAAATTTTTATAATATACTGCTTTACGAATTTATGTAAATTGTATATTAGGGGTTATTTACATTGAGCTCAATAATGACAGACAAATGACTAGTGGGTGATTCAATCTCGGAGTGACAATACCCTTTCTTTTTTGATGGTCATTTCGAAAATTATTCATCATCCGAATTTTCCTTATTCAAATTCATATCCTCTAACTCCTCAACTACATCCGAGACTTCATCATGACCTGGAGGTCGAGGAGGGAATGAAAATGATTGAAACATGGACGTTGCAAGAGAAGCGTCTTCGGTAATATTTGTTGGCACACCACTACCTCGTCTCCGAGATTTGGAGAGAAAGACTTCTCCACTGGTCAATTCGGTCAGTGCTGTTGTGGTTTCCATGCTTATTCAATTTGATGGTTAGTACGAAACGATGATGATAATGGTTATAATAATGATGTTTTTTGATGAGTAGGGGTACTCGTGGAGAGTGTTGTTGATGGGTTTTCAGCGATTATAGATAGAGAGAGAGAAAATGATAAGGGGTGCTTTGTGTATGGATGAGGATCAATACAGCGAGATTGAGATAACCTCAATAGAAAAAACAAAGACCCGTTGAGCTTGGACACTACACTCCGAAGAATTCTGAATGAAAAAACTATCAGTGCTTACACTCCTCAACGGATGATGAAACCAATAATAATGAATGAGAGAGGTTGTCAAACGCTCTTTATCTCGACAACGTATGAGGAGAGAGATGCACAACGAACTTTTTTTTTAAAGGAAAAAGCGCTTGGACTTCTCGATTTGGAAAAATTTTCTCCACTCGTCAGCTCACACAAGTGTTTTATTCTCCTTCAATCTAACACATCTACATGAATGAGAATTGTTCCATCGTTGCAACAAAAAACTGCCTTCATGAACACCCTATTGAAGACTACTGATGAAAAAAGTCTTGAATCATCAATGTAGTTGTTACTTTAACAAGATTATAATGACGAAGAATTGAACCATTCAAATGGTTTCAAATCAAACCGCGACAATTAATGCGAAAAAAATGTGTGACAGTATTACTATCCAACAATTGTCACGCTTTTCATTGCTCTCGGTGATTCTCGGTTGGATGGCCGTAGTGATGGTATGTGCAACCACACCACCACACGCACACTCACACTTGGATCTTCACGATCGAGAACTGTCCAATTATGACTGTCCATCTTTGAAATGCAAACAACAATGTTTGTATGGATTTAAACGACGAGTCAAGAATGGATGTTTCACATGTAGAACAGTTGATGATGATAGATTGAATCGAGTGGAGGATGATGATGAAGAATTGGATACATTGGCAGATGTTCTGTCCGATTGGTTTGGGAGAAAATATCGAATTCCAAAGATGTAATCTGTTTTGGATTGTCAAGACATTATCTGTGGTCATCAATATCTTTGTAATGACACAAAATAAATTGATCTTGATTACTACTACAATCTCAAATATCACTTGCCAATTCTTTAATGGTGTTGTAAACGTGAAAGTATTTCTCCGTATTCTCTACACATGCGTTGAATGGAAGAATCTGAGCTAGAAATGAGCATGACAATGAGTAATTGTAAGACACTTCTTTTTTGTTCTCCAGCAATGTAAGGATTCCAATCGGTGTCGTTCTTGATATTGCCCTCAACGAAAGGAGAGTAGCTGATGGGTCCCAGAAGGAAGTTAAATAAATCTCTCAAGCGGTGGTCTTTTTGTTGTTTCGATAAGTGTTTTGCGTAGGCCTTCACGCAATGCAAGTACGTATTCTTGTCACCAATAGCAGCAGCGGAAGTCATGGCCATTTCTAAATCATCAATAATGTCAATATTTACATTTTCTGGAGTTGCCGTAGCAGTGGCTGTTTCTGGATGTGCCAATTTGTATTTTTTCACAGCCCTAGCTGCCTTATTTCGGAGAGTCATGAGAGTCACTTCTGTCTCTTCAGCATTGAGTTCATCTTCATCGGTGTTTGTCGTTCTACCCTGTGAAAGGAATGGTGAAAAGATGGAATGTGAATCGGCCACACAAATCCACGTCTTTAAATTCATATCATAGGCAAATGATTCTCCATTCATGAGTGTCAAAATACCAACACCATTCAAAGTGACAACCACGTCATCGACAATTCTGCTCTCCTCACTAACAATACCCGAATTACTGAGCAATGAGTCGACGCTGGCACGCACAAGACACTTGCTCTTTTTAATGTCCCACAAATAAAACATGAGCTCGAGTGTGTAGACCACTAAATATTCACCACAACAATTCAAATGTTCAACCTTAGAGTCCAAAATCATGGGCGGTAACAGTCTCATTCCAGAATGTGTTGAAAATACATGGCATTGATTCGAAGGGAATGTACAAATGCATACAAAGTAATTGGTTCCTGCAGCTTGAATTGGATAATTGCACAATTCACTACCCGTTCCTGAAACAGTGGCTTTCCATTTGATGGAACCATTCGACTTGTATTCCACAGTTCCTTCCAGAGAGCAAGTCAATTCATCGGTTGAGCTAATTTTAAGGTACAGTGGTTCTGTAGGTATGGTAGATACATCACGATGGGTGGCCAATAAAGCAGTTGGAGGTTGATTTTGCTTATTTTTCTTTGATTTGCTCTTCTTTTCTTGAGGGCTGGCTGTTGAACTATTTTGATCTGTATTCGTAAACTCTTGTCGTGTTCGCTTCTTAATCAGTTCAGTATTGGAGACCGTCACACCCACCAAATCACTCACAGTGGGAATAATGTTTGTGGATTGTCCAAAACCAAAGGATGTTGAGGCAACTACAGATCTCGATTGATCGACTCGAGAGGTCATGGCTTGAAGCAGAGTGTCGTCACTTCCTAAACCAAGTTGCATTGTGTCGTTCAGTGCATTGCTGGTCGAGTCAGTGGTACCTGTTGTTGAATGACTTGTAGTACTTCCAGTCATCGTGGTTTTTTGTTGGAGATCTTCATCTTCGTCATCTTCAACAGCCGTATGAACAGGTATAATTCTCTTTTTACCTGATGCTGTGGTGGTAATGGTTTGTTGTGGAGGATTTGATGGAACCTCTTTAGTGGTGTTCCTTGTTTGTTTTTCTGCAGAGGTGGCAGTTGTGCTACTCGTCTCTCTGTTTTTAATTGGTAATGAACTATTTGCTGTTGAACTATTAGAGGGAAGAGATGGCATGGATGAAGAAGCAACAAGACCTTGTGCAAGACCTAATGCATTTGGCCTTCGTGTCACTGTGACTGAGTCATCTTTCGGCACGGAAAAATACGTGGTTGGATATTCTTTCAATACTCCAGTCCATTCAGTTCCATATAATTGTTGTAACATGTCTTGTTTCGTTTGTGTGTCGATAGGCTTTCCTAAATAATCCTTCTCAAAGGCAACCAATACCACAGTTCCATCGGTGCAGCTGGCCATGAGAGTAGTGCCATCAGTGCTCCAAGCCATGTCACTAATTCGTTCGCTGCAAACGTGTAAGAGTCTTGCGATGGGCTCAGTCGACTCGGTACACCAAATCGAAATGGTTGCGTCTTCACTGGCACATGCAAAGAACATTAAATTTTTGGTTGGCTTTTGGAAAATGACAGGGTTAAAGACAGCACACGACACAGCATCTGTTCCACACTTGTAGGGTAAAAAGCGTGACATGTCCTCTCGTAGCACAATTTTCACACAATAGGCGCCTTGATGAAATCCATTAGGAATGAGAATATATTTTCCACATGGAGAAAAACTTGGTCTATAATAGAGAATTGGGGCTGTACTGAACTGATCTAAAATTTTCGTATGGAGTTGAAATTTACCATCTATTAAAGCCCAAATACATGCCATATTTTCCGATTGAGAAACAAGATATCTACCGATTGGATCGAATGCTAGACCCTTCACGTGATTCATGTGCTCGTTTGAGTTCAATATTGGCTCGTCAACATTTTTAGACGACAAGTCATAAACAATGACCTTATTATCAATTGAGCAAGATGCCAAATATCGAGAGTCGTGGCTCCATGCAACAGAAAGAACGTCCATTTGATGTGATTTAAATAACCTGTTATGTTTCCAATCCTCCTTCTCTGTGCCAGCTTTAGTAACCTTAGAAAGTGATACTGAATAGTCGTCAGAAGCAGCTGCAAGGTATTTTCCATCAGGGCTAAATCTCACACAATTTACATTAGAGCTGTGTGTTGTAATTTCCTTGATTAGGAATTTACTTGCATCTGTTTTGACTGTTTTCACCTGATGACTATCCGTTGCATAGAGATCAGTGATGGTTACCAAAGGGTTACGTGCATTACCAGAACTGGCGCTATTTGTTGTGTTTGAATTTGGATTGCTAGTATCAGTACTACTACTACCACTACTGCTCACATTTGTGGTTGATGTGTTTCCTTCTGTATTGTTGGTATTACTAGTACTATTATTATTGTTCATACTGTCATTTGCAATAATACTCCCATTATTTTGATCCGATGATGATGATGCAAAATAATTACTTGATCTCCACACACAAATTTTTCCAGCATGAGCCGTTGCAAATCGTGTATTATCAGGATGTATATCAATCGAGAAAACGGAAGACTTTTCTGTGGAGACCCAATGAATGCTTTCGCAGGCTAAATTGAGTTGTTCTTTCGTATTGTTGGGAGAAGGCTTTGGTTTCGGAGAAGATTTCTTTTTGGATGATGGTGGAGAGTAAGACGATGAAGAAGTAGTAGTTCCAAGGGCCACTTTCCAAGAAGCCTGTGATGAAGAGGAGGCTGAAGTAGCCGTTACGGAAGGATTGTTGCTGCTCATGTGAATTTTTTTTTAAAGTCGTTTTTAATTTGGGAGTGGCGGGAAATTTGACGAAAAAATTTGGATCCACAATAAGATACATAAGAAATAAATTAATATTTATACAACATAAGTGTTCATTAACATTAAATAATTATTTCACTACTGCTACACAACTACTACTTTTCCACAATCGAAAGTGTTTCCTTCACTACATAATCCTTCGTCTTCATGGGCACATATTCTCCATTTTCCCAAGCTTGCAAATAATTATCATAGGTCTTGGCAAAGATATTTCCAGATTGTCCCATTGGTATGATAAATACACTTGCTTCTAAATTCGAATGATCAATCACTTGTCGATATGCAGGTCCAAAACTATTCGATAAAGTATCATCGGATGGTGCACCTTCATTGATCGTATCTGTTCCACCAGATCGTCTTGAAATTCTTGTTCCCAAACATCCTGTCAATCCATACGCTCCAAACAATGGATGTGTAAATCGTGTCTGATGAATTCTATACGAAGAATATGCTGGAATAAATGAAAATTTCGAACGTAATACTTTGAGAACGGCTTCCAGTTGATCTCGTGCAAAACCAATACAAGTCTTGTCACTTGAAAATTTCACACAATTTGGATCCACTGCTGCGGAAGGATTTGAAATTTCTTGTTGCATTACTGTTAATGCATATCGTGTCGAAGGAGGGAATGAATTATCTTTTGAAAATGGTAACTTGGTTTGATCGTATTGTGTCTCATTGGAAGCCAGTTTGGTAATATATTTGAGCCAATATTCGAAAATGGTAGCAAGTTTTGAATCAGGTACCATGTCGCCATTCCAATCCACTAATTGTTTTCGAATTTTTTCGTGATATTCGTCTTTGAATGGTTTCATTTTCTGGAAAATGTTTCGATTCATGATAAATAACATGCTGACACTGTCTATTTGAAGAGCAGTCATGTCTTGTAAAGTAATATTGGTTCGAGTGGTTACTAAATTTGAAATTAAACTTTGAATTCTCATGGATCTTGCATAGAGTAAACCATAATCATTGGTAATTCGAATAATGGATGGAGTCTCTGGTTTGTTATTGGCAGAGAAAATAAATGATGCTTTTTGTTGTTTGACCTCTGTTGGAGTCAAATCTGGAAGAGTGTCATAGGGAGCAGTGACAAATTGGTTGGTCAATGGATCAATATCCCATGAATAATCTTCTTCGGCAGTCACATAGGTCTTGACTGGTCGTAGACCCAAATTTTCATCGGGTTTTGTTCGGAGTGGAACTCGACCAGCAGCTGTGTACGCAATATTATTGTTGGAATCTGCATAAATGACATGAAGAACAGGAGCTGTCAATTTGCCAAATGCCTTATCAAATTCATCAAAATTTTTAGCAGTTGGAATGGTAAAGAATGTCAATAAACTCGTGTCCTGAATGTTGGTGTCCAAATATCGGAGAGCGAGACGTTTCTTTTTTGGTAAGTTTCGAACGGGATACAACGAGTCACCAAGAGATCCAGCGATGAGAGGTCCAAATTGTGTGGATGTAATGTTGAAAATTGCCCTTCCTCCATCTTTCAAATTCAATGTGACTGATTTCACAGTATATGGAATTGTTTTTCCCTTATAAATGTAACCAGAACCATCCTCTGTTTCTTGCAATTCATACAAATCCATCGTGTCAGCACCAGCATTTGTGAAAGACCATGAAATTCCATTTCCATTTCTACCAATAATAATGCATGGCAATCCAGCGATAGATCCACCAATAGTTTCCATTGGAGTTGTTCCAGTCACTTTCAAATGCATGAGAAGGAACATGTTTGGAGCTTGTAAGTGAAGATGAATATCATTTGCATGAAGAGGTTGTTTTCCTTGTGTGTAATCTCCAGAAATGACCCAATTATTAGATGCTTGCATGTAAGGTCCCTTATTGGCAATGGGTGATGAGAAAATGTTTTGTGGATCAAAAACAGACCAAGCCAATCGTTGTCTAATGGTTGATGAGGATGAGAAAATATCAGTCAAATCATTCACACCAGAGAGAATATTCTCAAAGAGTCCATAAACGCTTGTCTTGGCAAAATCCAACAGGTTACTACCAAAACCCAAATTATTCACTTGACGAGTATTCGTTTGTTGTTGGCTGGTGACTCTAGTCGAGTAGGTAATATTTGTGTTGAGATTGGTTTTAGGTTGTGAAATGAATGGAAAACCATTGGGATACTCGTTTGGAAGAATGGTCGAAATTCTTGAGGCTGACAAACCTAACACATCCAATTCATATCTTTGAATTTCTGAATAAATATTTCCAGAGAGAGTGAGGGACAAGTATTTGTGATGTGCCAAAATATCGACTCCAGTGAATACGGTAGGTTTGTAACCAATGAGTTGATACTCGACAGGAATTGCTGGCATGGTTTTCACATAAAAACTCAAACCATTCGCATAGGCATCTAATTTATCCTTATCAGCGCTATTCAATAATTTGTAATCTCGTTGCGCAGCTTCGTACAGACCCAAAGTAAGATAGAATCGGTCAGAAAATAGTAAATTGACACCAAATGTTTGAGATAAACTTCCTTGAAGCGTTCGTTTCAAAGTATCAATTTGCCACAATCTCTCCTGAGCATGAACGTATCCTTGTGTGAAATACAAACTGTATTCATCCGGTGCTGAAATGTGAATCACGTCATTGGCGTCACGATCCACACTCACACTTCCTTTTTTGAGACTATCCATAAATTTCGAAGCGTAGGACAATGCATCCTTATAGGTTGGGTTGTATGCTGACTCGTCGACCAGAGTTTTCATATTCAATGTTCCACGTGTTAGTCCTTGTGCTGCGTTTTTTGTAGTTCCAATCCATACTGAAAAAATCACCAAACCTATCAACATGATAAAATAGACCAGAAATGATCCAAATTGTAAAAATTTCAAAATATATTCCGTTGTTTGTTGATATGCTTGATTTCTACGAGTTTCTTCAATGAGAGACGCAGCTGCATTGGATGGCTGTTCTTGTTGTTGAGCAGAAGAAGCATCGACATTTGTGACGCCTCTATTTCCAACTGAAATTAAACTTTGTTCGTCACTGATCATATCTTGATTATAATTTTCATAATGGTCGTCCGAGTCATCGTCCTCAGAGTCATGTAATTCAGCAAATTCTTCATCGAATCCATTACGAGAAGCAGATAAATTAGGAGGAAGGTCTGATTTTGATTTTCGTTGTTTTCGAGCATCTCTCAGCATGATGGCGACCTATATTGTAGTAGAAGAAGAAGAAGAAGAATTTTGAGTTGAGAGGAATGGCCATTCGAGTGACAATTTGTATTTCCATAAATCAACATGATCATTTTCCAAATGAAACATCACGATCCATAATTTTCAAAATATCGACCATTGGCGATTCCATCCAACACATTCCGAATCAATATGATATCATGATCATCATTCAAATATTTTGGAGAGATATTTCAACAACCAGACTTACCCATAACGATAAAATCAATAAAAATCCAACCAATGACAAGACCACAAACGCAAACAATGAATTACAGATAGCAATCAGATGCGGAATGGTAGCAATCAAATAGAAAAAGGGAACCGAAAAGAATATGGTGGCCACCGAGATGAAGACGAGCCAAAAAACCGATGCCGAACACGAAGGCTTGTTGGATCGATGTCGTGGTTGGGCCATTTTTTGTGGTTTGTTTTTGGTCAACAGGTTGACACCCGTCAAAGCCAGCACACAAGCCGCCACACGATCGCCAGAGAAATCCCTCCTTCTTCATGTTACAATTTCTGAATTCATTTTATTGTTGTTGATTTTCTAACGAATGGTTCGTAGAGTAGTTCTCCTTCATAATATTCTTGCAGATTTGTGGAGGCTCTTTTCCTCTCCATACGGTTGCAATGCAATGTTCATAAAAATCTTGACATTCATGCACAAGTCCAGCACGCATGAGACCCATCAACACCGTGGAAACAGTTTTTTCGGTTGGTTCTACCTTCATTTCTATCAAGCGATTGAACACATGGAGTGCCTGTTGTGGTTGGTTATTATTACAAAATCCTAATAGTATTTGGTTCCATGTTTCAATGTTGGGAACTCGAGTGGTCACAATCTGCTCATATACCTCCATTAGCTTTTCTAATTGTTTGGTTTTACCATAGAATTTAATCATGATAGCTGAGATATGTTCATCGCTTTGCCAGTGCCACAAACGTTTGATGAGCTCAATAACCTTCTCTCCATTTACAACATCTCCGTTGTAGGCACACTTTTTGAGCAATATGGTCATGCATGATGACTGTGGATTGCTGTTTTTAGAAATTGCCTCATGCAAGATTTCACAAGCCGTATCTGTTTGTCCAATAAACGTGTAACCTATAATCAACAAATTATATGCAGTAGAGTCTAGATTTTTCTGTTGTCTCAGATCTGACAGTGCCTTGGTTAATGCTGTCATGTCTCCAAGTTTCCAATAAAAATGGACAATCTCGGTTTTGAAATCCAATAGGTTCACAACGTGTTCAAACATGCTCGCTACCTCAATAATGTATTTTCCTTCCTCAAATAATTTCTTTTTGGCGCATGCGTTGATGAGGGATCCAAATGAGTAGCCGTTTGGCTCATACCCGTTCAGCTTCATTTCGCGAATAGTATCCACAGCTTCGCGAACATGGTCCAAAGCCAGGTATGCTCGAATTAACATGTTCCATGTCTCGACATCCATCGCCTCCTGATTGTGTTTAATCTCAGTAAAAAACTTTACAGCTATTTCTGGTTTTCCACAATTCATGTACAAATTCATGATGGAGCTGGTCAGCTCAGCACCGTACTTGTTGTGCTGCTCGGATTTTTCATGAATTTTCTTTCCTTCTTCCAATAATTTGTGTTTTGCGCATGCTGATATCAGTATGGCAAAGGTTGATGAATTTGGCTCAACCTTGGACGTTTCCATTTCGTTCAAAATCTCAATGGCGCCGTATATGTCGTTTTGTGAAATTTTGGCCTGAATCCAACAATTATATGTCACCTCTGTTATTGATCCATCGTGCTTCATTTGTTTGCACATTTCAATAGCTTCTTCGATATGCCTGCAAGCAATGTACATATGGATGATAGTATTTTTCAACTCGATGCTATTGGGATATTCATGTGTTGCCAAAGTTTGAATTTTCTTTCCCTCTTCAAAGGCTTTCTTTTCCGAACAGAGCTTAGCGAGAGAAATTAATGAATTAACTTCAGGTACAATATTGTGCTCCTTCATTTCTTCCAAAATTGTCATTGCTTGTGTGAGACTTTTTGACTTGCATAGAGATTTCAACAATACTGAATAGCTCACATCGGTAGCTTTATCCATATTCTTGAGCTGATTCATAATTACTTTACATTGATCGTAATCCCCATTGCGTGAGAATACCTTCAACATTCGCTGTAGCACAAACTTCTTTGGCCCTTCATATCCTTGCTCCACAAAATAATGGTACCAATATATACCCTCTTTATCCGAGTCTTTGTCATGCGTCAAACAAGCAACAATAGAATTCCACATGTTTGGAACGACAATATCGCGTTGTTCTTCTTTCGTTTTCTTACTGAAACTATTCATTAATTCTACCAACTCGTGAACAAGCACTTTCATGATATCATGTTTGCGCAATTTGAAGCACACGTCAATGATCGCAACTTTAAGCAGAATCTGTTGTTTCAAGTTATATGCCACTGCTTGTTTGTAAATTTCCATTTGCTGTTCAAAACTAAATTCTCGCTGACGCAGTAAAAAAATTGCATCCGAAACTTTAGGGTTCTTTCGAAATTTGTTTAAACAATTTTCCAAATCATCCTCCATAAAGAATGAACGAACTTTTCGTGTTTTTTGAAATGAATCTAATTGATGAGGTTCCGTGTCAATATTATCATCCTCGATTTGCGAATTAATAAAAGAGCAAGTGCTAAATTGCTTTAAGAAATATGGATGAGATGACTGTACGGATTTTGAAATTTGAGAGCCTTTTCTCATCACCGTAACGCCCTTCCGCATGAAGCAGCCATGGTGTTCAATTGTTGCCAATGCAATGTATCGGGACGAGTGTAACATGCGTTGGTGATTCCAATTTTTTGTTTTTGTTTTTAAAAAAAAATTAAATTCAATAACATGAGATCAATCATAAGAAATAATATTTTGCACCAACAAAATAGGTTCATATTTGCAAAGCCACAACAACACTTGTTAATGGAGCCAATTTTTCCTTCATTCTCGTCGTTACAACAACGAGTATCATCATTCCGAAAGTTTTCTATCAAACTTCCGAATGCAAGCAAATTGAATTTGTCTAATTCATTATCACCTCTCAATGTATTTCGAAAACAGTATAATCAGATGATTAAAGCAGCACCGTTGCTCCGATATTTAACTCCATTGGCAATATTGAGCTTGGTAATTTCATATTTGAGTGGTTTGAGAGAGTACAATCGGAATGTGGAGATGAATATACCCTATGATGTTTATAAATTCTCAATTAAAGTAACAAAGAGAATGGTTCAAGAATTGATACATTTGAAAAATCAACATGCTAATATTGATCTGAGCAATTTGGAATTAATCAGCCATTTGATGGTGAATTGTTTTGATAATGACCATTCAAGACTCATGTGCCAATTCATGCTGAACAAATACGGGAATGAAATAATCAAGGAAGTTCTGAATGTCTCAAACAAGGATCAAGGTCAAACGGCACGTGTGTCAGATGAAATTTTCAGCAATTTATTCAGTAAGATTGATTATTCCAATGCTGCTGACGAATACTTTCATCAGTTCGTGGAGCAAACACCACTTACTTCGTCCTACTTGTCTCATGATTGGAGATATAGATTGTATCGAACTCTCCATAAAGAGAGCAGTGGCGACTCACTTAGATGATTTTTTCTCCAGCATGAATGAATAACGTGTAAGGAAAGAAAAAGAATTCAACTGATCTTCAGCTGAACCCATTATTGCAATACAACACCCTGATCATGCTGTGGTGAGCCATATGGATGTGAATTAAATATGGATAACGAAGGTTTTCACACATTCTATTGCTTCAAATAAAGAATACGTAAGGGTCGAATGAGGATGACTCACTTTCTGAGATTCCACTTTCATCTGTCAATGTTGACATTTGACGGAAAGCACCACAGAAAAAATTAACAGCATACACCATCGCTGTTGTTGCTGACTCTCCATCATTACCAATTTACCAACAACATCATTCGAAATTTGTTGGGCTTTCTCGCATCATTTTACTGTGTACAACCAATCAGGTCTTGTCGTTGAAGTTATCAACAGCAACAGCATCATCTAGATCTTGAAATTTGATACAATTTTATCATCATCACTCCTAATAATAATAACCCATCAACATCATGGACACTCTTATTGATGGCCTTGTGGATCGAGTATCCAAATTGGTATGTAGTTATTGGGAATGTATTTGTTTTTCAAGACAACAATGTCATTATTATTTGTCTGTCACCTCGTCAATTGCGCTATTGTTTAATGATTGTTATAAAATTCTCATATGTGAAATCGTGGTCCATATGATGGTGGTGTATTCCTTTCCATTGTGTCTGTCCATCATCATGATGATGATGACGATGAAACACCATATCCATTTCTACAACGCACTTTTCTTCATCGCACACTAAATGCTGGTTCACTTTATGGCCATACTTTATGGACTACGTCATCATCAAAATGGATCCAATCATCATATTCGGTTCACATGATGGAACAAACCATTCCAACAACAACACATCCTCTTTGCCCAACAACACGACGGCTTTGTCTGTGCACAAACATCACACATGATCCTAATGATTTGTGAACTATGCCACCGCGTGAATGACAATTCAAACAACAACAATAATCATTGCTGTGTGTTGGCAACAAACAAATTCACAAATCATCCATGACAATCTTGATATCATATTGATTGGCACACTCAATATGTGCATTACAACCACACACACGTGAATGTCATTTCAACAAATGTTCACACACACAGCTCCCATTCAATTCTCGTTCCACAACGAATACAATGGGAGATCTTCGCCAAACAGCAACCTCTCTCATCAAACTCTCCAATTATCAATTGGATGCTGTCGTCAGTGGACTCATTCACATTAATACAGCACTCGAAAGGAACTATCATAGTGTCATGTCGTCCTCAGATGCACTTGCATCGATGGGACTCAATTTACCTGGCTTTACAACTTCTGGTGTTGAGGGTAAAGCTTCTCTCAATGATTTTACATCAGGCAGCAACACAACAAACACCACTCCAACAGCAACTCCAACAGCCTCACGATTGAATTTATTGGACGGACTCAAAACAGCTGTTACCGATAAACTAGGAGGAGGAAGTAGCGACAAAAACAACCTCTCTGGAAATAGCAGCAGTGCAAATTCCTCTTCCAATCATCCCAACAGCAATAGCAATACCACGAACGCTTCCTCAATGAATACCTCTTCCTCCATGATGAACAATTCATCTTCTCAAATCCCACCCGAAGCTCTCCATGCCATGGAAGAAGAAGTCTACGAACGTTTCATCCGTTCCAAAATCATTATTTTTCAACTTTTTTTAAAAACGTTGAGTGCCGCCATTAAATACGATCGTTTGGATTTACGGTTCGATGATGATCACTTGCTCATGATTGAGGCTGATTCGTCCAATGTAGAGGCAACAGCATCGAGTGGTTCTCACGGCACCGGAGGAGGAGGAACGTTTGAAGCAACGATCGGTAATAGTAGCAGCAGCAGCAGTGGAGGATTTGGAGATCATGATACCATTCTTGAGACTGGATCTAGCAGCACGACGAACACCTCATCATCAACATCATCCGATCCCAATACACCGGTTGGAATGGATGATTCGGCTACCACCTCAGAAGAAGAATTGGCTCCACCTGCCGGATTCAAAGAAGATGAAATTCCAAGATTGAATAATGACTTCTCGGAGACTCTCCTCACACAAATTATGGAAACTCTGTTCAATTTGAAGAGTCTTGCATCGAGTGGTAGTAGTGGAAGTGGAGTTGGAGGAATTTTGAATGCCAATACCAACACATCGAACGATGAATCTTCTAAAACCAAGGGACCTAACCAATATTTGAAACATTTAGCTGCTCGTGTTCTCTTCAAATTGTCTGTTGTAAATTTCGATGTCGTATTCGTGAGAATTGAAGACTTCTTTAAAAAGATGAAATCTGATGAAGTCGACGACCGTATTTATCAAATGATTGAGTATATCAATTTTGATGCTTCCAAATTGACGAGATTAATTGCACTCTTGAATGAAGTTCAAGCTAAATTGAAACAGAAAGCTTTTGTTGCTCTTGCTGGCCCATTGAGACAAGCCATTTGGAATTGGATCACCAATTATCCTCATCAGTTTATTTCAAATTGTCAGAAAAAGACTGAGTTACCTGGAGGACCACAAAAGCTATTTAATGTGATTGCAGAGAGAAAGTTGAAAAAGCAAATTCCACACATATGGCCTCTTCAAGCCATGATTCTCTTGCTGTGCCCAGAAGTTTTTGCCAATACCATTATGGCAGTGAAACAAGGTGACAAACCAAAAGCAACTGAGAAGAAGGAACACAAATTCTTGGAAAAAATCTTGAAAGCACTCAAAGAAAAGAACACTAAACGTGATGTCAATTCTGATACTGCTGTGGTGTGTTTCGTGGATTATTATAAGGCCAGCACCTATTTGAAGAGCAGAGACTTGACGGCATTCCGTTTCTTGAATAGTGAAGTACAAAACGCCCTGCACGAACGATTAATGAATGTGGACAATCCAGTTCGTCGTTACGGTACCGAAGAAGTTGATGTCAAATTGATGGTTGACTTTTTCGTTTCTGCGTACAGAATCAATCAACGCCATGTGACGAGCTATATCTTCCCTCATTGCTTCAAGTCAAAGAACACCGTTTTCAAATTGGCTTTGGCTAAAGCAATGCTCAAATTGGCCCGTAAAAATTCCACTTCTCTCAAATGGCACCCAACTCTCGCCCACAGCTACAAACATATTGCCAAGTTTGTTCGTACCATGTTCCAAGAGTTATTGCAACAAGAAAGTCTTTTGTACAATAAGCGTTCCCAGGTTTCTCAACCAACCTCCAATTCTAGCTCACAAACACCACCCTCCACTGAGACCTTGTTGGCTTGCTTGGCTGTGTTCTATGCTGAGCCTCGTCTAGTTTTAGAAAACACAAGTGACAATATTGCTGGTCACATTAACGAAATTTTATATTTCTTTGTTGGTTTAGTGAATTGCTTGGAAGGAGTCTCAAATTATCAAGTTCAAGCTCAAGCTTACAAGTTGCTCCAAAAATTGTTCCAACCACACTACATTATGCAATGGTGTCCTCAGGACATTGCAACCGGTTTTATTGACTTGAGCTCTTCAGTGATTTCTAGATTATGCTTTATCTTATTCCAAGATAAAGAATCTCAGGGACAAAATGTCACCACAATTTTGGAATTGGTCAAGGACGTTTGTACTGCATCTAACAAGTTCTTAAGCTTACACAAGGACAAGATTACTGAACAAAATCTTGCAAGTAGAAAACGTACACAAATGTGGGAATCTGCAGAATCCACATTACTAGTTCTGTTATGCTCGACTGATCCTGACATTTGGACAACTGCTGCAAGCGTTTTTGGAGATTTGTGTGACATGATCGATATTTTGGAGAATAAGGAGACTCACAATGGTATTGCTCAAAATTATCAACTCTATCGTAAAATTTCGAGATTGGATGAATTGGGTAAAACAAGAAATCATCAACAGAAGTCCATTCGTCGTCTCTTACGTCGTGTCGAGTTGCAAACCAAGGCAAACTTGGCTGCATTTATTGAAATGTACTCTAGATGGAAGGAATTCACCAAGACCCTCGAGGAAGGATCCATTCGTAACAAGGAAATGATTGATGATGCTCGTCTTGTTGAACACACTCGTTTGAAGAATTTGTGGAAGAACTACACTGCATTTTTGTGCTCCATGGGTGGTGTCTGCTTGCAATCAAGTGAAAGCTTGTTAACTCCACAACAGCAGCAACAACAACAACAAAATCCTCAATCTTCACAAGACCAAGAAAACGATGGCTCTCTCTCAGCCAGAGGTGCTCGAGCTGGAACCGCTCTGAAAAAGGAAAAGAAGGACTTCTCCATGAAGGATGACCTCATTAGAAATTTGATGAGATTAGTGATTAGCGATGTACCACTCATTCGTGACAATGTTGCACAAACTATTGGTACCGAATTGGCTCCATCACTTTATGGTGTTTTATTCCAAAATTTGCATAGTTACGTCTCTGGATGTTTCGAAGAGGGAGCATCCATTGTTAAGGTGTCAGCAACATCTACATTGTTCGTGGAAAAGGCCATCCACATTGTTCGTTCTGTTCTGGAACAAGCCCAAGAAAACTCTGAAGATTTGGCTATGGCCAAGTTTGAAACTTTGATTTTGAGCTTTATTAGATATTGTTCTCAACTCGTACTCAACAAGGATTACAATGTTATCAAATGTAAATTATGTATCCTCATTGAACTCATGATGAAGAGAAAGGAGTATATTACATTCAACAATGAAATCATGTTCAGATTTGAATCATTGAGACATATTAGCGAATGGATGAGTGAATTCGTCAACAAGACAGCAGTCAACAGCACAACATCCGTTGTTGAACTCGATTTCCCTAATCTTGATGCATTGTGTATGAAGGCCATTTCTGCAGTGCTTAAAGATTTGAGCTTTACCAAGGTTCGTGACAAACAATCAACCGGCAACAGCTCTGAGAAGAATGAAGACATGAATAAGCGTGAATTTATCAAATACTTCTCATTCCTCTCAAGATATTTGACTCGATCCAAGACAGACAAGGACGCTCATCCTCAACTCAGAGAATACACCATTCTCTCACTTGGAAATCTCCTCGAGTCTAACATTAACTATGGTCTTGAACAATTCATGAAGATGACCTACATTGAAGATCAAGAAACTCGTTCAGCTTTCTTGAGCGTCTTGACCCGTGTCATGAAGCAAGGTATTCAATTGGATGAGGAGCAAAGTGCCGAGACTGTGAAGAAATATGACAAACTTCTCAACATTTTGCTTGAAAGTCCTCACTTGGATTTGGTCTTCTTGATGCTTTCCAGTGTTTCAGTGAGTGAAATGGACGATTTATGTAAGGCTCTCATTCGATTATTTGCTGAGAGAGGAAAAGCGCTCGATCTTCTCAAGAAGTTGATCGATAAGGAAATTGAAGCTACCACATCCGTTTCAACTCTTTTCAGAGCTAACAGCTCCGCTTCCAAGATGTTAACAGCATATTGTAACACTGTTGCTGCATCGTACATGGTTGAAACCATTTCTGAGCTTGTCAAGAAGATTGTCTCTGAACCAAATTGTTTCGAAATTGACGACACAAAACCACTCAAGGAAGGAGAATCCATTGAAAAGAACGCAGCCCATCTCGCATCAACAGCTCAAGAGTTTTTGGAGCACATCTTCTCATCCATTGAAGCAATGCCATCCCAAGTTCGTTACATTTGTAATTACCTTGCTCAATCTGTGAACAACAAGTATCCTCCACAAAAAGGTGACGAGGATAAGCACTCTGCCAAGCATGTGATTGTTGGTGGTTTGTTGTTCCTTCGTTTCTTGAACCCTGCAATTGTTTCTCCAAAGAACTCAGGCATGGTTGACCAATCCCCAAGCTCTGATGCCGCCAGATTCCTTCTACTTGTGACTAAATTATTGCAAAACGTTGCTAACGGTGTCAAATTCGAAAGAAAACAAGGTGGCTCAGCATCTGATAACAAAACAATCAAGGAAGGCTACATGGTCAGAATGGATGACTTTGTTGTCAAGAATCTCGAAAGAGCTCGTAAATTCTTCGATTCTGTCTCAGCCCCTGTACCATCTGATTTCAAGGAAACAGAACACATTCTCGAGGATGAACTTCGCGAAGAGAACTTTATTTGTGTTCATAGATTCCTCTTCAATAATATGGAAAAGATGCAACAAAGATTGGTGCAAGTGCAAAGATCAGGCTCTAACGTTCCTCCTCAAAAATCAATCAGAAAAACCATCGATGAATCCATGGATGCTCTTGCAGTCTCACCTGTGACAGATCCAAAGAAAGTTTCAGAATACATGGAACGTTTGCAAGCTGTCCTCACTGAACTCGGTAAACCACCAGAAAAGGAACAAAAGAAAGCCACAGTTGCAGCTGCATCCGAGGAGTTTAGCACTGGACATTTATTACAACTCTTTAGTGACAACAAGGACAAGGATCTCACTCAAATTGAAGAGCGTAAAATCTTCTACAAATCTGGTCAAAGCAAGGAGCAAAGACCAGTGTTCTATTTTATCCTTCAAAACTTGGGTACTCATTTTGCAGAACAAAGCTCTGGAGATAAGGAAGATGAGAAAGTCATGTACCATGTATTCAAGACTCTCATGACTGCCTGGACAAAACCATACGAAATTGTGGTGGACGTTACTGGATTGCGTGAAGAGACAGGACTTCAACCTGGTCACATTGTGAACTTCTTCAAGACATTGCCTCCTGGTGCACGAAAGAATTGTGCTCGTGTCATCTTGTTCAATCCAAATTCATATCTCAAGACACATCTTTCTCAAAAATTCTCCTATGTCAAGAGAAAGGCCATCAAGAAGAAACTCTCCTTCTGCATCTCAATTCGTGAATTGGAAGAATTCATTGAACGTAAGAATATTGACTTACCTCAATCTACATTGGACTATGAACGTGATGTTGAATCAACTTTTGCTCCTGCTTGGATTTTGTCTCAACGTGGCGAGAGAAAGGAAGCCATCATCAAGGTTTCCAAGAAGTACTTGTGCGTCATTACTTTGGAAGACTCGATTCTCAACCATGACACCAAGAAGATTGACTTTATTGAGTTGTTGTCCATTTCTCATGCTACAATTTCTACAAGTGGCAACACTGAACATGTCTCTGTTGAATACGGAGGAAATAACAAGATCATGTTGAAGGCTGAAAAGAATGATCTTCTTCTCATGAACATTAGAAACTCTATTTTCAGACAAAAGAGTGAAGCATCATTGGATGACCGAGTTGGAAGAGAACGTGCTGAAGGCATCCGTCAACAAGATATTCCAGGTTCACTATTGAACATGTGCTTCCTCAACTTGGAGTCCAAGTTCCCTCGTACAAGAACAGAAGCTTACAATTTGTTGGCTGCTCTTGCTGAACAATTTGAATTCCCTGTCACACTCATGGAGACAGACCTTATTTGCGTACCGCACAACACTGGAGACTTGGTCGTTCACTTGTCTGAACAAGTCAGTAAGGCCAAACCAATGTTGACGACTCAATTCCTTCGTGAAGCTTTGCGTGGTTTCAATAAGATCAGTTTACCTTACAAGTACTTGGTTTTGAAATACATGAAGCCATGGATTAAGAACTTGTCTGTTATTTTCGCTCAAGCCAATGATGTCAAGCAACAGCAACAACCAATGGGCTCTGATATTAAGGGCGGCTCGTCGTATGATATTGGAGTGTTGAGCGGCTCTCTCATGACCACTTTTGAAGCTCAAGTACAAATTGACAGAACCAATGAATGGTTCCCAGATTTGGTCAAATCTACCATTGACTTCCAAGATATTTATCCCGCTGTATTGTCTGAAATTTGGGGAGAATTGTCCAAGGATGGAGCTCTTGTTGACATTGCAATGAGATGCATTTTAAACGCTGCTCATGAAGCTGGACCAAAATCATCCAAGAAGTTTGACATTTTGAATGACTTGGTGATTACATTGGCATCTGGTGGTCATGCTCCAGTCGTTGTCAAGATGATTGTTGAACAAATGATGAATGTTATGGATACAGAAATTCGTGAAGTGAGTGACAATCTTGAAGAGAGTCCAGGATGGGCAAAGGCAATTATTTATTCCAGATTCTTACTCATGTTGAGCTTCCAGAACAGAATCTCAGTCTTGGAAAATTTACCAACATTGATCTATATCATTTCCATGTTGATTGGTAGAGGAAATATGTTCCTTCGTTCGACTATTCGTGCCCTAACCATCAATATTGTTCACTCATTGGCTACAAGTCTTTCCTTCACCAACGAACACAAGAAGATTATGCAACAACACTTGAACACTCTTGTTTCTGACAAATTCCAAATCATGTTCATGGGAACGGATGCTGCTCGTGACATTGATCCATTCATGTCCTTTGAAGAAGGAACCAGCGGCACCACATCTTCCAAAAAAGAAAAGCCATTGAAGATTTCTCCAATTACCATGTGGGATTTAGAATATTTGACTCACTTCTTCTATGAAGTCACCAAGACTTGTTATTTGGTCGATCCAGAATTGCAAAAAGGATGGCACAAGGCACTCGTTCAATTATGTCGTTCACAAGCTACAAAGGCAAGTCCAGTTTTCCTTCCTCGATTGCTAACCATGTATGGAGTTCTTGTCAAGCCAGGAGAAGAAACTCAAGAAACACTTCCATTTGTTCTTGATCGAGTGGTTGAGAGCTTCTCCTCTCTCACCGATAACACTGTCACAACCACAGCCACTCCATCATCATTCCGTAACGACTATAGAGTTGCTTCTCTCTTGTGTCTGGGTCAGTACAGTTACAAGATTTCTCCCGATGAACCAATCATGAAGCAAATCTTTGCCATTCCAATTGTACTTCTCGGTTTGAGTGATGAATTTTTATTCCCTGCAGTGGTTCACTTGTTAGATTGTGTGTTAAATGCTGTGGCAGCTAGTCCTCAATTCCAACAATGTGCATCCATCGAGGAATACTTTAACACATATTGTCGAGTCCAAGGTTCATTGATTGATAATCTCATGACCAAATTTGAAGCCACTAGTGGTGTGAGCTTCCGTACTCACTTCTCCTTTGCATTGAGTTGTTTATTGTTACGTGGTCTCACCAATCAACAAACAAAGGCAACCACCAGTAGTGTATGCGCAACGATTATTTCAATTTCTGCTCGTTTGCAAAATAATCGAATGTTAATGACAGGTGAAATGGATGAAGATTCCATGATGATGAGTAGTATTGACAATCCTCAATTACAAACTTCCTCTCAATCTGACATGTCCAGTGCATCTACTCCGACCACAACTGGATCCTCGACATTGTCACCAATATCTTCCAAGCCATTGAGTGACACCTCAATCAAGTTCTACTTTTCCATGTTAGGATTCATTGCTGCTCTCATTCCAAGTGACTATGAAAAGTTGAATTCTCTCATTGGTGGTGCGAATCGACTCTTCTCCAATGAAAAGATTTTCACAAGTGCGACCTATACTGCTCTTTTATTTGCAAGATATTTAATTACTGTGGTTCAAAATGTTGATATGGATACTGAGAGAATTGCAATTTATTCACTCTTGCAAGATGCTTTCCAAAAATTACCTGCTGTGTTCATACCAGTTTATCCAGATGTCATGCCTCACATGATCAATGTGTATAATAAGGCCAACATTACTCGTATTGCAGAAGTATCTCTCACATTGATTGACACCATGATGCAACAAACCGATCAAAAGAGCTTTAAACCAAATCCATCGACAAATTATGATGATATTTTGGCAAAGGCAGGATTTGGGGGATTGACTAGATTGGGCTCTTTCAAGATTGCAACCGATAAGACTCGACATGATATGAGCGTATTACTTGTTGGATTTTTGAATGACATTTGCAAAAAGTAATTTCAATTTTGAAAATTTGTTGTATTGTAGAATAAACTTTGTTCAAAGAATTCATGTTATGTTTGAAATATTAATAACAAACGTTGTGTTAACAGATTCAGATCAAAATTAAGGTCAATAGTATTTTATTCCAAAAGGAGAAGGGGTTTGAGTGAGATGGGAAGTATCTTGACTTTGAGGAGTAACGTTATGACATTTCTGTTGATGATCTTTCCATGCCAATTGCTGATGTTCAGTGGAACAAAAATAGGTGGGGGCGAGTTGGGCGCCTTTTCTTCTAAGGGATGCACAAATAGTACATTCAAATAACGATTCTTGACCACAGACAATACAAGGTTGATTCACTGGAATTCTTCTTGTAGAAGTTTGAGTCGTTCCCGCTGTGGTACCTGAAGAAGCAGGAGGAGCATTCTTCAAAGTTTGTGTCGAGGATGATGAACTATTACTCATAGCACTGCTCTCACCAAAAGGAGAAAAAGCACTCTTTGAACCACCAATGGAGCTGCCTGTGACATTGCCAGTGTTGCCACTCGGAAGGAAACTTGTTAATCCTAAACCTCCACTTGTAGCAAATGCACCAGATGGATTCGTTGATGTTGCAAATGAAGAGCTCGATGAAAAGTCGTTTGTAGAAGAGCCCCACGACGAATTTGACAATGCTGAATTGCTCCACATGCTGTCTCCGGTTGAGTTAAAACAAGAGAGACTCGTAAAGTTGAGTGATGACGACTGATTGGAAGGCAGAGTACTACTAGTTAACAGACTTGCTGGGAAATTTGAAGGTTTTTGTTGAGGGGATGGTGATCTTTCTTCAGACAACAAGGAATCTGTAATGGATGTTGCAACCTCTTGGTTATGACTAGAGCCATAGGAAGCACCTGAAAATGCGAGTAATTGCGATTGTTGTCCGTTCACACCACTGTTGCTGCTGTTGGGTATCATATTTCCGAAAGAGTTAGTGCTTGTTCCTCCACTAAGAAGGGCGTCCCATGAAAATCCTCGTGACGATGGCATGACATTCTGGTTTAACACGTTCGAATTCTCAAAGAGATGAATTTGAGAAAATTGTTGAGATGTGACACTACTACTGTCTCCAGATTGGTTTGAAATGGGTGAGGATGGAAAACCAAAATTACTTCTCGAGTCTTTGACCTTGGGGGAATTCATGACGAGAGGAGACGCTCCTCTACTATTACTTGAAAATGTATTTCCAACAAGTAAATCCACTGGAATGTTGGAAATATTAGAACCAAGAGTGGAAGAGGTGGCATTGGTTGGAATTGAAGTATTGCTACCCGTTGCTTTTTTACCTCCTTTTGAGTGCAGCTGATCGAGTGACGGATACTCTTGATCATAGGTTGGATTAACCGTTTGAGGAGGATGAGGAGGTTGGTTTAACGTCGATGGTGGACCCATTGGGAATGAGCTGCCATTTGGTGGCATTAACCCTAAACCAACCATCATGCTACCAGGGTACTGCATTGCAGGAACAAATGCACCTCCAAAAGGTCCAACAAGAATTCCTCCAGTGGGTTGAGATCCATTCGGGAATGGCATATTGGGGAAAAACTGTGAAGGAAGCTGCTGTGGTTGATTGGGAACTAGTGTGTTGTTATTGCTACCAAGCAATCCAATATTCGAAGAAGGAGTAACAGGAGTTGAACTTGTTTGCCATGCTTTGGTATTTGCTTGACTTGGAATTGGTGATGGATTAGTTGACATGATGTTAGATGATGGTGTGGTTGACGTTGCAGTTGTTGGTGTTACAATGACTGGAGAAGTAGTGTTAGAGGAAGATGCTGCCACAATAACTTTTTGACCTGTAGTGCTACTGCTGCTACTGCTACCTGAAGAGAGTGTACTTGATGTAGAAGTGGCTGGAGAGGCCTTTGGAACTGTCACACTTATATTGGTCTGTCCTTTCTTGGTGGTCTTGCTGGGCGCTGTAGTTGTTCCTGTTTGTGCTTTGCTTTTTGCCACCACGACTGCTGGCTTCTTTTGAGAGGAAGCATCGATCCACTCAGGTTCACTTGGTTTTGGATTGTTGCACATTTTACATCGAGTTAGAGAAGCCTTATTCAGATAAGTACACTCAGGACAGTTCCATCCATTTTGTGGATTGGTGCTGGAACTTCCTGAACTTGAGATGGATCCGCTCGAGCTCGTAGAACTTGTGGAGTTGTTTCGTTTTCTATTCACATTACTAGCAGTGTTGATAGGGATGTGCAGGTGAGTTGGTGGCGTTGTAGAAATGCTACTACTACTACTCTTCAAAGCTTGCTGCTGCAATTTGCGTTGTTTCATTTTCTCTTGCTCCTCATGATGTTCCTTAATGTATGCATTCCAGAGTGACGATGATCCGGCAATTTCTGACATTTGGTCGCCGAGCTTCTCAATGGTTGGAATTATTTCGTTGCACTTTTCGATTAATAAATCTTTCAAGGAGGAGCTGATAGCAATGACTAGTTCATCATCTCCACTCGATGTTTGTGCTTCACTGTTATCATCTCCTGAGAACGTTAAATGCTTTGAATTGAGAGACACACCTCTCTCGTCCTCTGGATCCAGCACGGAAATACAAGAACTCTCCGAGTTACATGGCAAATCTTGTATGTATTCCAAAGCAGAAATTAGGTCCTTGTGTAACTTGATTGCTGCATTATTGCATGTAGTAAGTTTAGATAACATCTTTTCATCCATTATGGTTTGAATTGATTTTTGAGATTTTGGCGATTTCCAATCTCTCAACTCGCTAATGCTTTTTCGCAATCTATCCACGCGATCCTTAATATGCCTTATATTGGCAAAAGCTTCTATCAACTCATACACTTGTTCGGTGGAAATATCACTAATATCTCTCATATTTGATATCGAGTCAAGTATTGGAAAATCAGAATGGGGAGAAGATGATTCCCAATCTTGTAAAATTTCTTCCGCTCTTTCGTCAACGCTCACTTCTACAAGTTTGCCATTCTTTTTTGCTTGGCATGTTCTATGTTTCATATTTCGATCACCTATGACTGCAACATAATCGGCAATCGAGTTTGTGATGAGTTCTTGCAAGTGATCGGGTTTAATAAATTCATAGTCCTCCGATGAAGTTGGAGTGTCTCTTGTGTAACAAGCCAATTGTGTATACACGTTGATTCCCTTAGCTAAAAAAGTTTCTTGTACTTGCTGAGCATAATTTCTAACTCGTAAATCTGCAGCAAATAAAACAATAATATGATGTAAAGGCTTTTTGCTTAATAAAACTTGTGTGATTGGATCTAACCCACTTTTCAGGTGGCTAATATTTTCGCTGTGATATTTCACATTCATCAAGTTAGTGGAAGAAGGATTGTAATGCGTAGAATGATATCGGTTGCTTGTAGTAGTATTCCTAGAGTAAGATGACGAGCCTCCACTGCCATGTGATGTAGGCCTTGAAACGTTACTAGATCTAGGTGAAGATACATGACTTGCCGATGAAAGATTTTGGTGAGAATTATTAGTAGGGGATGATCCATAATATTGTGAGGAGGATGAAGAAGTGGTAGTATTAGATGAGGCTACGTGTTGTGATTGAAATTGTGAAGGTCGTTGATTACTACTGCCTGAAGGAATACTTGAAAACTTTTTTCGTTCCTCATAGGTATTATCTTCCTCATTATCATCTTCATCGTCTTGATTAAAATCTTCTTCTTCATAATCTTCCTCTTCCTCTTCGTTTTGACTGCGGTAGGAGGGAGTGTGCGACGAATAGGTTGTTGCTGCTGCTGTGCTTCTACTCGGGTGAAAGCTTCCTCCGGAAGAGGATGAAACATTTGAGGAAGAAGAGCGGTAAATTGAATTGCTACTACTGCTGCCACTTGAATTGGCACGATCAACTCTATTTTGATTTTTCAGTATGGTAGGGGGTGCTTTTGAGTAATCATGATGATGATGCGAGGAAAACCTTTGCGTACTAGTGGTTGTAGAGGATGATGATGATGAATAATTGTTCGTTCCGCCACCACCTCGCTTATTATTACTGCGCGAGTGAGTCATTGCTAATTGATTCAAGATTTGTTGTTCCTGATGATGAAATTGGTGAAACGAAAATAACAAATATACTATAAAGAGGAGAGCGGAATTTCCGTTATTAACAATTGAAATTCACAAAACGATTGATGATGAACACTTTAAAAAATCTCCACTAAAATACAATAAATTCAAAATGAGCCAATTCAAATAATGAATACAATTATCGTAATTAGTGATGAAAATCAGGATGCAACAACAGATGAAACGTGGGAGTGGTTGGTGCACGGATTTGATACTTTGTAGATGATATGATGAAAAAATTTGGACGCTGATCAATTCCGTTCTTGTGGTGGTATCTTCAAAACCGTTGTTGTTCTTGAGATGCACTTTTTGCTGCAATTTGATGACTCTATATATCTCAAATGATTGAAAATGATTCAAGCCTTGATGATGAAACAATTGCACTGATGAATTTGTTGCTTGTTGGTTCAAGTATATCCTCTAGTGCGCGAGTGATGATGTACTTGTTGTTATGGTGTGGCTATGGTATCAATTGATGGGAATAAACACACAAAAGTGAATCGGATCGAAAAAAAGCCTCACAACGAATTTTTTTTTTTGGGCGCTAAAAAAAACTGAATCGTTTCAAATCCTTCAATTTGGTCGTCGATGATTCTAAAAAACTATTCATTGATCTTATTTGTTGATTCGCGAAACTCATGCGTTGTGAATCAACCTTGTTGTGTTCTCGAGAAAAAGTGGAAGGTTATTCTTCTTTGCAGTTTGGTTGTTGACATTTATCACTAGAATGGGAGGTGCCTCTAGGAAGGAAGTTTGTTCGAAAAGAAAGTCGTTGAATGCATCATTCCTCAATTGTAACAGTTCAAATTGGAGTTTTAGGGTTTCGCCAAAGGTGCATGATCTTCCTTGTTCAACGGCAAATTCCAATGGTTTCTGGGGTTTGGGACCCCATCATGAAATAATTGGAAAGAAAAGTATGAGCATGAATCTCTCTTAATTCTGAAATTACCATTTAATGGAAATCACCAAAAATGTACAAATTCACTTCCAAGTTAATGACAGTTGAAAACCAAGTGAATGGATAATAACACTCTCTAGCCTGCAATGTATTCAACACATGATGTGCCCACTCATGAATTTATACAAACAGGACGATCACTTTTCATACAAACAAGGATGTATTCTTCGATGAATAGGACTGTCATGTCTCTCCAAATCCTTTTTGCTTCAAAAACAAATTCACAACTACTAATAACAAACCACCTGTACAACAGAAGCTTCTGTTGCAATTTTTGTGAGTCCTTTTCCTCCCAGTGTACAACAACAACAACCACTTCCAATATCAACAAGTTGGTATTTCTACAACAACAATAACCTCCACAACAATTACTTCCTCAACTCGAACAATCCTCACTCAAAATGAAAAGTCAACAATTATCGAAAAGTCCTCGAGAACGATCAGCAAGTAGTGTTTCCAACGTTTCTTCCATGTCAGTTTCTTCATCTTCGTCGAATTGTGTCGATGAATTCATATTGGCCCTCTGTGGTGATGGTTCGGTTGGAAAGAGTTCTATCACCACTCGATTCATTCAGGGTACTTTTGATAAACAACAAATCTATGATCCAACCATTGAGGATGCATACTATGTGAAGAGAAATGTGGATGGATTGGCCACACAGATGGAAATTATTGATACTGCAGGTCAAGAAGAGTAAGTAGTAGTACCTGTTTGAAATGTGTTGTTTCCTCACACACACGTGTCGTATTCAACTATGAAAATAATGTTCACGGACTATCATCATCACATGGTCATGTGTATGACTGATTGAACAAATAATTTCAAATCTTGAACTTCATCTCTTCAGATACAAAGCATTGAGATCTCAATACATGAGACGATCCTATGGTTTCGTCTTTGTGTTTGATGTCACCAACGGTGATTCTTTAAAATCATTGAAAGACTTTTTCGAACAAATTCAACGAATCAAAATGAGTGACGAAGATGCCAGCAGTGATGGATGTGGCTCACTTTCAAGTACTCCTCGATGCAGTGATGCTACCATGGGTTCATACATGACCACTAGTTCAAGTATCCTCTCATCCTCAATGGTCTCGTCATCACATGATCGAAGTCTCTCGACAAGTTCCAATCATAGCACAATTTCTAATAGTGGATCTCGATATCAAAACACCTCTCCTCGTAATGGTGGAAATGGTCACTCCACTCCATTCCTGCATCCTACACTCAATTTTCCCTTCATCTTTGTCGGCAACAAGATTGACTTGCTGCTCAATAATGCACACTTGGCAGATTTACCCAATCCTCAACGCAATTCTCAGCAATATCTCATACACTCTCAGCAACAACAACCTCAAACTGAAAAGGAGAAACATCAAGAGAAACGAGACAAGAAACTCTTACGAAAATTAGATAAGGAAGTAAGGTCCTACATTATACGGGAAATTCTCGGCCTTGATGAAACTCAACATCCCGATTTCGTGAGGCATTATCAATTACCTCTCTATTGGACCTCTGCTAAGGAGAATGTCAATGTTGAGGATTGTTTTGATGGTTTAGTGCGTGAGATGAGAAAGTTCAAAGCATTGCGTGAGATGAAGACTTCTCCTCGTGGCCGAGACTCGGAACGTAAAGGCTTGTCCAAACTCTTTGGAAGAAATCGAGAAAATTCATCATCTTCTACCAATAATCAAGCAAGTACTTCCACAGTTCCACCCATTCAATTACCGAATCAGGAAAAAGGTGGTGTAACGACAGGAGGACCTCCCAGAAGACGTTGGGGTAGTTTCAGTTCAAATTCAAGTCATGCCTCTTCCACCCATGCAACAAATCAAAAACAAGATTCTTCTCGGAAGAAGAATGGAGAGAGAAGTGCTTCGTATCCATCCCGAAGAGGTTCCTTCTTATTTGCTTCGTTTAATTGTGATAATGATATGGATGATTTGTTTCCATAGAGACAGAGAGGCCTCGGAACTGACAAATGTTTGTCCATCCTACTTTTAAAATAATTATAATAAATATCGTCAACAATCAACAAATCATCTTGCTTATGAATGATCCCCTGAGGCCAACGAGAACATTTTTTCTTTTATCGTTTTATTGACCTCGCTTCTCCACCTTGACCACAACACCTTAAACGTACGTACGTTACAAAGTCTCTGTGACTCACTGACTACAGTTTTGTACCAAAAATTTAAACAACTACCAAGATTATTGCGCGTGTATAATCTACCCAATCCTTGTTTTCTAAACCTGCCCAATTGGCAATGTGTTACCCAATGTGAAAATTGTTGCTAATTTTTTCAAACATTGCAATTTTTTATTGAGCTTGGCCTTGGTTTTAAAGCAAAGAGGGCAAAAAACGATCGTTTATGGCAATTTTACACAACAAGTGTCATTTGTCAAGTATGAAAAATAAAGAAAGTTTCTAATTCCCGACCAGCACCATCTCGAAATTTTCAAATCACAAGAGCCAAATTATTGAATCTTCGCAATTTTTCTGTAGACTTTAAACGAAATTACACGACACTAATTTCCATTCTTTGTGAAAGACAAGTTGTTGCGTGTGAAAAAAACGTGGCTTCAACCAAAATCTGTTCCTCTCTCTTTCTCATTTCGACCCTATTCATAGACAACCATAGGATCTCCTCTCAAACTTTTGTGTTCACAGCAGAAACGATTCGTTTCATCTCGTTTCGTTTCCTTCTCTCTCTCTACAATTCTCATTGAAACCCAATTGTCAGTATTGATTCAACTTTGTGTGGACAATATTCATCTCTGTTTCAAGAGCAGAGAAAGAGACACATACTGGTGTGAAATATTGAACTCTTCTGAGTACGGAGCGACCACGAGAATCACTGAGCGTTTTTGCTAGTTGTCATCATCAAGAGTTTCGTTGAATCTATTTCCAAACCGAGACGACTACTACGACTCAGATGAATCATCCACAATATTCATCGCCTTCAGAATCAAAGAACCAGTTGACACCTGGCAATCATGATTCAAAATCTCGAGTTGCCAACCATTCATCATCTTCAAGCTTCTTGATAGAACCTGTCAAAAATCAAAGCTCAGCAATTGGGAATTCATTCACTCTACCAACAACAGCTACTACGACCACTCAACCATTTAACAGTAATCTTCATGTCGATATTTCTTCTTCATTGAATTCTTTAAACTTTTCCACTCAATCCTCACAACAAGCTCAACAACCATCCAATGATAGCACTTTTGAAATTGGTTCACTTCATCAACTTGCCATCCACAACATTCCTCCTCATGATCATCATCAGCAGAATGCAACAACCACAAGATCATCCATCTATCATCACGAACCTTTCTTGGTTGGTTGCTTTCCAAGACATTCTCAAGCCTTAACACCCCAACAAGTGTTGTCGTTTGAAGAGAGTCATCAACATTCGAAAAGTGGAACCAATCAAGAAGAATTGACAACACCTGTCATGCAGTTACCATCCATAGATGAGTGGTATCATCAAAACTCAGAGAATGGTCCCATTTCTACTACTGGTAGATTGGAGAATAAGAATGACAAGTTGTCCAGGTTCATGCCACCATCCACATCCACTTCAAATATTAAGAAGAGAAAAATTGAAAATCTTGTGCATGGGGATGATCAGATCCAACAGGATGATAATGATCAGAAGGATGATCCAAAACAACCAGTGGTGTCTGGTGCTAGTCTGCCTCTGACCAATTCCAACACCCCTCCTCCTGTAATATCAAGTTTCACAAAATTAGGTGATGCACCGACAGGAATGGAAACCATGACCTCGATGCAAACAAATACCGTCGTCATGACCAACAACAATAACAACAACAAGAATTATCTCTCAAGCAGTGGTCATGATCGTTCTATGGATCGAAGGACTCTACATGTTGAATCAGAAGCATCGTTTGGTTTTTTAAAAAACCATCATTCACATGCTGTGGACACACCACAACCACATGGACACAAGATTAGTCAAAGTGGACACTTGGAAACACCTTCTTCAGCAACAGCAACAACAACAACAACTGCAACACAACCGTTGATTCTCTCCGAACATCATGTGGTAGAGAATCCTCAATCCATGACCATGATTGGCATGTCATCCACGACTCCAACTGTTTATCATCAACAAGCACAACAACAACAACAAGCACAACAACAACAACAACAAGCACAACAACAACAACAACAACCAACCAATCATCCAACACGACATGTGTCCATGAACAACAGCAGCAGCAACATCAACAATAATTCTCAACCAATGACAAGTCCATACTTGTATTCTGATTTTACACATGTGAACCCAAATGACGAATGGACGATGAAGAATGAAAAAAACATTTCTGTTCAACAAGCACAACAACAACAATTTCAAGTCATGAATTTTTCATTTCCCATTTCGAATTATCTTACACAACAGCAGCAGCAAATATCGACGAAGAATGAAGCAGTTTCGAATATGTATATTACTTCAACTCAGTCATGCAACATGTCGCAGCAGGCAAGTCAGGTTGGACAACATGCAATGACAAGTGGCATGATTTTTACACAAGCTTCTTCATCCTCTTCTTCACCTTTAATTCCATCCAATGCTCAGGCATCTCCCAGCCCAAGAATGAAAAAACCAAGAAAATCCAAATCCTCTTCTTCAACATCTGTCACTACTCAAAATGAAATTTCTTCTCCAAAACCTTCCAACCATTCTTCCTCCACTCGTTTCCCAGTAAAATACAACATTATCATTCCCTCTTCCAATCCACAACAACAACAACTAGTCGATTCCAATTCCAATAATTCATCTCCAAGAAATCAAACTTCCAGACGTCGAAAATCATCACCGACTGTCATTACCAATCCTACGAATGATTTTCTCATGCAAAATGAATATGAACAATTCAATAAGGGAGAACATGATATTCAGAGAAAAGCAAAAGGAGAGAAAATTATTAAATATACACATTATAAATTTTGAAGTTATTGAGCATGTCAATGTTTAGAAAGTTGTTGTTGTTGTTTTATTGCAAGAATTTAATTCTTCCTTTGGAACTCTATTGAGGAAGGAAATGTGTGTATGTGTATGGTTAACCATCAATTTTGGAGATGGCTTTCCAGTCACTTGTCAAAGAATTTGGAAACTTCAGAAAAAACAAACGTAAAAAAAACGTAACGGTCGTGAGATTACTATCACCACACACACACTCTGATCTGACATCTTCGTCATCTCTCCCATTCGTTCAATAACCATCATCATCATCATCCTCGAATTGGTGTACTTTTTCAATACACACACACAAATCAACTCTTTTGTACAATTCATTCACTCTTCCTTCCAACATCAACAAGATGATTTCAGAATTAGTCAACAAACAATTCATCGTCATTGATGATTTAGAAATTAAAACAAAAAAATCCGCTTCTTCTTCCAATACCAATAACAATAACAACAATACAACTTCTCCCATCGTATCGGGACAAGGCTCACCCAAACCTCTCTCCCCAATCATTTCCCCTCATAACAGTCGTCCCAGACGTACCAGTTCTCTCACCAAAGATCAATTAGAAATTCGTAAAGTCTATGATAAGATCTCTCAAAGTCCAGTCTATAACGTTCCCGATAAACTCATTGAGAAGAATCAAAAGAGTTTTTTACTATCCAATGATGAGAGTTTGTTGTTGTATTATTTTCGGGATTGGTTGGACGTGATGGAAGAGCAACCGTTAGAACAGTTGGATGATTTTAAGAGAACGAGTAGTAGTAATCATACGAATTCTTCTTCTTCTATGCAACAATTGAGATGGATTAAAAAGAAGGATCAATTACAAATGAAAGTCCACTTGTATGATTTGGATGATTATCCCTTGTATTTTCCGTTGAGTTTGATGAGTGATGGAAATTTCAATGATCCTGATTTTGTCAAGTTTGGAATTTCCTTTTCGGTCGTTCCTAGTGCGGCGACGAATCATGCTGTTCCTCAAGAAAAGACATTTGTGTTTATGGAAGATGGGTTGGTGCATATGGTAGAAAAGAATGAACCTTCTGAAGTTCATATTCCAAGAGATTATGAAAGTGAATCGTTGTGTGTGAAAAGTGTGACTCAAACTTGTAAAATATTGAAACGATTGCAACAAATTTGTAAAGTCATTAAGGAATTTAATGTGGACATGATGTATGGAGATAATGATAAGGGAGGATCATTTTACTTTTGTAGAGAAATGGCGAAATTATTTTCTGAAGAATCTTCATTGGTTTCATGTCTCTCAGAAAATGTGAAACATTTATTCAAAGTGTGGAAGGAACGCCACGACAAAAAGTTGAAGGACGAAGAAGATGAACTTGAGTTCCAAAATGATACCTTTTATTCACAAAATGAACACGTACCCATGGATGACCTTTCAAAAATCATCAAACACGCCTCTCAATCCACACCTGAGGCCATTCGTGAACATTTAATGCATCCTTCTGCGTATGAAGTGATTCTCGAGAAGGTGTGTTGCGATTTGCAATATTATCCAACATTGGTTGAATTTTACACACCTGTGAAAAAGCAACACTACAAATTCAAGTCATATGCAGAATTTGATCAATTCCTGTGCGAGCAGTACAATGATAGAAACAAAATTCGTGAATTGAGACAAAAGCATCCGATGGATTATTTGTATTTGAAGATTATGCACCGAAAATTGTGGTGTTGTAAAGTTGCCAACTCGTTATATGATCCACTTGTCTCTCGAGACCACTTGTTTGACATCAAGGGTCGTCAAACATTCTTCAAGGATCCTGAAACATTGATTCATCACTTTGGAGATGCGTCTTCTGTTACCATTGACTATGAAGCATTGAAGAAATCCAAAGACGGCAAAACGGTCAAAGTCTTGTCACTCGACGGCGGAGGTATGCGAGGTCTTGTACTCATTGAACAATTGAAAGCCATTGAAGAATGTACTGGAAAGAGAATTGGTGAATTATTTGACATTGTTTGTGGCAGCTCTACGGGCGGTATTATTGCCTTCTTCATTGAGGCTGGTTTCACAATGGATGAAGTCAAATCTCAATATTTGGCCATGGGTCGTGACATTTTCAACATGCATTCTCACTTTACGACACTCAAAAAGGCCATCAAATTTTTGAGAGGAAAGAGTTGGTACGAATCGAAAATTCTTGAAAAATACTTTAAGAAAAATGCTGGTGCTATTGATTTGTATTCGGCAACCAAGACCAAGCCATTTACTTTTGTTTGTGGAACGATCAAGCCAGAGAAGGCATTGGAACAAGGTTCTAAAGTTTCTACAAATTTCACGGAACAATTTCCATTCATTTTCAGAACGTATACGAATCCATTTATTTCAACAAAGGAGGCTGCTAAAAAGTTGTTAGATCCAGCCAATGATTTCATTTCGAAAAATATTTATAATGATTTGTTCTATGCTGGTACAACCACCGGTCGTGGTGTGAAAATTGTAAGTTGTTGTGGAAGTTTTAATAATTTTCCAAATTTATTCCATGTGGACAATATGTTAAATACTTTTTGAAAATTTCACAATAGACAAATGCATTGAGAGCAACCACTGCCGCACCAATTTTCTTTGATGCAGCCTATATTGGAAATGATTATTTCACAGATGGTGGATTGACAGCTAATAATCCATCGGTCATTGCTCTCAGCGAGGCCATGAGAATGTATCTCGGTCATAATAAGTTTGTGTTTGTTTCATTGGGTACCGGAAAGAAGAGACGTTCACCTTCTCAAGATAGTGACCTTCTTAATTCCAACGCAAACGACACCATCAAAAAGACTCGAGGATTTATTGAAAATTTAATTGTCACAGCTTCTGATTTGAAACTGTTGGTGGACTTGGTTACTTCATCCGAACGAATTCATGCACAAATGGTGACCATGGTGAAATTATTGAATGAGAGAGATCTCAATGCTGATATTAGTTATTACCGATTTGATCCACCAGAAGTCGGCAAATATGATTTAGATTCCGTGACACCTTCTGTGATTGAGGAATATGAAACAAAAACTCGTGATTATATTCGAACGAATGAAGAATTTCCAGCCATGTGTAAACGATTATTGCAAGAATAAACCATGCAAATAACCTTTAGTGTCATCATGGGTTGGCATTCCTTGTATGTGCTTCTATAATACTATAATCACCCACCAACAGTTTCGAAGATTAAAGACTGGACTGTTATTTCAAGATAAAGTCAAAAGACAGACTTATTAAACCAAGACAGCCGAGCTCACTAAAAAGGAGCTAAAGAGTTGGAACAACATCAATATCTTCTATTCAAATCGTTGATACTCAACAGGAATTGGAAACAAATAATAACAGATCAAAAGATTTCAGAGCATGATTTCATCTCAGTCACAACATGCATGACACTTGGAGCTAATTATTTGTCAAAAAAATCAAATTAAATTTTAGTCTTTCGTACTCAAAACTCTCTACCCCAAGAACCAGCCACAATTCCAGCAGCAATTATTTTTCAAAGTAAATCTTCATGTGGGTTTCAATTTCTTGTCGATTCCTAAAAAGTATACCATTTTCCTTAACCTTCTTTACAGATTGTTCTTCCTCACCAGATTCATAAATGAAATACCAAGTGAAATGGACACCACCATAGGTTACTGAGTTTTCAAGGTTTCCATCTTTGATGAACGTTAGATCGTCCTTTCGGGCTTGTAACAACTCTTCAGCTTTTGCTTCTGTTCCAACAATTCCGTGAAGTATCAATTCTAGCAATGAGAAATGATATTGCTCTGGAACGTTTTGTGTCCTTTTCATTGCCTTTCCTTCTCTATCTAAAACATAACAACGTTCCAATAAATTATCCACATCTGTGTTGCCATTACTGTGACAATAATGAGAATCAATAGTAGAAATTGTAGTTTTTTTCAAAAAGATTTTCGCTGTCCTCCCTTTGTACATAACAATAGCATAATCAAAGCTTGGGAAAGTTTCAGATTCTGGAATGAATAATACTCCTATTCCTTTCAAATAATTATTTCGATCAAGAGAGCTTAAATCCTTTAGATCCAAACTTGCATGTTTGTGAACGTAATATGATAACGATAACGTGGATGTTGTGGTCGTACTCAACTTGTTTGTTACATAGAATTCGCTATCTAATTGTCTACGAAGTCCATATTCTTGTCTCAACAAGTATTTCTTAAACATTGCCCCTTTCTCTGAATCAGAAATATTCTTGGGTATTTTTGGCATGTCAAGTCTGCAGTAGTGATTGAATAAACATCTCTTTGCTGGGTCGTTAATAATAAAAAGTTTTCCATTAGAATCCTTGTACAATAAACCAATATCGTATACAATTCCTGAAACATTATCAGGTCTTCCATTGAAAAGGCCAAGAGTAAAAAGATCTTCCAGTGTCTTTTCAAACTGTTCATTCTTATTTTTGTCCAGTTTGCGAACTAATGAATCCAGTCTTCGATCATATATGTTAACTCTTTCGTTGAAAAATAGGTTGAAATCTTTATCACTACCCTTTTTGTCCTTCAAAAAGTGTGCCAAGTAATTCAATTCTCTTGGGTTTCCTCCTGTTACATGGGCTATTCTTTTATCCTTTGGATCCAAACCGAAGTCTGTGATAAGTGTTTCAAACTCTGTAGGTGTTGGAGGAATCATTCTAACCAATCTTTTTTCTTCTCCTCTTGGTAAGTTATTTTCAAAGGAACTATGAGCACATCCACAATAGATAGTAACTGTGTTCTCCCCTGATGTAACTCCTGTCCATCTGGTAAAATCTTGGAAATATTCTTCACTAGCATGAATATTGTTATCAGTGTCAGGTCTGAATAATTCATTGTGTTCATCAAACAAGTAGAAAACCGATCTCTTGGATCCAAATTCTTTGCTCAAATGTCGGAGTATATCTACAGATTTCTGTAACTCGATAATTTGTGTTTGAGAGAGAATGTCACTATTCAACGAAAAGAATAATCTGCGCAAGTAGTTATTGGCGCCAACATTCTTTTCGTAGTTGTAAGCACTAATCCAGATAAGACATCTTGGAACAAAAAGTACTGGAAATGAATTTACAAATGCATAGGCAGCTATCAAATAAAGTGTGTATGATTTTGAACTTCCATAAGGACCTGACAAAACCATTCCAGTACTTCCATTTACAACTGTTTTCAGAACATCAAATCGTTGCTGAGTTAAAAGATATTTAGCATTTGGATTAAATGCTTTTGGAGACAATTCACAGTCTTTTGTTCCAAATACAGGAAGATCGATAAATGTTCCAATGAGTTTTTCTAGTTTTTTCATGTTTGTTGGATCATGTAAATTACGGAGATAGTCATATCTTGGATTTTCTCTTTCCTTTCTTAAATCTTCAGATATTTCTCCTTTAAACTTCCAACGATCAAACAACTCGGATGGTATATTAATTAAAGAACCTCCTTCGCTGGCCTTTGTCAATTTGGTAGCAATCCACTCAGCAACGGCTTTGCAAGTAGATTTCGGTACTGAAGCAAAGTCCTTGTCGCTTTTTATCATCTTGATGGCATTTTTGATACATATTTCTTCTGTTATACCTTTCACTCTTTCCTTCTCTATGGCAGTACCAATTTTGATGAGAGTGTTGCCATCCAATGAAGAAACTTGATCAAGACTCAAATCAGCACCTCCTTTTGTTATTGGTTCGCTCAATTTTTGAATGATTTGTTTACTCACTGGCTCCAATTGCCATAGTGAATAGTGTCTGGTCATTAATTGGTTAAGCACCCAAAATACAACAGTTTTGCAAGTGTCGGAGAGTTGAAAAGTCATTTGGAAAACTCTTTCTTTTAAATAGTTCTCAAGTTGATCAAGAGCAAAGTATACGTCCTTCTTCTGGATATCCTCAACAATGTTGTGGAGAGCTTCGCCATCAAAACAACTCTCATACAAAGGCTTCACATCATCAACCGACAAACCAGCACCACCCAAAGATTCATCAGATGTCAATACTGATGCTACGTGTTGGGCATTCCAACTCTCGTAATCCATCAAATTGAGCGTAATTGGTTGAGAACGTATTTGGCCAAATGTGGTTGTTGTTGCTGATGTTGGATGATTCAACAATATGTTGTTATTATTGTTCGGAACAACAACATGTTGCAAGGTTTTGTTTGATTTCATCGATGAAGAAGAATTCAAAACAAAAACATAGTTGCTGTTGATAATGCTCAATGTGTTGCTGTGGGAATTTAATCCTTTCAAGATCTTGTAATGGATGGTTATTCTTTTCATTCTTCCATAAATTCAAATATTGAATGAACGAAAGAATTCTTTTTGATGATCAGGTTGCGAGCTTGAAACTATGAAATGGAATGAAACGCATTTTTTGTTGAGGGCAAATTTGATAGAGTTTCGTTTTTTGCCTTATTGCATCCTTGTTGTGGGATGATCTTTGAACTATAATCAGTCCCAAAGTAATTCAACTGACATCCTATATTGATGTATGGATCATCTTGAATTATTTGCACTGTTTTACAGGATAGTAATATAAAGTTTAATTATTCAAATGTTGTACTCGTGTTGGTATTACTCTTTATGAAATGTCAAAATTTTGCTGTAAACGTGCTGCAAATTTCAACATCAAAAAAATGAAACGATTGCAAATAGAGGCATCCCTTCCAGAAGCTGATCATTCTCTCAACGAACAACAACCACAATCCAGCACTGGATTAATAATTTCTTCATCATCATCGGATCCTTTACAGAAAAAGATTAAACTTCAAACAATTGTAGAAAACCATCAAGATGATGCACTCTCCCAATCCCGTGAGAACCCGACTCGAATTTGTTCATCTTCTCTTGCCAAGTTATCGTTTGATGAAATTGAGTTGATTTTGGAATATTTATTGATTGGAGAACTATTAATGATGAGCCTTTGTTCGAAATGGTGGTATCAATCGGTTTGTGGTCTTGTCAAGGAAAAATTCTGTAAATATTATATTCATGATGATGATGATGATTGGGTACTTACGAAAGCCTTGAGAAGTGCCAAATCTCTTTCCATATCGTATGCAAATATTGACCAAGTGAGAACAGTTGTTGATGAAATTGTAGAACATGGAGACTCTCTCAATAATTTTTCGAAACGATTGGTGTTTGATTCGATAGATCCTACAGATATTTATGAAATTTTGAGTGCCCGTATAGTGAAGCAAGAGTCAGCAACAACAACAATAGTTAAAACAGCTGTTTTGGGAGCTGTAGCTGATTTAGAAAAGAGAAGTCTTACGGATGGAGAAAGTGACGAAAGTCATGATCAAGTTGCATTTAAACAAGTAGAAATTAAGGAAATTCCGATTGGTTTCGGTCTCAAAGAATTGTCACTTAACGACATATCGCTCAGTAGAATAGATTTGTATAGAATCTTATCAAAATGTTGTGCACTTGAAAAGTTAGATCTGGATGGTCTTCAACTAGCTTATTATCAACCCTTTGCCAGTGGCAAAGGCCGTGGAGGAAAAGGTTTACGTAGAGGAAAATCTACTAAAATTGAAGAGGACAATGATGAATTTTTTAATGGTCACGAAGGACAAGTATATGTTCCAGTATTTGGATCTCTCAAATCTTTGACCTCAAATGCAATATTTGACTATAATGCAGGGGAGAAATTTATGGTCGACATTTTGAAACTATGTCCTAACTTGGAGGAGCTACACTACATTTATCAATCTCCTGTAGATGATTCATTCTTGAGACATCTTTCCAAAATGTGTCCAAAACTCAAGAAATTTGTTAGTGAAGGTTATGATGGAGCAACACCGATTGAAATAGAGGTCACCGATGAAGGCCTTTATGAATTGATGAAAGCACTTCCCCAATTGGAACATATTCATTTAAACCCATGCTGCAACATGTCAGGAGAAATTTTTAAAAAACTTGGTGAATTCTCTCAATTGAAACATTTTCATGTCAACAGAACTAGTTACAATAACGGCTTGGTGGATATGACATCTGACATTCATTTTGGAGGAGGAGTTCTTTCCAAACTCGAATATATCGATGTTGGAGGTTGCTATGATTTTGAAACACTTGAAGAATTTGAGAAATTCATCACAAGTCTGCGATCTGTTGCTCCTCATTTGAAAAATTTTGGAGAGCTAATGTTTTGCGAAAGCAGGAGAGATTCCTCAGGATCAATTATCGATAAGAAAAAACTGGTAGAACTCTTCTCTGAAACGATCGCTCATTTAGATGTTGACCGTGCGGCAACAGACTTGGCATCTATTTTGCCCAAAAATCTTACTTCATTAAGCATGGAACTCACCCAAGAATTTGTCAACAAGAATGTTGTGACACAATTACAACCAAACTATGGCCTTAAAAAGTTAACCCTTCATCTGTACAATGACAAACCAGAAATGGGTTCAGTTATTGAAACATTGGCTGTAAAAATTTATCCATGTGTGACACATCTTCGATTATATAACATATGTTTCGGAGATAACTATGATGTTTTGGAGAAGATTTTAAGCAATCCCAATGCATGGCCCAATTTGAGATTTATGGATGGTGTATCGAATGTGAAAGAAATTTTAACAATTAGACCAAATATTCGATTGAATCTGGAAGATGCTACAGATATCTTGAATGAAAATTGTTGTAGCGACGATGAACGTTCTGCTTTCTATTATAAATGGTTGATCGCTGATCAACCTTTTGATTCTTGGTAATTATGGATTTTTATTTGGGCAAAGCAGTCAAATTGAATATGTTCGACACAAATCAGCTCTATTTGATAAAGAAATTGCCAAAAATTGTTATGCGTTAAAATTATTGGTCAGGAGCTCTTTGATGAGATGATAGCTCATTCTCATGAGAGTTGTTCCTATTTGCCTCAGTGCTATTGGGATGATAAGATCATCACAATGAAAGATGAACTCTAATTTTGAAACATTGAAAAGGTCATTCTAATCTCGATCCAAACACTCTCACTCATCAACAACAGGTCCCAAATACAAATTTATTAAAAAAAATGTCATCCTCCAATACTCTCAGCTTCAGTATCACTGTAGATGGATATAATGTTGTCACGACCAAAGATAAACATGCAACAGTGGTATACGATCTCACATTTATCGTGAAAAATCCAGTCGCTGTTTCTTCATCTTGCTATTCAAGTGTTGTCAATAATTCTTCTTCTGTCAGTAATCAACAAGTATTAATTGCCATGACGGTCGGCAAACGATATTCGGAACTTCGAGAATTATTTAAAACTCTCACATCTATTCTCATTCAACAACAACATTCAACATCAACAACAACAAATTCCTCCTCTTCGACAAGTTCCATTTCTGTGAATGAATTTAAATTTGATTTTCCTCCGAAATTAATATTTGGAAATACCAATCCAGAAAATATTGAAAAACGTAAAGTGGAATTACAACACTTTTTTGATCAAGTTACAATGCAATTAGTTTTAGAAAATCGAACGGAGGGAGTTTCTGGAGAAATGTATAAAACAGTTTTGCAATTTTTTGAAGTTCAAAATACTCATTATATTTAATGGGTGATCCAATAAGAAATAATTCATCATCCTCTTACACGTGTAAATAATAAATTCATCATCATCATTTTCAAAATTAATTTTAATCGAACGAAAATGGCATTTGACAGGTCAATTATTCTAAATCAGAAGCCGAACCTGTCCGTCAGCGAATTCACAATACATTGACAATAAATACTAGTAAGTTTAGAAATATGAAATACCTAAACCATTCAAGTTGTCACGTATTTAAAACCATTTCGATCGTTCGGAATTGGCGACAGTTCTTTCAAGTCCGTTAAGGCAGTTACACCGTCATTTCAAATGTACCTAGACTTCCGTTGCTATAATGTGACACTGTGATTTGATTAGTTGTTGTTGAAGAGTGGTCCATAAATGATCACACAAATGTGCCATCCATCAAACAAAATTCAATTCATTACAACAAAAAAAAATGTTTCAATCATCCTCATCATCGACTTGTATCCAAAATGTTCCGAAACGAGTGCCCCGAAATCATACAACAAATTCATCATCTCCAACGGTTCCCATGAAATTTGTAGTCATTTCCGATACACATTTATTACATGATTTATTAATCATACCAAATGGTGATGTATTGATTCATTGTGGGGATTTTACAAATTTGGGATTACCTGCGGAAGTGGAAATGTTTTTCAAGTTTTTAGTGGATCAGTGTGATTCAAAGTTTGAACATGTGATCATGATTGTGGGTAGGTGAGCGATCAGGTGTGAGCTGTTCCAATGCAATCCATTGACGAATTATATTCATGATGATGATGATTCTATTTCAATATGTATTTTTTTTATGAAAATGATGATATTCATGTCAATTTGAAAAATAATGTTTTTGACATTATATTTCAATATATTTGAAAATGGATCATTTTTTCAAAATAATATTTCAATGTGCATGTTAATATATAATGACATGTATAACAAACAAAAGGAAATCACGAATGGGCACCTGATGTTGTGGTTGGTACAAAATTTAACACATTTTTCAGTCCAGAAAATCAGAAAAAACTTCATGCCAAATATCATCTTCTTTTGGATGATACCATTACCATACAAGATAGAAACAAGAATCCCATCAAAATTCATGGTACTCGATATCGAGGAGCATGGGCCTTTCCAGTGTTTTTCAAAGATCAACGAAAAAAGACAACTTTTGAAATACCCAGCGACATTGACATTTTACTGACACATTTTCCATGTAATAAGAACAATATGGATGTTATTTATGACGGAACTTCGAGAGGATCGGAAGAATTGACCACACTCCTCGAATCGACGAATTATTTCACAAATTTAAAAATTCACTGTTTTGGTCATAATCATGACGGAAGAGGATTTTATTATGACACAACTCAAGATCGACTCTATATCAATGCAGTGTCAGTCATTGGTGATAAGAAAGACAAGATTGTGAAACCACCCTTTGTTTTTGAGTTTTGATTGTCTACGTGTGTGAATGATAATGATTCATACAATTCGCCCTTCCTATTTGAAAATTCAATTTTTTCTTTGTGAGCACACAAACTCGCACAGTTTGGAACTTGAACAGAATTCTGATTTTCCAATTCTTTAAATTGTTGGATTTTGTGCTTTCGATTTAAATAAAAATTGAAAAAAATGAGTAAACGAAATGCTGAGGAGGCTTTCTCGGTGCAGAACCATCATGCTCCAAATCAACTGCACCATGATGATGATGAAGATATATATACCCATCATCAAGAGGGAACGGCAGCAACAATGATGGAACACAAGAGTGGAGAATCCGAACATGATCGTTTCATTCCGTCCAGTAAAAGGGTGAAAGAAAATAATACATGTTTGGTTGCTCATACAACCAATGCTGATAATTGTAGTAGCAGCAACGCGATGAATGATGAGGATACGGCTGTAGATACTATGTTTTCGAAAATATCTCAGTCGATTGATCAGTACGAATTGGTGCTACGAAAAATTCGAGTATCACAGTCGGGCGTTGGCAATATCTTGTATAGAGATTTGAAACGACTCGGACAAGGTGCCATATCTAAACTTAGGGAGGATTTGGAACGTTCTCATGGCAAGTTGGTTCAATTATTGAATGAACAAACACAATCGTCGAAAAAGAATGAAACAGAAATGAACCAATCCGATGTGAATTATATTGACAAAAATTTGAATCAAGTTCTCCCACCCGATTTGTTGAGCTACATCTTTTCATTTTCATTGTTTTTTGACTTTATTCGAATTTCTCACACATGTAAGCTCTGGAGAAATATTTGCCTCACCAAAGCTGAAGCTCTCACAGCCTTTGACATTTCAGACGATGTTTCTTTTATTAATGGATTATTTTTATTCAACAGATTTATCGAATGGAGAATTGAGAATATTCGTCATGTTAGCATTTATGTGGATGTGTTTGCCAAGTGTGGCCACAAGTTCAATGCCGTGCGTAAAATAGACGCTTTCATTCAACACTCAAACATGGCTGGTTATCCAAATATTGAAAGAGTCAAAAAACTGTATACACGTCAGTTCACGTTCTTTGGCAATATCACGCTCCCAGGTATGTTGCAACGAAATTGAGTATCCACAAATAGGAGATGATTTTTTCATGAAAACGTTGAATACCAAATGGGACCTTTCTCATGCATGTATTCATCCATTTTTCAAATGATTCATTCATACTCTCCTTCAAATGGTAGGACTCGAGTTTTTACAATTTAAAAGCTTTAAAGATGCCATTATCGACTTTTTCCACTTATCCATGTTCGGCCTGGCTCTCGTTGATACACTTCTGCCCATGTTAGATTTCACCAAGATTGATCGAATTCAACTCATTTCGAACTTTAGATTACTTGCCTCGTTCATTCGATTTCAGCAAGATACAGATCCATCCAAAGCTGGAAGTAGAGAAAAAATCAAAACTTTCCTGACAAATATTAATGATCATGTCAAGTATTTAATTTTAACTGCCAAAGACGATGACGAGTATGAAGAGGAAGAAGGAGAAGGAACTACAGAATCATCGCCTGACGAATTTCATTTGGCCTCTCTCGAAAAACTAACTGTAAAGGTTGGATCCTCAAAACTCTTCAAAATGTTGAAATTTAATCCTGCTAAACTCAAATCATGCACAATAGTGAATTGGCTCGCAAAACATACAGTAGATGCATCTGAAATGTCAACCAAATCCGAAGAGGAAAGACTAGAAATTACAGAATTTCATTCCATGTTGGATCGACTCTGCAATGTTTCATGCTTGCGACTTGAATATGTGCCTTTCATATTCTTCAAATCTTATTCATTTGAAAAGTTCACAAATCTCAAATCACTCAAAGTATTAGAAATTGAAGGAGAAGTCATTGAACGATTAGCTCCAAAATTGACATCTCTCAAAGTTCAACGAATTTCCAACTTTACACCACAATGTAAGTATTTACAGAGAGTATTAGTCTTGTCAATATTTTAAATTTCTTACGTGCTTGATCATGATGCACACTGAACATTTCCACGATTGTTCTGAATCATCAATACCACAGTAATTGAAAATTGTACCAAGTTAAAACATTTAGTGCTTGGTTCACGATTTTTAGTAGACGTTGACATTCAAAAACTTAAAACGTTGAAAAAGTTGCACATTCTCAGTTCCCAAAAACACAAGCTCTCGAAATTTAAAATTGAGTCTCCAACCATCGAAGTATTTCTTTGTTATGCTGATATTCGATCACTTGAAGTCACTTGCCCAAATTTATATCGAATTCATTGTGCCAATTCATCACCTATTGAAGAGTTAACGATCAAGACCAACAAGCTTCAACATTTCACGGTAGAGGATACCACCATCAACTCCTTGTCCATACTCTCGTATCCCATCCCCAACCAAACAGCTGAGCAGGTTTCTCCACTGATTCGAGCTGCATTTTTAGATTATGTTCAAGTATGCAAGCAACTTGAGTGCCCCTATTTGAGATGCATCAGCATTTCAAACATGGAAGTGCTCAAAAATATGATTACACTTTCACAAACTCCATTACTCGTGAATATTGTCGTTACTGAAACAATTCTTGACACATCATTGTTGATTCAAGCACTGAAAACGTTTCCCATTGAAACAATTTCCATTTCCAATTGTTCAACCACAGAATGCACAGATAACTCTTTGATGGATTTGGACAGAGTGCAATTGAAAGAAATTCATGTCAAGGAATGTGATTTTGGTGTGTCCAAATTTATTGTGGAAGCATTTTCTAAATTCGAAAATATTGATACACTTGCAATTCAAGATTGTTATTTGGATCCTGAGTTTGTGAGATCAATTTGTCAGCCTACAGAAAATGAGTGGAAAAATTTACAAAGTCTCGAAGTGGACATTTGTGCAAATTTATCTGGTGATGAATTGTGCACGTTATATTCAAATATTGAACATTATGAACATTTGAAAAATTTATCACTCTTGATTTATCCAGATCGTGAAACGGAAAGTCTACACCATGCTAGATTTCCACAAACTTTGGAAATGTTCAACGGTACATTTAACACTCTTGAAATTGTTCCATCCAAGTCGGTCTCTTCGCCCAACGCTTGCCATTTGAAAACTCTCATTATTCAACCATGCCCTAGTTCCAAGTTTTTTAATGTGAATAGTTTATTTCAAGCATTGAATGATTTGTTTGTTGTTGGTGGTGACAAGGACGATGAAAATTCTTCAGAGCATAGTCCACTCTTTGAGTCACAGCTGGAGAATATTTTCACAGATGATGTTCATGAGTTGGATGTTGAGGCACCTCGAATGAGTTTGCTGACTCGTGTCATGAAGAACCTTCCTTCTTTGAGATATGTCTCAAAATCCTTCTTTATTGATGAACCTGTTGATTTGGTGTCATCAAGACCTGACATTAAATTCCAAGAAGATTAATTCCTTTAAGAAGAAATAAACATGATCAATGATGGTTGTTTTTCCTATTACATAAAACTCTCAATAAAACCTTTATTGATTTTCAAAAATTCCAAATTAAAAACAAAAGTCTACTTGGCATATCGAGTTGGAACAAAAGGCATCTTGGTAATCTTTGCAACTTGCAAAGTATTTCTAATTTGAATTCCAAATTCAGTTCCCTCTTTGGCGTATTCACTTTTAATGTAACCCATACCAATTGGGTGATTCAAAATTGGGCTCAAAGTACCGCTTGTCACATAACCAATTTCTTCACCAGTTTTCAAGTCCTTGAATTTGTAACCTTCACGAGCAATGACTGCTGTCTTTCCAGTTCCAACAAGCTCTTGACCATATGAAAAGCCAACTCTCAACTTTTCTACACCTGACTCGAGTTGCTTCTTAATGACTTGTGCACCTGGGAAACCACCTTCTTCACGACGACGTTTAGCAATTGTGAAGTTTAAGGCTGCCTCAATTGGAGTGATTTGAGGTGTCATATCATGACCCATGAGACACAAACCAGCCTCCAAACGCAAAGTATCTCTGCAGCCGAGACCAGCCAATCGAACAAGAGGTTCACTTCCACCAACTTGCAACAAGGCTCTAGACAAGTCAACAGCGGCTTCATCAGGAACAGAAATTTCAAAACCGTCCTCACCTGTATAACCACATCTGGAAACTTGAACAGAGAAGGATGGCTTTTTACTGCCAGGTACTACTACAACTTCATCTGAGCATGTCATGAATTTGAGATTTTTAACTCTGTCTCTTGCTTCATCGTTGGCGAGCAATGGTAATAATGCCTCAACGGCCTTTGGTCCCTGAAGAGCAATCAAACTCTTTCCTGGAATCATGCTAATTTGCAAATCAGATTCTGAGAATGTCTTTCCAGTTCTATCACATTTGAGATTTTTCAATTGATTTTGTAAATGTGCCATGTCACTCTCCACACAAGCAGCATTAATCACCACATAAAAATCAAAATTTCCGTTACTCTCTCCTTTTTTAGTGATCATCAAATCATCCAAAATTCCACCATTTTCATTTGTGAATTGGGTGAGACGTGCCTGACCAATTTTGAGTTGAATGATATTGGCAGGTGTGACTTTTTCGAGAAATTCTTGAGCATCGGCACCAGTAATCTTGACTTGACCCATATGAGAGACATCAAACAAGGCAGCAGAATTTCTGCATTGTAAATGTTCTCTCTTGAGAGCGTCTTTAAATTTGCTCAATTGATACATGACTGGCATTTTGTAACCGGCGAATGGGACAAATGTAGCCTCATGTTCAGCATGGAAATCATAGAGAGAGGTCTTTTTCAAGGCTTCCGATGAATCCATTCTTACGGTTTCATGATGGAAGGAACGTTGTTGAAGAGCCACATTTGGAGAGGCAATAATCTTGTTACAATTGGAGGAGATTCTTCTAGAAGAAGTAATACGGAACATGTTGTAGCTATATTTTGGAAGATGATGATATGAAATATATAATTATGAGATCGAGTGGCTTGATGATATTCAGCTATTGATGATTTCTGCTGATGATCAACGCTGAAGCAAATCAAAATTTTTTTGGTAGTTTTGTACTTTACAACATTTTGTGTTGGAGGACTGGCGTTTTGGGAAAGTAAGAAATATGTATTAAAGGATCATTATTTCGTCGTCTGCCAGAGCAGAATCGTCAACGTGTTTTTTGATTACAATTGCTAGCAAGGGCATACCGTCGTCTGATGTGATCTTACAAGCTTTAAAAGTTGAAATATCCAAATGTTCGCCAATGTACTCAGTGACCACAATAGGCCTGGATTCCATTTGGCTAAGTTGTGTAAATGCAGAGTCTCCAATATCCAAAGTTTTTGCCATTCTTTGAAACAGAGCTGAAGCATTGGGTAGAGGATTAATTTTGAATGTGATCGTCAAATGTCTGTTTCTTGGTGTTGGTTTGTTAATAGTCATGTCTAAATGCTGTGTTAATCTATAAAAGATGGCAAGATGAGTTTGATTTTCATAATGTAAGGGTGAAAACAAATGCTCTGCTTGATGTTGTTGTGGGATATTTTGCAACTCTGTCGATGGACGATTGGAAATACCATCATTGCTCTTTTGGGCAAAGATAAGTCTGTGTTGATCTTCTGGTAGTGGTTCTTGAATAGAATCTCGTTTTACCTTGTTCTCCAATTGTTCTGAGCCAACGACTTTTTCTGATTGAACTGGATCCCGTTGCAAACTATTGTCGGCAAGTGTGGTTGTTGAGGAGACAACAATTGGTGTAGTAATTTTGGATCCGTTTGTTTTTTTGCTAGCAATGTAAGTTCTTAACGCTTGCACATCTTCGTCAGTCATGACATTATTTTGGTGAGCAGGTGGAGTAGCTCCAACGTCGTCGGTTTCTGCATCTCTGATTGAGAGTTTTCGTTTCTTACAACCTAATTGTTCATCACCAGCTATGCAAGAACGAGCTACATCTGCTGACTCCACATGATGATCACTTTGCTTGTGTTCTTTGGAGTGGAGTTTTCTTTTTAAATGGTTTTCCTTTGCTCCATTCTCATCAACCACTGCTATGGACTTTGGAATGGCAACTTCGCCACTAATGTAAGGATCATCCACTTCCACGTTCACAATCTCATGTCCTGAAACTTGAACCCAATCTCTAACACGAAGGGTTACTGACACTGCTCTAAATACAGCATCTCCGTTGAGCATATCCCTAGCAAACAGAACAAAGGGATTCTCCTTCAATACCTCTCCAATGATGTTTGAAGTGGTAGGATTAATTGGTAGGTCAAGGAAAAAACCTCCCGTTACTACTTTGCTTACACTCTTATCTTGAAGTATTTGATCACCTTCCTTCTCAGGTTTGTAGGCGTTTAATATTTTGGAAATAATTCCTGTTTGCTTTCCCTTTCTGATCTCTCTTGAGATTTCTTGGCCTTAAAAAAAATTTTTCTAATAAACCTAGTTCCTAATGTACTAAACTTACGAAATAAAACCGTAAACCTGATGGTGTTAAAGGTTATAGGTCTTGGAGGGTTTGGCATTGCGTATTTTTTTTTTACAGGTTTCAAGGGTGGCGGGAAAATACCCGTTTTCCCATATTCAATTTAATTCACGAACAATAATTGATTTCTTTCACAAATTTTCACTCATGACAACAACTTCTCATCTTGTACGTAATCAGAGGTCTCAAAATTGCCACCACCTCAATCACTCCAAAATGTTCCAAATCAGAAATTACTGTATCAATATCCTTGTACGCTGCAGGTTGTTCCTCAAACAGCAAAGTCTTGTCTTCACAAATGACTCGGGAACCTAGATCTGTAGTAGTGAATGATTGAATACTTTCCCTACTGCCACTACTACTACTACTGCTAGACATCATTCCCACTGATTTTGAACGTTTCCATTTTCTACCAGCGCCGTGAGCAGCACTGAAATTGCATCGAATTTGACTTGCTAAATCTTCGGATCGTCCTCGAACGAGATAGGAAAAGGAACCTCGTGAACCGGGAATGACAAAATACCCTTCATCGGTTGGAGCTGCCCCTTTTCTGTGAATGAATAAAGTTTCATCTGCAATACGCTTTTCAACGACGTTGTTGTGACAAATGTCAAGAATTTGTTGACCTGTTCCATTTAAGCATGTTAAAAATTTTCTTGCAATGAGACCTCGATTGGCACGGGCCCATCTGCATGCATTGTCGTGATGTTTCAAGTAGTATTGTGCATCAGGAGAGTCAGCCAGTAATCCCTCATTTCCAAACTTTTTTTCATGTTCTTCCAAAATGTGATCGCCGAGAGAACGACTTCCACTGTGAACCATCAAGTAACAACAATCTTCAGTAAGGCCTAATTCCTGATGGAAAATTTGTGAATTGCATACTTTTTCAATGATTTGTAATTCTGCAAAGTGATTCCCGCCACCGACTGTTCCTAATTGTCGAATGGCAAATTCGAGAGCCTTATTTTCATAGGTATGAGTGTGTTGTGAAGTCCAAGTCTGCTGTGGTTGTTGCTCTTGTGATACTTCTTCTTTCTCAAGTTGCTCGAGTTCTTCCAGAGAAGGTGTCACATCTGCCAAACTTCCCAAATCCACTTGGAAATATTTTAAATAACGTTCAATAAAATCAGAAGCTTGTTGATCGTCCACTAATGGTTCATGTTGAGTCTCACTGGAAAGTTCTTCATCTTCTACTTCGTGTTGTTGATCTGCTTGAATTGATTGTTGACTTGTTGGTAGTCCACTTTCATCAAATAATTGCTTCTCAATATCGAGAACTGGTCTCGTTTCGTCGCCAGTAATTCCTCCTCTTTCCAAACCATGTAATCGTTTCACCCATTTCTCAACTTGTTTCACACCAGTGAGAGATGACAAATTAGTCTTGTACAAACTCATGCCACAACCAATATCATTTCCAACCAATGGAGGATAAATATAATGTTGAGTAGCAATGGCAGCACCTACTGGGAATGTCTTTCCAGGATGAAGGTCAGGTTCACCCACTAGACGACGAGCTCCTTTGAGAGTTCGAGCTGTTTCTTGAAGTTGCTTGATCGCTCCATCATCGAGCCAACTGTCTTTGATGAGAATGGTCACTTCGGGAGGTGGGGTTGTGCTTTCTGAGAATTGCTGTTGTTGCTGAGGTGTTGATTGTTGGAGTTGCTGAGTAGTAGCTTCTACCTTTCCTTGAAATTTTTGTTTTTCATTGATTGAAAAGACAAAGAAAAGATCATCTGATGGTTTGGCAGTTCCCAAAGTGATTCCTGAACTATTCGATTGATTTCTTCTTGTATCAATAAATTCCGAAATTAAATTTTCAAAATGAGTGGGGTTTGTCAATTCTTGACCAGTTTTTCCATTATAAATTGCAACAATTTTCTTTTTCAAATTTAACTTGGATTTTGCCATCTTTCCAAACTCATCCAAATTTGGAATTTTACTCGAATCCATCATGATAAATTTTTCATCTTTGATTTTCGCATTGTCAGCAATTCGAACTCGGAATTGAATTGATGATGAACTCGCGGTATCGGAGGAAGATGTCGAAGGCATTTTTTTTTGGTTGTGAAATTCCAACTTGAAGTTGTTTTAGTTTTGAATGTTGGCAAGCAATTTCAAATTGGAGTTTGAAATTTAAGGAACGTGTGTTGCAATTCTGCTGTGGTATATTGTATGGGGAAATAGTTCATTATTCTTGAACCATTGTTGACTGCACCACCATCTGGCATTTGACATGTTTAGTAATTTCACATTTTAAGGCAACCTCTTGCACTCTCAAAAAAAACGAAATGAATTTTAACTTTTCCAGTTCTGGTAGCAGCAGCAGTGGAGGAAGTTTCAATCTTCCAAGCAGCAGCAGCAACACCAATCCACAAATTCCTTCTTCTCAACCAACACCTCCTGGAATTCGTTCCTCCAATGTTGGTCATGATGATGTCCATCCTCAAATCAATCCTCCAATTCATATTCCTTCCTCAATCAGTGATGAAGGATCCAGCGGTAGTAGTGGTAGTCAGGTGGGTCCTCATGATCCCATGTTTTCAGGAACGCATCGACCTTCGGAACAGCATCCTCATTTTGATCCCGTATATCCTCATAATCCAATGGGAGATCCTATACCAGATCATCAGAGAGTACCCCATGATTTGGGAAATGAGGACAACATGATGGAAGGACATCACGAGCAATAAAAGAGTTGTTTGGACAGAAATAATAGCTTTGTGGTTCGAGTGGGATCTAGACTTTTGCTTACAACAAGAGGATTCGCTGTTCTGGAATTGTTCCCGAAATTATTCGTGGATAGATTGTTTTATTAATTTCTTATTCCTTGCTTTCGTCTATTTCTTGTTGGTGTGTTGGAAATGATTCATTTGGCATTGAAAATTCCAATGTACAAACCTTTGCCAAAACAATTTTGTAAATGCCATGAATGAGATTTTTTCACTCCCAACTCCGGCCAATTAGAACTGCACGTCTAGACTCTTTCATGAACTCCTTGTAATGATTCTGTTCTGTTCATAGAACAACCTTCAAGAATCCTCAGGAAATCTTTGCAGCATCTGATTCCTTATCGAAAAAAAATGGTAAAACACCTCACCCCATCAGCTTTGGCCATCATCATGTTGGCCATGCTTGCCTTGATGACGATTCATTGTGTGTCATGCAGTGAAGATCCAACAATTAAGAATCATCCGTCATCCGACGTTAATATCACTCCATGGACAGGAAAATGGATGAATGGATTCGTTCAGCTCTCTCCCAATTATTACAGTGCCCGAATTCTTAATGGAATGAGCTTTGATCAGGTGAAATTTGAATTTAAGGTTAGTTCAGGAAGTGCTGTGAATGTTGCTATTAAGAAGAATTCGGTACCTAAAAATTGGCAAGACGTGGATTACAGGTGGTTGGATGAGCAGTCTCAAGGATCATTCCTCTATTCTGGCATTGGCCCAAATGACATTTTCTATGTGATGATTAATGGAGCTTCAGCCACTTGGAATTTGTATGCCTTGAATTTTGAATTCAATTAAGAATAAAGAAAGAGTGGTGACAGTCCTGTAGAGCATATGTTCGGTCGAGATGTTGTTTGGACAGAAAAACTCGAGACCCAATCACAATCTTTATCAATCGTATAATAACGTTAATTGTTCAAAACTCATGAACAATTTGATTATTTCAACATTTGGTTCTTATTGGTCAAGTCTTGTAATACTCTCAAGCGCTGAACGAAGGATGGCACAAACTTGTCATCATATCTCTTAATGAGTTCGATCAATTCGCTTTGTTTCATTTCTCTTGCACATTGAATAATGAACCTATCAGTAAAATCTCTACAATTAATGTCCACCTCCAAAAGTGAAGCAAGGTGGAACAGTGACGGTAGATCCAGTGGTGAATTCTTCAAAGAAGGAATTCTATTGATCAACATGGCACATAAATGTTTCACAATGAATTCCATTTGAAATTGGTGAGCAATTAACAGTACACAAATGAGAGTCGATAAATCAAGTCCTGAATCAAATTTGGAATAACACATTTCCAAGAGGATGCGTAAAATTTCACATCTACTTTTTGGACATGCGTTGAAAAACATTTCAGTCCACTCATCCTGCATCATTAAGGAAAAGTCGTAAAGATTGATCAATGATGATTGAGAAGTGTCGTCATGGTCACGGAATAGGGCTGCTAGAACGGGACTATTTGTTGCAAGTACATGTTTGTGTAAGACTAGCTCTTCCTTATTATTTTCATCTATAATCACAGAAATGTCACTAGTTAACGACTCATTGAAGAGTGTATTGAGACATGAAACAAGATCCTTTTCAATTTCGTGTTCACTCCAATTCACTTGAATTTTGAAAAAATCTGTTTTCGCATCACTAATCTTTGGTTTGATGACAGAAAAGTTTTCTCTATGGGAGTACAATTTCTCAATTTCTGGGTAATTATTTTTCATATAGGAGAGACACTTCTGAACCGCTAAGAGTACCAAGCTATTCTTTGACTTTTTCAGCACCTTAATTGTGAGATAGGTATTGAACTGCTCCAAAATTGGTAGAGAATTTTCTGTCGAGACATTATTGAACAATTCATTGAAAATAAATGCTTTGAAATGAACTCCAATATCTGAAATGTCATTCAACAGAAATACACACGCAGCCAAATCACATGAAATATCTTCCTTTTGTGAGTGAACTCTAATTGTTGTGAGAAATCGATCAAAGATGGAGAATAAATATGATGTATAAGGATCAAGTCCGTCGTCCTCTGCATTTTGATCTTTAGATAGGGTATCTGGCAAAACGAGAGCCAATTCACAACAAATGAATTGCACCAAATGTTTCAACATGCGCATTTCTCGTTCTTTCAAATTTTCAATGAATTCATGATTGGTGAGAAGGGCATGCAAATCAGGTGAAATACTCTTCACCAATGGAAGAGAGACGTGAATGGAAGAGATGTTTCCCATTTGATGATAGTTATTCGTTGTTTCAGGAAGATACTGCTGTTGTAACATGACCACACGCTTTGCAATTTGAATTTCAACGACATCCTTTGGTTTTTCAAGCATGATGAATGTGCAATTTCTTCCAGCAAAAACGTGAACTTGATCATTTTCTTCCCATGTGAATGGAAGCAACATGGGTTTCAATTCTCTGAAAGACTCTCTCGTAGAAGTGTTTCCAAGTCCGAGCTCACCAAACGTATTGCAACCAAAAGAGTACAATTTTCTTTGCGAACTTTTCAGAATGACATGAAAATGTCCACAAATTGCATCCTCAATCCTTTCATTATTTCCCAAAGAAATTCTCTCAAAGTCACGAACTCTGTCAGCAGTGCCCAACATTTCAGCTCCACCACACACCAAGCAGTCACCATCCTCCAAAATAAAAATAATATTATACTTGGAAAAAACAACCTTTTTCACATTGTGATATGAGTTATGGACTGGAATGATGGCATAACATGGCTCAGGAGTTGGCTTGTTCTGGTCAAATTCATACATGTAATTTGACGAATGGGTAATAAATAACGTTCCATCCCCGAAGAGAAATCCAGTATTTACATCTGCTCCAAAAATACTCTTCACAGGCAACCCCTTCGATTGTTGTTTGACTCTTCTTGAAATACTCGTCGGCTCTGTTAAGCGAAAAATACTCTTCCCGTAGATGTTCATTCGGGGATCATCACAAAATAATTCATCCAAGTCGTTTTTTCCACACGCATAGATTGTCTCTTTTTCTGAAATGAAGAATGATTGATAAGGTCCCACGAAAATCTTTCGAATGGGTGAATCAAAATAGGTTGATAAGATTTCCTCAGGCACATTGAGCTCCTTCTTGTGACGAGAGCCAAGTTGTCCAAACTCATTCGATCCACATGAAAATACCCTTCCCTGTTGTGAGAGGAACAAGACATGCTTCTCTCCACATTTGAAATCCACAATTTTGTCATTGGTATGATCTAGATCAGGAAATTCAACAAGAGTCGGTATTTGTCTCGATTCCAAATCTCGGAGGCCCAAAACACCACATACATTCTTTCCGAATGAAAAGACACGGCCTTGATGAGATAACATGAAGTAAAACTCGTGTGAAAGGTCGAATTGTTGAATGGAATCATTGACAGGAGTCAAGAATTCGAGCATATCAATGGATTGAAAATTGCTGCTGTGGTTATGTTTCTGCTCTGCCGTGTCGTTGAACGATTTAAAGGATTGCCATGGAATGGTTTTGCTCCAAAAACCTTGGCCACACCCGAAGAAGTACTGCTGCTTGCATGAGATGTGTTGCATACTATGGAGGTAACAATTTTTTGATTGTGTCCAGAGCTCGAACTTTAAATACATCGAACGTTCGAATCTTGTGGAACACGGTTACACGACCAAACTGTGCATGTTGGGTGTTGCATATTCCATTTCACCTGATTCGAACCTCCTTTGCACAGTGAATTAAAAAATGTTCTTGACACAAAATCACACTTGAATGAATTCAATGTTATTCTTGACCTGTATTCAAATTATTCCGAATAATAATTAATAATTGTTATTAATTTTTACAATCATCCAATCAACAGCTGTCCTTGTAAACTAAAGGAAGAACAGCACAATCACGATTGATGATAAATTTTTCGAAAACAACGGACAACGAGATTGATTTATTCCAATAACGAAAGATTTTTATAGTGCCGCACAAAATACAATTGTGGTGTTTCTACATTATCAATACAAAATCACCACATCTTCATGATGGTGCATGATGGGATGAAAGCTCCGAGACGAGGGCGAGAAATACGAAGGTGAAATGAGAAATTTTTGGCAAATTTTGTCTATTCTTTTCCGAAGCTTTCTTTGCTCTTCCATCAAATTTCAAAGAATCATCAAAAAAAATGCTTCGTCTTGTTGTATTTGTGAAATTCTTTCAAATTCTTTCAAATTTGTTCGGATTCTGTTAAATTCTTTTAAATTCCATCGGATTTTATGGGCAAGACATTTCAAAGTCTTTATTACTATATCTCGTCCAATTTAAGTTGCAAAAAGCACCAACAACTACCCATCGCATATGAGCAATGCGTAATACTTCAGTTTTGCTTTGGGTTTTGATTCTAATTCGTTCTTTGCAAGATTTGAATATCTTGATTTCCCTGAACTTATTTTCTACTCTAATACGAACACTAGAGAAAATTTTGCGCAAGGATGGGTCGTCTGGAGGAGTAATTACACGAGGAAGCCCTTTAAAACCACTGTCGCCAAAAATGAATTCTGATGCATCCATTTCACTCAACCAATGAGAAGAGGTTTTGTTGAACAATTCATTATCATTAACTCTTCCTGGAAAACAAGGCGAAAGATATCCAATATGGCCAGAAGGAGTCATTGCCATCAGGATTGTGATGCTGTGTTGGTTTTTTTTTGCAGAATAGAATTCAAAATCCAAAATTGCGGAATCACAACAAAATGCAGGCTGTTCTGATCCGTCTATTATTATGGTAATCAAATGCTTAAAATATTCTTCACTATTATCCATTCTGAATTGCAAGGTTTGCATACATATATAACGTTTTAGCTCGATATACAACCAATCAAGAACTCTAATTCTTATAGTGGTTATTGCTCGTTTTTCAATTTGAAAAATGCAACTTAAAAATTGGTCCGTACAATATTGCCGCAAATGTGTAAGTGTTATCATAATTTCATCTTCCACTGGAATTTCTATTGGTCTTCCTAACGCATTGAGTCGTGTTTGCTTTCTCAATTGGATTAATTCATGAAAACCTTTTTCACATATTCCAGTAATTTTATGAATTACATTGCAATCAATGACATACTGAGTGAAATTACCTTCGAAAACATGAGGAGAATTTGAAATATTAGAAAAATTTATTTTTTGATCAACTTACTTGGAGTGGTATGAGTTTCAATTACATCATGCTCACATTCATCATCCGTTTCACTTTCATCAATAATTTGATCTTTGGTTCGTTTTTTGGATGATCTGTTAGTTACGGATGAATTGGGGTTAGTTTTTTTCTTTTTACCTGATTTATGGGAGCAATAATGGCGAACCAAGTATTTGATTAAGTGAGAACCTTTACAGAAAAAAATATTAGACTCGGTTTGACCTTTTTTTTCCTTAATGTAAAGGGTTCCCTTACAAACAGCGCCACACATTGAAGAAGAGTCAACATTTTTACAACCACTACACATAACGTCTTCAATAGCATTCTCTTCATCAGATTCTCCATCAAGAATTGACTGCTTTGAATCATTGGTTGAAATGACCTCATCATTGATTTTGTCAATCATTTCAGCCAATCTTTTATTCTCAGTGTTGTCCAGAGCATGAGATTTCTTGCATAGTATTAGTGTTCGATATTTTCCGACGTAAATTTTGGGGAATCCTTTGGCAGCCGTACGGATGGTGCAACAAATACATTCTTTACCGCTAAGTTTATCAGGATGAAGCTTTGGAGAGACATCTTCGCTGAAAGTCCCTAAGGATTGTGTTTGAGACATTGATCCCAATGTCGCTGGAGCCGTTACAGACCTTCTTTTATGGGGAGTGGTTGAATTTTGTATTTTGTGGAGAAAATCACCATCATGTGTCTTTATTCCTTTACATATCAAACATGTGCACAGTGGAATCTCTTCATTGGCAACACATGACTGATGATAGCATTTGGGAATGTGACGATTGAACGCAAATGCATCAATGTTGGTGTTGCAAATAGGACAATTTTTCTCCATGGTGTGCTGCTGTTTTTTTATCTGTTTTTGACTGAGGATTCCGTTTGCTTCTTCACGTTTTATGAATTTCCGTTCAAATTTTCGGAATTTTGCAAAACTGATTGGAAATACCGAGAAAGAGGCTGAAGCATTCGGAAAGCATGGGAAAGTTATGAATTGTCTAAAATTTTCTGGTGTTTTTGCAATTTCCTTCGTATTTCTTTCCCATACCCCCGTAAGTACAACCTTCTGCCGAGAAGAAGTATTTACAAGGTTTTTTGCCTTGCAATGTGTGGTCACTTGTGGATTCATCACCAGCAATAACAGACTCAATTAAGTCAAAATCGATTGAGGATACTGATGAATTGTTGGTTTCATTATGACTGTCATGCTGTAAAGGATGTTGTTGCTGTTGTTGGAAGAGTTGGAATCCAATACTATTTTGGAACGAATTTAGAACAGTTGGACAGGACATGGACATGAACCGACGTGACAATGGTGATGATGGTTGTGGTGATATGTTGAGATGATTGTTTAGTGCTGGCTGTTGTTGGTAGTTGTGGTGATGATGATGATGATTCTGTTGACCACTCACATGATGGAAGGAGTTGAATTCTTCCATGTCATCCGACAGTACCTTGCCGACGACTGATCGAACAAACATGTTCACATTGATTCCATCGTCATGACTGAGATGTTGAGAACGACTGTGATTGTGACCCACCTTGGGAGAATCAAGTAATAGCATGGTGGGATCCACGTGTTCTTCAGCCATATTTGTCATGACGTTATTTGAACAAACACTAGTGCGAGAGGGAATTTCAAGCTCTGTTGGCACTGAATTCGTTTGAGTAGGTCCAAACACCGAGTTGAAAGTACTGGTGGCAGCAGATCTGCCTCTCACAGACGAGTTGTGTCCCATAAGAGATATGTCATCCATAGAGGATGAAAAGTCAAAAGACGAGGAACCTGTGGTGATTCTGCGTTGGTGGGTGCCGAGTTGGTGATGATGACTGTTGGAAAGAAGAGAAGTACCGAAATGTTGATGATGATCTTGTTGCGGTATGGTATTGTTAGGATGTTGTTGGGAATGATGATGATTACCACCCGAAGAGGATAACCATGTGGTCATGTTGTTATTCGCACTGTTCATACTTTGACTCTTGGTGTGATGATAACCGTTAGGTTGAGGAGATGATGATGAATGATTTCCTCCATTGAAACCCATCACATAATTCGGAGGACTCATTCCCATCCATCCTGTTGCAGCCGTACTCGTGCTCAGTAGAGATGAATTGGTGCTGTTCACGCTATTATAACTCCCAATACTGCTGCTACTCAAATCGGAAGCGTTAGAAAAACTTGATGAAAGTAAACCAGCACCATCCGACATGTAGGAAGATGATCCTAACGTATTCCTCTCCGCCGTGATATGATGATCAAAACTTCCATGATGATGATCGTGTTGATCCTTTCTGAACGGAATATTCATGATGATATCCACACACAAAATAAACACAATGATGATGAAAAGAATTGACTCTGTGGGCGAGATCTTTTCTAAAACATCACGGAGAGTGAGTGCCCAAAATCTCTCTCAAAGATGTCCACTTGGATGATACTCGAGTGAGCAGCGAGAGACGATGAATCTAACTGTTACAGGTGCAGCAGTTGTTAACGTTGAAAATAATCTCCGTATGCTTCCTATTCTGTATCAACAATTTTTTTTCTAAAAACAACTTAACATGCTCGACAAGGTTCCAACTTGGAAGAAAAATTCTCATCATCAAATCCTCAGATCGGCATGGTAAGAAGAAACAAAAAGGAGTTTTAAAAGATGAATGTATTAGCCTTTGTGTACATTGTTCCAATCAAGGAGGATGATGAAAATCTTTTTTGAGGACATTTAAGGCTGGTAACGGGAAATCATATTTACTTCAAGTACACAAATTGAACTTTTTCATTTCGTTGTGACTTGAGATTTTGTGTTTCAGTGCCAAATCAAAAAAAAAGTTCATCGAATCCTTCTCTCCGATTTTCTTTGACAAACTTTTTCAAATGCCTTTGGAAACATCTGTCAATGAGCATAAAAATTGTGAAAGAACTGTCGACCATAACTCTTTCCAAGAACAATATTCTGAAAACAACACTTCGGAACAATTTATTTATGAACAAGCTCCCTATGTCCATCGTGGTATGATTCACAAAAAACCATCATCTGATTCCGACTCCAAATCCAATCATTCCATTTTATGGCAGTTTCTGAAACAACTTTCTCCTCAGACTGATTTGCTCAAAATGTGTTCGCCAGTGTTCTTATTAAGACCCATTTCAACTCTTGAATTATTTACTTATTATTGTGAACCAACCGCTGGTTTGAAAGTATTGAGTTTTTTGGACAAGAAATTGGATCGAATGTTGATGTGTTTAATGTTTGCGTTAGGATCCTGTTCGAATACGAGGGGAGATAGTTTTGAAGGAATTAAACCTTATAACCCAATTTTAGGAGAAATTTTTAAAGCAAAATGGAAACCTTTGAATCCATTCGAACATGATTTGGCAACTGACAGCTGTTCAAAACCCTCTCAAACTCTCCCTTGGTTTTCTAAATGGTTGTCCTCTCAATCAAATTCACATAATTTCTCTACTCTCCATCATTGTCTCTTCCAATCGAATACTTCAGTTTTGGCCGAACAAATTTCTCATCATCCACCAGTGAGTGCGTTTTATATGGAAAACTCGGAAGCAAACTTTAAAATGGAATCCACGTTTCAAATTGTAGTGAAATTTCGAGGAAATTCCGTTGCAACATGTATTGCTGGAAGTCATGTGTTGAATGTCAAATGTGGAGTGCAAAAGGATTTGGAAGAAGAGTATTCATTTGTATTACCAAATATGGTTGTCAATGGACTGTTTTTTGGTTCGTCCCATGTTTCGAATGGTGATGTGTTGAAAATTTCATGTCCACAGAGTGGACTAGAGGCGAACATTTCCTTTAGTGGACAAAATGATATTAAGGGAGAACTTGTACAATGTAAGAATCAGAAATTATTTACTTTTAAGGGAAACGTTGGAGGTAAAATTTTCATGACACCATGTCAACCTTTCGACATGTTATGTGAACAAAGTGAACTACTACCATTCATCCATGACGCAAGTACCGAATTGAATGCCGATTTCAAATATTCCTCCAAAAAGACGAACAACCATCGATGGTTATTCTATCAAGCGTCATTAACGAATGCCATCCCAGAATTTTCAAACAAACTTTGTGTGAAACCTTTGCATGAACAAGCTGAAAATGAATCTCGAAAAGTATGGCATCCCCTTACGTATGCTCTTCAAATGGGAGATTTGGATGGTGCCTATCAAGAGAAACACCAAATTGAACAAGTACAACGAGAAAAACGAATGGAAGAGAATCAAGCGTTTGAGCCCAAATATTTTAGGTTGAAAGAAAAGACAGTGAAAGTGAGTGATCAACTGCAAATTCCTCTCTATGAACACAAGTGAATTCAGTGAAATCAATGAAAGAAGGAACTGAGAACTTGTGCAAATAAATTCTTCTTCTTGCTTGATTCAATAAAAAAAAACCAAAAATTTTGAAAACAATGTCCTTGGTCGCTTCTTCTCAACAACCACCTCTGGTTCCTGCCATTTCTTGTCTATGCTTCAATAAGGATCGTTCACTTGCAGCCTTATCTCCAGCAAATTCTGAAATTCACATTTATGACACTTGTCAGTCTGAAAGTTTTCAAGATTGGACACTTCAACATGTCCTTTCCGAACATGCGAGTTACATTACTGCACTCGATTGGGCTCCAAATTCCAACAAGCTCTTGTCTTGCTCCCAAGATAAAAATTGCTTTGTTTGGGAATTTCATTCATCTGAAAACAACGACAAAGGAGAATGGAAACCAATTCCTGTGTTAATATACATTTCAAAATCTGCAACATGTTGTAAATGGTCTCCCGATGAATCTCGTTTTGCTGTGGGAAGCTCTTCGAAAACTGTTTCTATTTGCTGCTATGATAAGGAAAATAGATTTTACTATTCAAAACGATTTACCAAACATAAAAGTACTGTCACTTGTCTCGCATGGCATCCACACGATCCAACACTGCTTTTGACCGGATCATGTGATTTCAAAAGTCGATTATTTAAGGTGCATATGAATGAATTGGATGGTAAAAACCCTAACAAAGATCAAAAATTTGGAGATTGTTTGGCAGAATTCCACTCCAAAGGTTGGCTCCATGATGTTCAATTTTCACCCAGTGGACGATGGATTGCATTAGTGGCTCATGATTCTACGGTTCAGTTTGTGGATTTGAATAATTTTGATTTCAAAAACCAATTAGCTCAACCATTGCACTCGGCTCAAATTGTTCGACATTCCAAATTACCATTCACGAGAGGTCTCTTTTTATCGGATCATTCATTCATTGCTGTTGGTCATGATTGTGTACCTTATGCTTTTGCTTTGCAAGAAGGAACTTCTCAATGGATTCTCAAAGGATCGTGTGACGATGGAAAAGGTGTGACAACTCCTCAATCATCATCTGGACAATCAGTGCCATCTGTCAAAACGGTTATTGGTCGTATCCAAGCACAAAATGTCATTGGATTACATAATTTGCAAAATTTACAAATCCCAACGACTCGACACTACCGATCAATCACATCCATTTGTTCGTTATCATCCATGAGTTCCTCTCAAAAAGAGTTCTGCATTCAAAAGTTCTCAACAGCTGCCTTAGACGGAAGAATTGTGTATTGGAATTTGGATGAGTTGAGCAAGTCCTTAGGAATCTCATTGTATTGATCAATATTGGTATACAATTTTGTAAATTATAAATTATCAAAACAGTTCAAATCATGACCTGTTAAAAATTCTATTGCCCACACGTGAAGAGTGTTATTCAAGTTTCATGACTTTGAAAGAAACAAATCCGTCATAATTCACTTCTACAATTTTGATTTTCAAGCGAACAGTGGCACCTTCATCGATGCGAATGGTTGTGAATGTGAAACGATCATCAATGAGATGGTCACACAGCTCTCTATTCTCTCCATGAATTAATTTCAATAAAGTATTGGTTGCTTCCAATCTTGTTTTCACATCCTGCTCAACGTCCTCAAATGTCTTGTCGCATCCCTCAGCCATAATGTTGATATTCACAATTTTCAAATTTGGTAAATGTTGGAATAATTGTTGAATAGTCATATTTGCTGGGAGTGATTCAGAGTGGCCATTTAAAATTTCAATGCAAGGATATTTCTTGTGAATAGACTGCAAGGTCTTTTCAGCTCTCTTTGATTCATTATTTACTTTATCATCTCCCGTTTCATCATTCTCTTCTTGATCGCCATCTTCTTCATTCTCTTCTTGATCGTCGCCTTCTTCATCTGTATTGAACAAGTAGTTCAAGTCAAAATTTCTCAGTCTTAGTTTCATGTCATTCAAAAAGTCCTGTATGGAATAATCATCGCCTTCATATTCCTCACTTGTTGAGAAATAGACAAGATTTGTACATTTTGCAGCAATCTCTCTCAAGTCTTCTTCGTAGGGCATACCTCCATCGAAATGTAAACTTTCAAGTTGAGTCATTGAGTTGAAAATTATTGGCACATTTCCACTTTCATGCAAATATCGTTCACCAAATTTCAAATCCAACAATTTCTTACAATTGGTGGCAATCGATTGAAACAGCTCATTAGAATAGCACATGTGATACCCCATAGTGAGCTTTTTCAAGTTTGGAATGGTCTTGAACAGATAATCAAAATTTTCTTCGGGAAAGTAGTACAACAGATCCAATTCTTCCAAGCTGTCAAAAACAAGGTGGTCTCCAAATGGCTGTGTACAACAGAGACCACATTTCAACGACTTGAGTTTTGTGCAATTGGTGAGAAGAGTCTTGTAGAGCATGTATGTCAAGGACTGAGGCGGCATTTCATTGGAGTAGTCTTCCCACGAATCCAACGAAGGTACTTCCAAATGCTCCAAATTCTTCAAGGTTGAAAACCAAGCCAGCAGCACTTGCATTTCGTCCTGTTTCAAGTTTTTCACAAAAGTGTGAAAGGAACAACCAAATCTTAATCGTTTCAGTCCTGTGAATATTCCAGTTTGTAATGCAAATTGAAACATTTCCATCGAGAAATTCATCTTAACCAGATCATTGCAATCACCTTCCCTTCCCAAATCCAAATATTTGCATCCATTCACTGGATTGCACTTGTGAATGATTTTAAATAATCTCAACATGAAATCACTCGAGAATTGAATATTCTTTTTAGTGGCATAGTATCGTGTGGGGCATCCTGTGGGTTTGAATCCTAACGAAACCTTTTCATAGAGTGAATGGAAATTACGGCCATCTTGTTTTTCATTCTTCTGTTCCTTTTCATTGTGCACGAGTATGCTGTTCTTTCCATCATCATGATGAGAAGCTTGTTGATCATTCGGAATCAACACCTTGTTGTCCAAAGCATCCAAAGCAATTCCTCCGGTGAGTTCATAACATCGTCGACAAGTTCTCATGATACTTCCGAGAAGATCATGGAGCGGATGAAGAAATGAAAAAACATGAGCCAACGAGTCATCATCTAATTTCAAAAGACTCACCATTCCATCATGATGATGAGTTTGTAATTGTTGATCCGAATCGATAGAAACAATCACGGAGGGGTCTTGTTCATGAACAGTAGGAGGAGTGTGTTTCACTTTTTTAGTACAGGTATTCAGGTCGTGGTTGTTGGTGGTCGAAGTGAGTGAGACTTGATCCGAGGGTCGTTTCATGGTGTTTGTATATTTTTTTTTCTCGAAAAGAATGGAATTTCAAAGTCCCGAACGATTACATGAAAAGGCAGATCAGATCTGAACAAAACATCAATAGTTTCATGTTAAGAAATTACCAGAGGTAATGCTGCAACGATTACAATTCCGTACACAAGAATACTTTTCTGCCTTGTTGGTAGACTCCATCGTAAGCTAATAGGTGTTCAAATGGGGTGTGTTTTGACAGCCAGCGATGTTTCCCAACCAATAAAACACATAGTAACGGATCCAATCAGAACTTAATTCCTGAAGTTCATTTTGTTTTACAAGACGCCCAAGAATTCTATATTGCCACTACGGATGCCATGACTTACGGTCATCAGTTTGTGGAGTTCAGTAAAATAGAACGTCCATCCCAAAGAGACAGTTCATACACTCACACATCTGAGAGCTTTTGGGGAAATTTGGAAGAATGTTTAACAAGCCATGAACCTGTTCGAGGTGAATTCGATAACAATTTAGAACTCTAAATGGAAGACGTGTTGAACGAACAGGCACGCGATTTCATGAAGCAGGTAACAGTGGTGGATGTACTTTGTTGAATTTAGTGTTATCTGACGTGTTTGGAAATCCTGATAATTTTACCAAGAGGATCTGTAAAGTTGGAAGATTTCAGATACAATCTTCATGAGTTGGAGGAAGTAGACTTTTTATACTTTTTATCAGGAAACGGAAGTTATAATTATGTGTCTGCTCATCGTTGTTTGAGGTTTCCATTGCGAACACGTCCTGCTATCATTCGGGCGAGGAATATTGCAAATGAATTGTTTTCCAAAGGTGGACCATTGTTCGAGGAAGAAAAGACCATGACTGCATTGGAGGGTTCTGAACAGCTTTGGAAATTGTTTTCATCAGAGAAGGCAATAATGCACTTACAAGATAAAATCGGCCAAGTGTTGCAAAAGGTGACACATAATATTGAAGCGTTCAAGAAGCATATAATTACTTGAATAAGAATTCATCCGTGTCGATAAAATAGAGTTCGGTGTTGTTTTGAAATGAATGAGTGCGAAAACATCTTCTAATGCTTGGTCTCCTCATATTTTCTTTTTTTGTTTTATTTGCATGCTCTTGCTCACGAATTATTCTGTTATCTCTCAACCTGATTTAAATAGTAATATTGTTAAGCCAGAGAAAATAAAGTAAATAAAACACTTGGATTCGTATGTGACCTGGTAATGATGTAGTAATCGCAATGTTAGTTGCATTTGATTACGTTTCCAACGGTTGACAAGTGTCGTTCATGACATTTCCCAAATATAAAGCACACAATCCAAATCAATCGTTTAAAATCATGGTTACACCAATCAATTGCACATGTGTTTGTTCATTTTCAATACCATCATTAATTTTGTCCATAATATTAATTTTGTTTTTTCAACCAATGATCATTCCAATAATATTCAACAAAATTCTTTCGTTCCGATCATGAACTCACTCCAAAAAAAACATACCATACTTCCGAAACTCTTTCCGACGATACAATGCCAATATTTTCCATACACTTCATCAAATTGTTTTTTAATAAACGATGCAATATCCTTTTCGATTGTATATTTTTCCATGGCTTGTTTTGTGACCGTTACTGCCATGTCTTTCATTTCTTCGGTCATGTCGACGGTTTTAATGACTATTTCCGAGGATGTTGTCGAGGACGATGCTGCTGATGTGTTCAGACCCGATGAAGATGCTTGATGTTGGGACATTTTTTTTGTAAAGTGTGAAAAAATAGCTTTTAGTTTGAAATGATATTAATAAATATTGCAATAATTGAATCAATGAATACCACGCTCCAACACAACCAAAGCATCGATCTCCTTATCATACACACATTAATACACAGTAGAATTCTCAGAAACTTTCTTCACATAATCCTCTCCCTTTCTATAACTACCGTAACCAGTTTTTGGTTCAGTATACACATAGATCATCAAGACACCATTCGAATGGCCGACCATTCTCATTGTGGCAAACATGGCCAATCCCTTCTTTTCAACTGTAAGTGGTATTTCCAAAATGTGTGTAATTTCCTTATTCTTTGCATGAGCTTCAGGCACAAGATCCTTCTTTTCTCCAATTTCCACTTTCGAATATTCCTTTTTCATTTCACGAAAACGTTCTTCTGTCAAATTCTTGGAAACTTGATCCCAATTCAATTCACCAATTTTACAATAAGTGACTACAATGACATGTCCAGTGTTCATGTTGGCCAACACTGCTGCATGAGATCCGGAAACTTCACTTGAGGAGAGCATGGTGAAATCTTTGGGGACACATAATTGTGCAGCCAAATTAGGGTTGGTTCCGAGTGGAATGTAACTGTACTCATGATCCAACACGTATTGTTCGTGTCGACATAATTTGTACGAAATGTACAAGGTACCACTTTTGACATCTTGTAATTTTAGAGTTTCTTCATAGACCTTTTCGTGTTCGAGTTTGTCGTTGTGAAGGATCAATTCGGCTTTGCCAATGAAATCCTATATGAAATATATATTTTTCAGAAATTTCAGATATTTTCATCATCATCCGAGATCAATAAATCCAAATCAGGAATTCATGAATTATTGCATCAGAAAGAAGAAATAAAAACAATGAACTCACGTACATCTCGGGAAAGCATATCCCAATCATAGACCTTGAACAACAACTTGATTCCTTCATTCTTCTTATCCAAATAATCCAAATGATAAAAAGTCTTGGTTTCATTCCACTCCGGATTCAAATTCTTTTTCTTAACACTCGTCTTTTGTTTCCATCCTTTAGCAATATCTTTCAGATAGGATGGAATGGCATCGGTTGAAAGAGATTTGGCTTGAACCAATACATAGGGATCACTTTTACCATTGAAATCTGCAGCTTCAAGATCGGCAGCACGTTTTACAGTTATTGAGAGAGAATCTAAGAAGGCGAAAGGCATGCTGGGTGATGTTAAAAGGAATCAAGAGGAATCGTTTTCAATGATTTTTTTTTGATGTTGTGATGGAAATGCAAGAAAAGTTCATTTTAATTCTAAAGTGGAATCAAGAAAGAGCGTTTTTGTTTTTTGAAACATTTGTAAAATGGAAGGTCGATCTTTGTGAACACAGTCAGAACAATGAAGAAGCGTCTTGGAGCGAGAGATGGTTAACAGGTCACTCAATGCTACGACTTTATCGATTGTTCCTTTGAATTTCGGTATTAAATAATTCATGCCAGCAATGCAATGAAAAAGAGTCAATTTCTGAAACAATTTACTTTCACATGTTACAACAACAATCAACTCATTTCCAAATCATTGTGTGCTTCTTAATAAACACACTTCTGACCAAACAATCTTGCCCATGAAAAAGCACCAGTTGGAATACAACGAGGACCCCATTCAGAATCTGCCATTTCTTCTGCGTCCTCTTCTTGCTCCTCTTCTTCAAAGGCATCTTCTTCGAGTAATTCCTTCCAAGCAGCACGAAGCACTTGTAATTCTTCCTTTAATTTCTGTTTCAACAATACGGAATCTTGTTTATGACGAGTTTCCATATTCTTTTTCATTCTTTCAAGTTGTTCGACAATTCTTAAATCAGCCATTTCGACCACACTCTTCTCAGCAGACTTTCGTGCTGGTTGAATCAACCAACGTTTGTTTTGACGTTGTTCTTGTTCGAGATTTTGACGAATGGTTTCAAGAGATGCATCGGTTGGTAATAAATCAGCTTGTGGAGATGATCTACGAAGTTGAGAAAGGAGATGTCTCAACTCGGATGCAAGGTTGTTTTGTGGATGGACAGCTGGCAAAATATCATTTTGTTGTTGTGCATGTGAAACGTTCAAACTCAACAAGGCAATGATGACAAGTGCCAAAACACTACACACGACGATGGATTTCATGTTTTTTTCAATGGTCTCAGGTTGATAACGTTGGAAGGACTCTTTAAATACGTGCTTTGAAATTTCTTGATGTGTTGCATGGTTGTGGGGGAGTTCAGTTCGTGTTTTCAGTTAATGGAAGTGACTGTAACCAATTCAACACTTCCAAATCTGGCTCTATTACAACAATGATTTGCTTGAACATCAACTTTGATTATCTATCTGATAATACAGTAGTTGATAAGATTCCTGTCCTATCCAACAATTAAAAAGACCAAGTCCTAAAGAAATATAAATTGTCCAAAAAGTTGCAATCTTTCCATCTGTCATTGGTTTCAACTTACATTTGAAAACACAATTCTCGAGCGGTCGAATAATTGAATTATTGTGTCCATCCTAGTTTTCCTCTCTTCCAGGTAAATTGAATTGTGATATTCTCCAAAATAAGGTTGGAAATCAATTGGGGTGATGAACATGCTGAGATTATGATATAAAATTCTCCGTAAAGTGAACAGCTACTACTGGCTGAAAGTACTCCAACGAAAACAAGTGAACCATAATTCATATAAAATGTCTCTGCCTTTGTATGACAACTGTTGTCAAATATTTGAATGTGGATAGTCGTGTGGCAATCTCTTCGTATGTATTACCCCCAAATACATTGCCTTGCATGTCGAGCTCTTGCAACTTGGTCAAGTACTTGCTTGACACAATAGCAAGAGCTCCTGTTGATGAAATGCAATTACAGGACACATGTAACCCTATTATTGTTAGATCAAGCATGTGTGACAAAAATCCATTGAAATAATAAACAACACACCTGTTAAGTTTTGCATCAATTCGCTTGAGGCTAATGCCACGGCACCCTTCGATCCAATATTGCAATTATTCAACCTTAAACATGTTAAATTCTTCATATTAACACTGTTGGCAATAGAGATTGCACCTTCGCTGTAAATTTGTGAATTCGCAAAAAGATTGAGATGTGTCAGATGTTTCAAATGCTCGCTCTCACAAAGAGAAGCAATTCCATAGTCACCAATCCCATTGCTACTCAGCTTTAAAATAGTTAAATTGCTCAAATATTTGCAGGACGCCAATGCTGAGAGTCCTTGGTCGTTAATGGTATTGTAGTTTAAATTCAATTCTTTAACGTTCCTTAATAATCGAGAGCATTGGGACATCAGAACAGCTCCGTCAGACTTGATACCGTTCGAGCTTAGATCTAAAGATGTTAATTTTTCGAAATGATTTGTTGTGTACATGGATGAGTTAAATAATAACGTGCCGTCTAATTGGTTCCCACTCAAATTTAAACTAGTTAAATTTACCAAATGTGGGCTCTGCATGAGTAAAGCACCCGCTTCTTCGCTGATTTTACAACAGATCAAATGAAGCGTTTTGAGACGTTTCGAACTTTCGTGGGCAGCTAATTCCTTTGCTCCATCAATGTCAATTGGAGAAAACGAAAGTTTCAAGTACTGCAAGTTGTGAAGTACGGTAATATCCTTCATAAACGCCTTGGGTACGACAAAACGAATCTGTATGGATAAGTGGGTTAAACTACTGTTGAAAACGCTGGAGGCAAACATTGGAAAGGGATGTTTTGGAGTTATTCTTGGCGAATAAACTCCTTCTAAATTCAATTGTGTTAAATTGCTCATAGAGTGACTTGTAATGAGCACCTTCACCCCTTCATCATCAATAGCATTTGCCAAATTTAACGTTCTAATGTTATTCAAATATTTGCTTGAGGCAATACATCTTGCACCCACAAGACGAACAGCATTATGGCTTAAATCCAATAGAGTAAGATTTTTCATGTTGCTACTTTGTGTCAAGCATTCAACATCGCAGGCTTGAATCTTATTATAAGCAAGATCCAATATTGTAAGATTTGTCAGAGTCTTGCTATTTCCAATTGCTTCAACACTTGCTCTGGTGAGCGAATTTGTTTGTACATAAAGCTCGCGTAAGTTGGACATGACTGGGCTTGCTGCAATAGCTATTATTCCTTCATCTTCGAGTGTTGTAGCATTGACATTCAAACTTGTCAAGTTAGACATGAATTTACTCCATACGAGTGAAAAAATTGCACTGCAAGACGACGATGAAGATGAACTATTCCGACTGAAATCGTTTGCAGAAAGATCCAATGATTTCAAATTTTTCAAGTTTTCGCACGAGGCTAGAGTATTCAGTTGATCTTGTCCCAATAAATTGTTGGATAAATTCAAGCAAGTAATATTGGAAATTGGAGGACTTAGGATAGAATAAATTCGTGTTGCTTCCGAAATTGTTTCTGCTTCTCGTAGCTCTGTTGAAGGCTGTTGTTTGGTCATTGTTGAACCAGTTTCTGAAATTTCTTCTTCTTGCTCCAACAACAATGAATGATGATCAACTCTCGGACGCAAACGACTCTTTGAAAAATCCAAATTCAAAGGCATTTCCATTACTTTCCCATACCACTGCTTGGAAACAAGCCTGCACACGACAATAAGGCTTCGGTCTTCCACGTATTGAAAAATATGGAAAAGCATATCATCTGCAAAAAGTTCATCATGTTGGAGCATTTTATTAGTAACTACAAAATAGAGTTTCAGTTTCTATTTTCAAGGATGACATGGGCGTGATTTATTCTGAATGCGGAGTTTGATGGAAGAAAACGTTGGGAAATCGGTTTATCATTAATTAAAAAATGTTTCCAAATAATCATGGAGAGAGTTGTTATACCAACAACAACAACGACCAATATCAACAACAACAACAAAAACCACGGCCGTGTGCTAGAGTCATCAACCAACATCATCAAGAAAGCAATGGTGTTACATACACGGACAATGAATTTTTAAATCTTGAGGATTTTCTGGTGGATGAGTCCAAATCACAACGGAATGCAAATGATGACGGATATTCATCATTCAGTTCTGGACAACAAGTTTTAGGTTCATTCATTCATCGGGATGGAGATGGGAATGAACTCATACCATCGGGACAACATTGGACAGACAATAATAACGACCCTCTCCAACACTTGCAGAGTTTCATCGGTAGCTTTATCATACCTTCGTTTTCTTCAAGTACAACTGCACAGGCTAATATCACTAGTAATAACGAGAGCAATAATGTAAATAATTTATCAAACAGTAGTGACGAGAACAGTTCGGAATTTTTTCCAATCGCTTGTGAACAGGTATGCAATTAAGCATTTATTTATGGTAGTAGTAATGAATTTATTAAATAACATTATTTATGAAATGACAGTGCCGACAACAGCATCGAAGGTGTGATAAACGATTACCAAAATGTTACTTGTGCACCCAACGAAAAGTTGAATGTGTCTATAGAGAACCTAGAAGAAACAAGAAAACCAATCATGATAACAATGTAAAGACTCCAGAAAACTCCAGAAATCACTCATCGAACGTACACCAAAGAAATGTAAATAATCCATCGACCCATTCCATGAACCCATTATTCTCACCTTATCCTCTTGGGAAAAAGTCAGTTAATGAAGAGTTGAAAACTTCCGAGTTATTGAGCTCACGAGCTGTCTTTGATCTTTATTTTGATGTGGCATGTGAAGGCTATCCGTTGGTGTCACGAGAAGAATTGGAAAATTTTATCACACATTTTCCAAATTGTGATGATGTTGGAAATGACACTAACAAGTTGCAAAATTGTGAAATGTTTGCCATGTATTTTAGTGTTAGGGCATTGTGTGAATCTCGAAATGGATTGTTTGAACAATCAGAAAAAAGCATTCAAAAATCTAAAGATTGTCTTTCCAAAGTATTTGATCGAACATCAATCACCGTAGCTGCAGTATATGCACATTTGGTAATGTATGAATTATACACTGGAAAGACAGAACAAGCCAAATTCTATTTTACAATTCTCGACTTTTTATCAAAGAAATTATTTGCACCAGAAGACTCTGAGAGTGTTACTCCATCCCAACCAACTATTTATGAAAAGAATTTGGAAGTATGGATCTATAGCTACAATGCTGCTCTAAAATTGGGTATTATAGAAGATTTCGATAAGGTATCTGTTGAAAATTTTTTGTCTTGCATTCCTGAAATATATTCTTTTTTTTGTCAAGAACCATTGCCTCAAGAATGGATTCAATTGATGACTAGCAAAGTGACACCTGAAAATTGTTTTGAGATTTGGAGCATTATTGAATTACTTGTGAATAAGTTCAAAAATATCGAAAAATCAGACATGCTTTCAATACCTGACACAGTGAATAGGCTTGAATTTGTTGAACCTCTTTATCAAATGATATTGGACAGTTTGAGGATAGCAATATTGTCAAAATCTCAATCATCCATCACACGAGAAGTTATTGAACAGAGTGCACTTAGCATTACCAATCACACCGAAAATCCTCTTTACCCACTATTTCCAATTGATGTTGTGTTTTGTGTGAAACAAGCAGTCGAAAAACATTTAGAAATATGCAACTCCATACTACAACAGGGAGGGAATGATTTTGTACATAATGGAGTCGACTATTGCAGCATTTTAAAAAAGGATTTACGTGCTTTCACTGTGATGAAACCAAAATTCAAAGCAGTGAACAAATGGATTAATAACATTTCCTCTCGAATTGAGGAAATGATTGCCACTATTGAACGAGTCAAATTTCAATAATGCATGTTGACATTGCAATCTATATCTGGTTTGTAGCTTTGGATCTGAACATGGAGAATGTCACACTTCATGTTACAGTACTATAACATGCGGCTCCCATCAGCCATGAAATGACAGCGATCAAAACCTTGAGGTACATCTACTATTATTGGACCACAGTTCTGGTGCTACTACCGAAATTATATCCAACGCTCATGAAATTGATGTATCATATTGCTCTCGTTTACTAATAACATAATTTAAAATACATCATTAATATCCAGTTCCTGTTCTGCATTGTTGTCCCATCAATCTTGCAAATGAAAACATTCCTGTAGGAACACAAGGACGACGACGTGCACTGTCAGACATTGGTACTTCTTCAAATTTTTCATCCATTGATTCCTCTTCAAGTACTTCCTCCAAAGCAGAATGAATGAGTTGTTTTACTCTGTTCAAGTGTTTTTTATGACGTTCTTTCAATTCATTTGTCTCTTCGTGAGTGAATCTTGCCAATGACCAATCTTCTTGTTCTTCAACATACTTGGGAAGACGATTGTAGAGTGGTTTTATAGACCAATCTTGAGATCTATAAGCTTGTTCTTCAAGGTCATGACGTTTTGCATGAACTGAATGACCAGCACACATGCACCATACTACTGCAAGCGCCAATACAACTGCGAAAAGTAATTTCATTGTTTTTTTGTTGTGAACGAGAAATGAGCGAGAAAGAGAACGTATGCAAAATAGCACTTGATATTCTGTCCGTCAAAAGTCCTTTGAAATTGGTTGCATGGGTCATCTCGAGTTCGCTACATGTTGACACTGAAAGTTACAGTTCGGATAAAAATTTTCCAAACCTGTCTTTGATCTTGGATCTATCTGAAGATTCCAAACGAGTGATTGTCTGGACGCTGGACGCTTGTTGAGACAAGAGCGTCCAGAATAATTATTTACAAAACCTTACAGTTTGAAACCCAATTATAATAGGACTTGTTCTGTTATAATTACATTTATGCAATTACTGGAAAAAAACAACCCTTTGAGAGCTTGAGTCACATATTAATAACTCTCCTGTCAAATAATTGATACACATTGCACGGGGAGTGATAAAATCTTCGTTTAGCATTGCTTGAAAGGTTTTCACTAATTCTCCAGAGGAGGTGAAAATTTGAATATATCCAGCGGCTCTTTGGTTTGAAATGATGATATGGTGTGAAATTGAGTCACATAATATGCTATGATATCGATGACCATTGTTTATAGTTTTCATTTTCACCCAAGAATCATCTTTCCTGTTATAGATGGAAACACCATGGTCATCACAGAGAACCATTGTAGAAGAGTCCACAAAATCAATGTGGGAGAAACTAGATAACTGTGATCCCAAGTCAATTCTCTGAATAAATGTTCCAAAATGTAAATTTAACACAACCAATGAGTAGTTTGAATCACAAATATAGCATTGGTTGGTTGAATTTAAAATCGTAATTCTTCTTGGAGAAAGAAAGCATGACTCGCTCTTCCAAACATAATTTTCCATAAATTTGAATTCATTTCCACTCTGTAATAGCATTGTTTTCAAGTCACATTTGTAAACATGCTTAGAGGTTGAATGCATAATAATTGCATCATTATTATGCCCATCATAATTTTCCTGTAATGCAAATTCGAAGGAATCGTTTTCAGAAATTGAAAAATCAATTGTTGTTTTAAATTCTCTTGTGTATAGATCGAACACTTGAATGACATCCTTCATGGAAGCCTCGTTATACAATCTATTCATATCATAGACTTTCAATAATATACAAGAATGATTGTATGAAATGTAAATAAGTTCTGGAATGTATGTGCTCTTTGGTTTCGGAACTATCTCTTGAACAAAATGGAAATTCATTAAAAATCCCTTTTTCTTTTTGTTTTTCGTTATATTCATCGTTTCTTTTAATTTTTTCATCATCATCCATTCATCATCCTCATCTTTCAATTCCATTGAGCATGTAAAATTCTCTACAAACGAGCATAAAATTAATTTCACGTCTGGCTGATGAGGATGATCATGATGATAATTATGAGTATTATTAAATTTCATCCGATCATGAGCTGTATCCATATGATTTTGCATTTTTTTTGAAAATAATTTCAATCCAATCAGAAAATGATTTCTTTTGTCAAGATTCATTATGATGAAATTCAAATCAATACTATAAGTAATTTGGAGACCCTAGAACCTTGTTGATTGGACATTCAATTAGTTCATTATCTCGAAATTCAGAAAGTGTTACAAAAAAAATGCATACCTTCTTTTCTCATGATGAGGCTTGATGATTCAATGCCGAAAATAACCGAGAGACCGATACTGATACGTGATGATAATTTTGATTCTCTTCAAATTTTGCACATGTAAAACACAGCTATTTTTCAAAATATTAAACAACATGATCATGATGAATCGGTTGTTTCGTGGTGCTTATGGTGCAGTGATAGGTCCTCATTTAGGAGTGATTATATTGGCATGTATGATGACGACAATCATCATGGGTGCAACACCAAGATCGGAAATGAAGCTCTCATCAACGGCAAAGGAACAATCATCAGCAGATTCCTACTGCACGGATCACACAACAAGCATAAACTGGGTATATTTTGTTGGGACGCCACAAAATCCATCATTGAGCAATATTTCTTGTACACTGAACAGGACAGAGCAAAATCCGTGCTGGTCTTTCAATGAAATTTTTACACATCTTTCAATAGATATCCTTAACAGATTACCAAAATCAAATTCTACTGATTATGTATGCCTTAATTACACTGTAACCATCAATGTAGTCAGTGACATGGTTGAGAATAGAGGTCGGCGTACAGCTTGTTACAACAATCTTCCAGATGTTGATCTTACAGTGAACCGAGTGCATATTGCTTTGACAATTACGAGTACAGATGCTCTAACTCCCAAAGTCATCTCTTGCTTTAAAGAGGAGAGGCACATTCTTTCACATCCACCATTTCTATTGGAGCCTCAACCAATGACATCAATCATTATTGACAATGTTAAGGTTCACAATATGTTTTTGCGTGCTCATGGAATACGCCGTACAATTTTGCAAGACGTCATTATTCAGGACAACCATGTGAACACTGACTTTTTCAAAGCTGAACACTCCAAGCTAATTGATTCTTCAATCATTTTACCTGAAACAGATGAAGTATTTCTTGAAAATACGACATTCTCTGGCGACTTGCTGATCGATGGCTGTAAAACAGTTTACATCAATAACCTATGGTATCATGAGAACAATATGTCTCGTTTAAAATTTACAAACTGTAACACGGTGCTTATGGAGAACTCAAAATTCCATATAGCACAACGTACTGCAATCATTTTTGAGACAACCATCAATGTTGCTATTTCGTCGTCAGAGTTCGAATACATACATACAGAGGATGGTGAAGAAGACGAGTACACAATCACGGTTTCCTTAGTATTTAACATGAAGATTTTAGGGAGCGTGTTTAAAAACAAGAAAGGAGGTGGATGGATCAAGATGGTTTCGGTAGGGAAAGTATTTGCAGCTCTGACAGCTTCTAACAACACTTGTACAAAAGCAGAAACTATCTTCTATTTCTATTTGTGCAAGATTGTTGAAATATCGAATTCCTTGTTATCAAATAACTCCGCATCTCATAGTGGTGCAATGATTGTCATGAAATCAGATTCTGTCACTATAGGTAACACAATACTCGATGGAAATACTGCTATCAAGAATGGTGCAATTTCTCTTGCAGAAATTTGTGACACAATTAGCGTTTATAGCTCAGTTTTTACAAATAATCATGCACTGAAAGGCAGTGGAGGAGCAATGTCGGTACTTGGAGGCAGAAACAAGATGTATCTGATGGACAACGATTTTTCAAGTAATGGAGCCAAAATATCAGGTGGTGCTTTGCATGCCATGCATGTTCATCATCTGGAGATTAGTTTAACCACTTTTCAGAGAAACACAGTAGAATACATAATTCGTGACGACTCATCATTTTATCTTTCGAGTGGAGGTGCAATATCCTTGTTCAATTGCCAAGCGACAACAATTACGGATACCAAGTTTATCAACAATCAAGCAAACCGTGGTGGTGCATTATACACTGGAGATGCTACAGCCATTAGCGATTCACTGTTCAAGAATAACTTTGCATTCGATACTGGAGGAGCAATATTCTATGCAAGTTCCTTTGGTAGTGAGTTTGATTATGTAAACCAAACACTCCCAGTTTTATTGGACAATGTGTTAATGGAAGAGAATAGAGCCGCAATTTACGGCTCAAACATTTCATCACCAATTGTTTCCTTTTCAGCGTCCATTGTTGAAAAGATGACAGACGGAGGAATTTTCAAATATTATCCAGGAGAGAAAATGGTACTGCAATTCAATCACATGCTCGACAGACAAGGAAACAATATTCCAGTGTTGTATGAGTTACCCTCAATCAAAATTTCAGATAACAACTTTGTGCTGGAAACAAATTATTCCAAGCACAAAGAAAACCTCATTGAAATTCAAATAGCCATTCAACAAACGAGCACGGTTGATTTGACAAATTACCATGCACCAATTTCCATCAGCATTTCTTTTTCAGAAACGAATTTTTCTATAGTCATACCTTTTTTAATTGACGAATGTCCACAAGACTTTGTCGTCAGCTATGGCAAATGTGTGAGCGGATTTCCACTAAGCAAGGTCATTCCAGCCATCGTTGCAACATCTATTGTATTGACGTTTCTGGCCATTGTTGGAGGTGCCTTTATTTGTGTCTTTTGCGGTCTTTGCTCTTGGAAAATGATAAAAGTTGCAAGAGGTGTCTATGTAAGACAAAGATCTGAAAAAGAAATTGAGGAAAAATTATTACAACAGAATATACCAATTGAAGAATATGGTTCTGTGAACTCTGACGAACATAATAGGTCAGCTGCAACTCACAACAATGATTACTATATCATTTCAGCTCACGAATTGAAAATTAAAAAGAAAATTGGAGAAGGCTCGAGTGGAAGGTATGTAATGTCACGAACAAACATTTTATTAATTTCAAAATAACTTGTGAATCACTAACAGCGTCTACAAGGCCAAGTACAACATGATGGACGTTGCTGTGAAGAGTATTGTCAGGAGTGATGACACTCATGAAAATTTTGAAAAAGAAGTTATGCTCCTTGTGCAACTCAGACATCCTAATATTATCAGTTTTTACGGTATTTGCATTTCTGAAAGCCAAATGTGTATGGTCGTCGAGTTGGGCCAAAATGGAAGTTTGGAAGAAATGATTAAGGAAATGAAAAAAGGAAAGATGAAAATGACATTTAAAGAAAAATTGAAAATATTAATTGGAATATCGAATGGAATGAAATATCTCCATAGTATTCAACCCAAATGCTTGATTCACAGAGATTTGAAGCCAGGAAATATCATTCTTGATCATTCAAATACTCCCAAAGGTATGTGTTTCTATCAAGGGTATTTTGAATTTATATTTTTATTTTGGAATCAACATGACTTGTGTTTCGATGGAAAATACAACATACCAGTTTGTGATTTTGGTCTAAGTCGTGCTGTTTCCATTACCACCCAGACGAACTCTCTCACAGCCAACATTGGTACGTTAATATACATGAGTCCTGAATTAATTCTCGAAGACGACAGCTCTGAAGAAAGAAGTAACAACAATTTACTGTTACTACGAGAAAACGCCACGAAAATAGACGTCTATTCATTTGCTATCATCATGTACGAATTATTATTTGAGGAGACACCATACTGGAACGAGAATTGTGAAAAGCTAAATTATTTTAATCATCACAACAATGGTACGAGTTCAGAAAAGAAAATCAAAATGTTCAACTTGCTGTATCACGTTGCAAATAATGAGAAAAGACCATTGATTCCATTTTCCAATGTGGATGAAATGTGTATTTGGTGTGAAAAATTCATGACCAACGATGACGCAACCAATGAAGATTTCTTAATTGGATTTGACATGTATATCAAATTGATGAAGCAGTGTTGGTCAACGAATCCCAGAGAAAGACCTTCTTTTGAAAGAATTCTTCTCAAATTGACTGACATTTTCAACATGGATCTTTGAGATCAAGAATTAGGAACTGCTTTCTCAACGATTTTTACTATTTTACACAATTCGGCAGCATTCATCAAACGGAGATTTAAGATGAAATCAGAATTTTGTTTCGACACTTAAAATCGACTAACATCCCGTCCAAAAAGTGTCGTTCGAATCCAATCTGATGCCAAACAATATCTATTCTTCCATGACACCTGTTTTGAGAAATAAGCAGCTCGATAAAGCCACCAAGTAGTGAATCCACCCATTTTCATTGCACCCAAATCTGCCACAGCATGATTACTTCCAATATATGCAAACGATCCCAAATGTTTGTACATGAATGGTGTAAGGTTGACATTTTCCTCGTTTTGTTCCTCTATTTGATTCAAACATTCAGCCAAATATTTTCCTTGACGTGAGGCCACTTGAGCTGTCAATGGCAATGGAGAATAATATTCATTATCAATTTGTTCTAATAAAGTCTTGAATTCTTCCTTACTCAACACGCCATCATGATTGATATCTGCCTTCTCGAACAGTTTTTTCAATTTTTGATTAATAATCACAAAATGTGGATATTCTTTTTCCTTCTTCTTGATAAGAGCTTCTAATTCTTCATACGTCAAAATTCCATCGTGATTGGTGTCTGCCTCTTCATAGAATGATTCGTATTTTTTGATGAGTTGAGGTTGTTGAATTTTGCTACAATCTCCAAGTGCGTAGACATTTTGCAAACCAATGACTTGCAAATATCCATTAATGACCAGTGACTTTTCATTCTTTTGAGCAGGAATCTTGTCAACAATTGTTTTGACAAGTGGCACTTGTGAAATACCAGTCGTCCAAATACAAACACTGAAAGGCAACGAATAAGGTTCTGATTTGTTTCCACCATCGACCTTATTAGCAACTAGTAAATCCTTTTCTCGAACTTCAATGACTCGTGCATTTGTTCTCACGTCGACATTATTAAGTTTGAATTGTTTTTCAGTTAATTCAACAATTTTAGCGTCGTACATGTTGAGAATATGATCAGAGCTGTGAATCATGATAATTTGAATCTTGTCGACAATATCTTTTGGAAATAACTTGCTCACATCTTGTTTGATAAAATCCACCAAATAACCCACTGTGTGAAATTTTTCAATGTTTTTTATATTTTTGTAAAGTGTGAAAAATTAAATCTCAACAGTTCATCTTTCCAACAACTTACCTGATTCAATTCCTGTTGGTCCTCCACCAACCACAACAATCTTCAACGCATTTCTTCTCTCCTCTTCAGTCAAATGAGGTAAGCAAGCAGATTCCAAAGCATCCAACAATCGTTCTCTCAACATTTGAGCGTGTTCAGGTTGTTTCATTGGAACACTAAACTCCTCCACTCCCTTCACTCCAAAACTATTAGGTTGAGCTCCTACAGCAATCACTAATTTATCATATTTCAATTCAAATTGATTGGCTCCATGATGGGCATGTTCCACGACAAAATTGGACATGTCTCGACATTTGACAGTTTGAGAAATGGGATCGACGTCGAAGCATTCAGCTTCGAAATACTCAATCAAACCAATATTGTCATGAGATTGAGATTTTCGACGTTTTCGTTCCAACACTCGTCGAATAGGTTCAATAATGGATTGTAATGAAACAGTTCCAACCAATGCTGATGGAAGCATGGGTGTGAATAAAAAATAATTTCGAGGAGAGACGACATAGACATCGTATAAATTGAGATCAATGTCACTAATCAAAGAAACACTTCCCCATCCACTTCCTGTGTGAATTTATAAAAGTATTGGACATTCAAAAGTATTTTACAATGTAAAATGTGTTGTAAAGTGTGAAAAATCAAGATCACTTACCTAACACAACCAATTTCTTCTTTCCAGTTCCATGATGTTCATTAATCACTCCATGATGTCGCGTGGTTCGAGGTGTCATGGTCGTTGCCGCTGAATCCTGAACCGACAACAACAATAAACCATTCTCCTCTTGATCATCCGTTTCAATCCAATATAAAGTAGACCCAATTCCAATGGCAATCAACCATGCGAAAAGAATCTTTTTTCTCGATCCCAATGAATGAATTTTTTGATCATCATGACGAGAATCTTCTCCTCGAAAGTCTTTTCTTTCATAATTGTTAGAAAATTGTTTTGAAATGATATTACAAGAGGAAAAGAAACGATCGTGGCCATGATGATCATTCAGAGATGATGTGAGATTCTCCGGTGATGAATGATTCAGTAAGGATGATCGTGAAAGGAAGGAAATTTGACGATCAGAAATGATCGATCGTGATTGGAGAAATTCGAGTCGGTGAATGATCTTGTGGAATTGTTTTTTCATTTTTTTTGTTGTTGTTTTCAAATTTCATTAAGCTGTCAGCTGTTGATCAATCCACTTGTCAATAAATACTTCAGAGTTTATTTGGAGTCGGTCGATGACGATTGTGGTTGTTGCTTGTTCTTTTTTTCATTGTTTAATTTTTCCAAGTGCATGGCATAACGTTTGGCAGGAAGGAATTTAATGTCTTTGATTTGCATTTTGCCAACGCTTGGGTGTAAACACATCCATAGTTTTCCTTCTAGTACTGTTCTCCACACAAATTCTTCAACTCCATTCGATTGATATTCAATATCGGAGAAGGAAATATTTTCCAAATCTTCGTCACAAATTGAAATGCCACTCACAACGACTGGATGATCAAACGATCCAAGAATTGGTGGAGATGTTGGATCTAATTCAGACATTTTCACTTTGTTGTCATATAATGCAAACCAAGTTAAACATGATTGTTGGTCATTGAAGAATGGTAATAAATAAAATTCATGTTTGGGATAATACTTTTTGAGTGGACCAATGGGTTTCATTAAATTGAAATAGCAAGCTGTTGGAGATTCTGCGTCCACGGTCTAATGGGTTTGTGTGTGACATGAGAATTGTCATAATGTTCATATGTGAATAGATCCAATGTTGCATTAATGTCACAAGATATAAAGTTATAAAGCACCTCCAACTCGATACGTACCAAAAACATGTGATAAACACTATCAAATAATGTTCTAATCACTGGAGGAATTAATTCAAGATCACCTTCTTCAAATTCTGAATCGACATTTATCAATCCAAATTTGCTATTGTCGCCTTCTTCTTGCTCCTCCTTTTCTTCAAGTTCTTTCTTTCTCAATTCTTGATATTGTTCGATATCTTTCTTCATACTATCAAGCTTCCATTTCCAATCACCTACATGATGATCGTCAATAATGTGAATACACATGAATAATAATAAATGAACCAAATCATATTGTGATAATGATCGTCAACACAGAATAACAATTTTCACACACACCTTTAAATACTCCATCAAATGTAAATGTTGATTCTTCGGGATCTTGTCCAGTCTTTTTATGAACATCCTCAGCACTAGGTAATTCATGATATGGAAAACGTTCATAGGTCGAATATTCATTCTGTCCAGGACGTATAGGATCCAACGGAGTAAAATACCAACCCTTCGGAATGGCGTTGATCAATTGTTGAACATCTTGAGCCAAATTTTGCAAGGTTGCTTGATTTTTGTTGCTCTCGGAACTTGCTTCTGTAGAAGTTGGAGATGCTTCTTCCAATGTTCGTTTTCCCAAATTACTACTCGTCGTTGTGGTGGTGGTTGAAGGAGAGTTGCTGCTTTCTTCGTGTGTGGGTTCTTCTGAGGACATAATATTTTTTTTGTTTTGGGAAAACATAAATTTTGGCAACGAACGAAAGAGGCGCCAAATAAAAATGTCCAAATCAAGAGTTTGAAAGCCATTTGAAAATTCACCAAAGTAGAGAAATAATCATGATTTAATTAAAAGCAAGTTGATGGTATCCATTCAAAAATTAGGGAATGAGCAGAGGAGAACTACTATTCAATGCTCGTTGATTATTGTTGAGCAACATTCTTCACAGCTTCTTCGTTTTGTTTCATGGCATTTTCAAGAATCCACTGGTCATATTCGTGAACTTCCCTAGAGATGGCATATTGTTGAAGTTTTTCTTGTGGAATATGTTTCCATAAATCCTTTTTCAAGGCTCCGTGAATCTTTTCGTGTGTTTCAGATCTTGCTTTGCCATGATAATAATGAATGCCCCAAGCAGTACCATGTTTACCATCCTATTGTGTAAAAATTGCAATGCATTTCATTCCATAATTATTATTGTTATTGCAAAAATTGAAAATATATTATCGTCATCATCATGACAAGTTCCGAAGAGAAAATTCCAATTCATCCAAACACAATTATCATCACAGCAAAATCATAAATAATAAAATGATGAATTCCAATCATCATCTCTATCCAAAATAATAACAACAATAACACCTACAGCACTCAAAATCACTTTGGTAATTTTATAATAAGTATCAAATCTCCAATTTTTACGTTTATAGCAACTATCCACTCCATTCTTTGGTGTTCTTGAAAGCAAATCAAACAAATTTGCTCCCTTCTTATTGAATTTCTCGGTTGTTGCGATGGCTTCTTTCACGTATTCGGAGGCTGCTTTGATTCCTTTTTGAACGGACATTTTTTTTTTTCTGAATTTCAAAAAAAAATTACCGTCAAAACTATTCCTGCCAAATTCTTCAAATTCTTCAAAAACGTTTTTCGGAATGAACAACCCAAAGGAAAGAGAAGCAACACATTCTTAGGAAGAACAATAATCATACCTATTTCAAGAGATTTTATTGTTGTTTCCTCTTTTCCTGTTGTACTAATGGAAGTTTCTTTCTCATGATGGATAACTTTTCAAACAAGGGCATCAAATGAATGAGGAATAAGGAAAAGAATCGAGAAGATTTCCATGCAACATGGGGATCAATGAGCAAATCCTTAGAAACGTGTGGTTTTTGGGGAGTAGGGAATTTCTCTCCGACCACACTTGCCAATACATCTCCTACTGGATATTTCATTGAGTCTTGTAATTGGATTAATTTAGCAAGCATATCACAGGATGAAGTCAATAATGGACCAGCTCCATAT